AATCCCATGAAGTTGAGCTGCTTTTAATATGAAGACCGGTGCGCTGTGGCTTTCAGTGAGAGAAGAGGAAGGAGCCTGGGGCTGAGGGGAGATGTCTGTGGTGGTTGGAGTTGTGGGAAGCTCCGAGCCTTTATTTTTAAAAACACACACTCACCGGTTGTAAAGGCAGGAACATGGTGTACTGTTGAAAAGTTCTTGGCCAAGAATGCAGTGGCCTGGCTCTCGGGCAGTGCTGGTCTGAGGCAGGGAAGCATGCGGGATGGTAGAGGACGAGCATTGCTGGTATGGGGAGGCCGCTGTGCCGTACCCCGGCTCCCCCCATTCCCACCACACACACACACACACACACACACACACACACACACTTTCTTCATTATATTGGCCACGTAAGTGTGGAACCCGTTGTTCTTTTCTGGGACAAAGTAAAACTCCCTCCCCCAACACAAAATAAAAAATAAGTTTTGGGTGTTATCTTGTGGACAGATCAACCATTGCCCTATCAAGGTTATCTGAGCTCTCCTCCCTCACCGCCGCCTCATTGGCCTGCAGCCTGTCATTGCTGCAGAGAGGAAGGGGGTTGGATTCCTAGGGATGCCTGCAGGGCTGGTGAGGGAGAGGCCCAGGTGGCCAATCCTGGGCTTTAAGCTTTATTCTTAGTAACTTGGTAAGAACAAGCCCGGCTGCCAGAGACTGGTACCTGTTGTCATTTATTATTCTCCCCGCTTTACACTGTGGGGAGGTTTCCTCAGGCCCCTGAGCTGTGCTGTCAAGTTGCTACCAGAAAGGAGGAGGCCAGGACTGGGCGCATCTTTCGGAGGTACACCTATGGTGGCAGCAAGGCGCCCATCCCGGGACAGCCCAGATGAGGCCACAGAGCCTCCTGGGAGCACCTCACAGGCAGGGAGGTTGCGAGATGCTCCCTGTGGCTGGATAGACAGGGAGGGAGCCTGGAGATACTCCTGTCCCAAGCCCCTTGGAGGCCTAGAGACCCTGAGGGAAAAGCACTTTGCTCAGGGCCCTAGGGTGAGTAGCGGCCCTGAGAGGGAAGACCTGGGTCTCTGGACTCCCAGTGGGAAGCCAGAGAGAACCACTTTCAAGGTGCGCGATAGTCTAGATTCCTGCCAATCATGAGGCTGGTGCTACAGGGGTAGGTTTTTTTTTTTTTTTTTGGGGGGGGGAGGGGTTACTAGACTGTGCTATTTCTCTGAGCTAGTTTCTCACGTGTGAGTCATGCTATGTAATGGACACATTCGTTAAGTTTATACATCTGAATGTCTTAATAAAAAGTTAACTGCATAGTATTAATATTCCACTTATATGTCTATACTTTTTTTCATTTTCCTTTTCATGTGTTTTTCATAGTTTCCTTTAACAAAAAATGAGGAGCATAGTTATGGGGCTGCGTGCAGGTAATCACAGCATTCTATGAGATTCCCAGATGAAGACGATCATATTTGTAGAAAGGAGTATTATAGGTGATGTATATTAAAACATGGAAAGCAGGACTACCAGGCAAAGTACTTGTAATTGTCATCGTTCAGGTGTGTGGCATATCATTGTCGTAGCTATTAAAGCCTATTTTAAGGTAAATTATAACTGGAAGTAAGTAATTTCCTCTTATTCACAAAAAAATAAAGGGATGTCTTAGTTTGCTGACGTACATAAAAGAACGTAACTTGTAGTGCCCCTGAATTGACGTCGGCTTCCTAAATTCAAAATGCTGACTGAACACGTGTGTGTGTGTGTGTATGTGTGTGTATGTGTGTGTGTGTATGTGAGTGTGTGTGTGTGAGAGAGAGAGAAGGGGTGGGCTACCAAAAAATGTTACTTCCGTCTGCTTTGTTAATCACAAAGAATAAATAATAACGTTTGGCTCTCTAGAGAATTCAAGGCTATAATTCACCCGCAAGGCTTCCCTGTTTTAGAAACTGCTTGAACTACGCTTTTGGTCCCATCTTCTATCAGCAAGAGTTTACGTGATCCCCTGCTTATTATATTCACTCCAGAGCAGCCTATCATCGCTCCCTGTTTTAGCTGAACTCAACAGAATGCCGTAAATTCTTCTTCTTCTTCTTCTTTTTTTTTTTTTTTTAAATTTTTACTAAAATATAGTTGACATATACAATTGTTTTAGTTTCTGGTGTGCACCATGATGATTGGGTATTTATATGCCTTGCCATGTGATCACCACAGTCAGTCTGTTAACTGTCATCATGCCATGTTATTATGACACTAGAGGCCCCATGCACTCGGGTTGTCCTTAGCCCGGCCTGTGACCTCTCGCAGGCGGGAGCCCTCGGGTATGTCCGGGAGCGGGCCTAAGCCAGTGCGGTCACAGGTGGGAGAGGTTCCCACCACCACCGCTGCACTCGCCAGCCTTAAGCCCTGCTTCTGGCTGAGTTGCGCTTCTCCCACTCCCCCACCCCCAATTCCATGGGAGCTCACTGACCACCAGGGGGCAGCTCCTGCATTGAGCATCTGCCCCTGGTGGTCAGTGTACGTCATAGTGACCGGTCGTCCAGCTGTTTGGTTGATTTGCATATTAGCCTTTTAAAAATATTTTTACTGTATTCCCTGTGTTGTACACTACATCCCTGTGGCTTATTTGTCTAATAACTGGAAGTTTGTACTTCTTATTCCCCTTCACATTTTTCTCTCATTCCTCACCCCTTCCACTCTGGCAACCATCAGTTTGTTCTGTCTGTGAGTCTGTTGCTCTTTTGTTTTGTTTATGTGTTTTTGTCTTGTGGGTTTTTTGTTTGTTTGTTTGTTTTAGACTCTACATATAAGTGAAATCATATGGTATTTGTCTATGTCTGACTTCTACCCTGAGTTATTGCCTATGCTTTTAAGATTTCTTTTTCAATTACAGATTACATTCAATATTATTTTCTATTAGTTTCAGGTGCATAGTATAATGATTAGGCTTTACAAATTGGTCCCTGTGAACACACCTCAGACACTGATTCGTCTATAATTTTTACATATAAAATAATTGACTCTGTTAATTGTTTGCCCTTGAAATTGTTGTTTCAGCTCATTCAGATATTTTTTGAGAACTTACTGCAGGCTGGTCAGAGGCGCTAGGGATACAGAAGTGAAAAAGAGCCAAACCTGTCTTCATGGCCTTCACCTTCTAGAGATTCTGCGAGAGGCGATAGTAGGTAGCTAAGAATGGAACTAACGCGAGGTGTTTTTTTAAACCTCTGCTTCCACTGTGGAGTGGGCCTTGTTACAGGTGGCTGGGCCTCTGTGGTCTAATTCTATCCCTGCCTCTGAGCAGTGAGCGAGTAAATCTCTGACAGTGTCTCACTCTGTATTTGCAAGGTTAACAGCAGAACATTTTTGTGTGTACAGGTGTGTGCCCCCAGATAACACACTGAGTAATAATTACGATCAGTAGTGGCATTCCGCAATCTTTCTGAGATCATTGATCTCCATCAGAATTTGGAAAACCACTTATTTACACGTTTTTTTTTTGGCTCATGTCCAAGAGGCAGTGATACCCACCCATGAGGGAGCTCCTCAGAGGGGATGCCAAGTTTTAGAGCTGGGCGATGGGATATGACTTTGCTGAAACAGACCCAGAATTGACATACCTCATCTGTGGCGGCCCCGATCCAGTGGTCATGGATGACTTCTTTTAGAACATGGGCCACAGAGAGGCCCGGGACGAATTCTCAGCTGCCCACGTTGTCTTCAATCGCCTGTCAGGGGTACCACATCCTTAAATCGATCCTTCTGATCCCCTCTGGCTTTGTGGAGGTGGTGGGGGAAATAATGCTCAAAAAGAGTGGTCCAAGGAGGAGAAAACACTAATTTGAAAAGATATAAGCACCTTTATGTTCCTTGCACTATTATCTACAATAGCTAAAACATGGAAATAGCTTAAGTGCCCACTAATGGATGAATGGATAAAGAAGATGGAAATTACTCAGCAGTTAAAAGGAAGGAAATCTGAGGGCAGTATTATGCGAAGTGAAACAGTCAGATGGAGAAGACAAATACCGTGTGATTTCACTTATATATGGAGTCTTAAAAAAAAAAAAAGCCATGAACAAACAAAACAAAATCACAGAACTGATTGGAAAGGTGTTAAGAGGAGTGTGACATGGGTAAAGGGGGTCCATTGTATGGTGATGGATGGTAACTAGATTTACAGAGGTGAACACTATGCAGTGTATCCAAACATCTATAATGTTGAACATCTGAAATATATATAGTCTGAATACCAATTTAATAATAATAATAATATAATAATAATAATAATAATAATAATAATAGATGGCTGCTTATTGCGCCAGACAAGGGACTGTGTTTTTACATGGATCACTGCATTTCACTCTCAGCTAATAATTATATCACATAGATATGTGAACCCATATTTGTCTGAATCCCATAACCTCAGCTTTCCCTATGATTTGGGGATTCTCTTTCATTCTCAATTTATGGAATTGTACTTTTTCGCTATCTGGGATTTTAACTACCTAGGATTTTCTATGGAGTTTTGAATGTCCATTTACTTATGAAAATGGATGTCGGTTGGACATGTTTTAAGGGGTTATATTTTAATGGCTTTGGGAGGTTAATGACTTGTTAGGTGCCCCGGCCAGTAAGTAATGGAGAGCATCTGTTGGCTTTGGTAATAAATTTCAAACTTGTTCAGAATTCTGCTTATGTGCTAAATTTGAGTTTCTCCAGTGAATACTTTTTGTATCTTGGATGATTTATGTCTTTCTGGGGAATCATTTAGAGTAATTTTTTTTTTCTTTTAAACAAGTGGTCTTCATAAAGACTAGGGCAGATGGATATATATCACACTCAAACATCTGGATCAGGCAGGGCAGTTCTGTTTGATGTTTGTTATAAAAATGGCACCGTCAAATACTAACAACTGTTTTATTCTGATCTTAACATCATGTTGAAAACATTCCTTTCCCCCCCCCCCTTCTTTTCAACTCAGTATCGTTGCACTGATTGGCGGAGACACAGAGGAGTAGATGTCCACACCCACAGACCCTGGCGCGATGCCCCACCCGGGGCCTTCGCCGGGGCCCGGACCCTCTCCCGGACCGATTCTCGGACCTAGTCCGGGGCCTGGGCCGTCCCCAGGTTCCGTCCACAGTATGATGGGGCCAAGTCCCGGACCTCCGAGCGTCCAGCACCCTATGCCTACGATGGGGTCTGCCGACTTCCCACAGGAGGGCATGCATCAAATGCACAAGGTAAGCAGCTGTTCTCCTGTTCGGTCTCCTCTTCTGGGTCTTGGGCAGCTAACATCCCGGTAACCTCTGCCCCTCTGTTTCTGCTGTTTTTACGAGAGAAACGAGGTCCTTTGTCTTACCCTGAACGTTATTAAAAACATACCTTCTGGGGCTCGTTTATTGGTACAGATGTTGCACCAGTCAGGAAGATCGGATTTGTGTCTTTTTAAAAAAAGGACAAGATAGAGTATGCAGTTCTGATAGTTAAATTCTCTGATGTATGGGATGCAGCTATTTTGGCTTGGTGAATATGTGTATAAGTGAATAAGTCTGACAATTAAATTAACTTTTATCAGCCACAATTGAACATATTGAGAATTATTCTTTTTCTTTTTTTTTTTTTAATCTTGGTATTTATTTTAAAAATTAGACCCCAAAGAGTAAAAGGAAAATGAGTCCCTTCCTGAAGATCAGAAGTGGTTCCTGGGAGGCCCTCGCATGCACTTGGCTGTCAGTCTCAGGGGCTTCCTCCTGGGGGAGGGGCTTGTTTCGGGACTGTTACGATGACCCTCTGTTTGGAAGCCTCGGGCTGTTGCTGTGCGGACGGTCATACTGGTACAGCGTTGGCATTAGGCCTTCACAGGACACACAAAGGAGAGAGGACAGCCTTTAGAGCAAGTAAACAAGAGCCTCTGAGACAGTTTGCTTTGAAAGTTAGCAAGAGCCAAAGAAACTCTAGGAGGCCATTGCATGTTACCTGAAGGTCGTGCCTGATGAGACAAGCAAAGGCTTTGCATCCCCTGTGGATGACGGACGCCACGGGGGGATAGGGCGGTGGAATGCCTATTAGCGTTAAACAGAACGCGGAAGATACTGGTTTAACACTGAAAGATTACTGCAAAAGAGAGCAAGTCTTTCCTCTAATTGTGTGGGACTGTAAGTCAGTTTTAAGCTAAGGCATTGGAAACCAAAAGAAAAGATCCACTTTTTTATAAATTTTGTAATCTGATGATTTTCAAATCAGAACAGTTACTATATTGCTTGTTTTGAAAAATGAAACCACACAGATAAATAAAGGAGATGGCTAAACCTGGCTCTACCCAGGATTGTTGACAACTCTTCACACCTCACTTTTTCTCCGTCTCAGGAAGCTCAGGAAAAATCATACACAGGTGTGATTCGTTTAAAAATAATTTTTCTTTCACTGTAATAGAATCATATTCCTACTTAATTACTCTGCAACTTCCTTCTTTGCGTTTAAAAATATATTGTGATTATCCCTATAATGTTCCCAAGTTCTCTCTCTTGTTTTATTTTTAGAAAGAGAAAAACAAAACACATTTTAGCTTGTCAGGTAGCTGAAGAAATAAAGCTGTTTTTTTTTTATATCATATTTTTAGCAGACATACTGAACATATAGACATACTGAAGTCATTAAATTGTCTTCTGCTCATATTAAATTAATTTGGGAGCTGTATTATAGATCTGATCTGTCACTTGTAAAACCTTAGTCCAGGTGGGTTAAATAATTTCAGAATGGGTTAAGGATGTCTCACCTCCAAAATGAAAGATAAAATGTGAAGGACATATTTAGCTAATCTTTATGATTATTTAAGCATTTAAAAGTTAGCTGGCCCTAGACGGTTTGGCTCAGTGAATAGAGCGTTGGCCTGTGAAATGAAAGGTCCCAGGTTCAATTCTAGTCAAAGGCCTGGGTTGTGGGTTGATCCCCAGTGGGGGACTTGCAGGAGGCAGCTGATCTCTCATCATGGATGTTTTTTTTATCTCTCTCTCCCTCTTCCTACATCTCTGAAATCAATAAAAATATATTTTAAAATAAGTTAGCTATATAAAATAAGCGTTGTTTCAGTGTTACATTTTTGCACTGGGTTGTTTTTATTAATAATTATCTCTTCTGACCCCTTCTGTTCACATGTCCTCATATTCTCTACCCCCATCTGAAGTCTTTTTTGTTTGGTTTGGTTTTGCTCTCATTCTGCAAGGTGTGCATTTTTTTGCCAATCTGGTTTTCCTGAACCCCCGCCCCTCAGACAATTCCCTGTGTGAGGATGTGTTTAGTGCCTAAGTTCACACCTGCTGGCCAGATGCCTTTGCTTTCTTAGACTCTTTTTAAGGACAGCTGTGTGCCTCGTCTTTCTCCCCCTTCTCCCTCTGAGCGTCAGCTTTTTGCTTTGCAACATGACTGGAAATAAATAAACAAGTGGCCTAAATGCATCTGCTGTGCTGCTTTGATTTCCTCCCTATTATTACTACTTAACACACTCAGAGACGCTCTTTATACCAGACCCTTCCGATTTTTCTTCTGAACATCCTCTTTATGGTACATTTTCCCTCTTTTCAAGTGCATGCTTTTGACTCTGCAGAAATTAACTTTCCTTTCTCCAAAACTGCAAACATTCATGCTTTCTTGTTTGAAGTTATTTGGTTTCTATAAACTCCTGGAAATATTCCTTTCAGGCTGTTTTTGAAAATTGCTGTTGCAGTTTGCAGAGGAATGGGCCTTTCCTTTCCCAAACGCATGCTCCCTTGCCCGGTGCTGGATTGGATTAAAGTCCGCTCGGAAGCTATTTGTTGTGTGTCTGTTATGCACGAGGCCTTAGGTCCTGTCCCCAGACCCTGTGTCCTTATTCCCCCACACCGTGCCTTTCAACCTTTCCAGTCTGGCCCCTCTGTGGCACAGCTTCATCTGTGTCACTGCCTTCCCTTTCAGTGCTCACCCCCTCCTCTGCCCTACCCGGTCTGTTTCTCTTTCCCCAACTGCCATGGAACGTTCTGGTTTCAACTTTACAACTCTCCATAGTCCCTCTGCTACGATGACAAAAAAAAAAAAAAAAAAAAATTACCCAATAAATCGATCCTCACAGACGTTTCAAATAGTCTTCCTTCAGACCTGGGACTCACTTCAGGTTTCAGGACTTACTTAGGAAGGTATGGAAGGACAGCTTCTATTCGTATACCTTGCGAGCAGGATTTTATTTTTACTTTCCGGTTTTGATGTGACAGGAAAAATTCAGCTGTGTATAGTCTTACCTTTTGACTTACAGGTAGTTTTGATGATCCTATTGATGTAGTCTTTTTTATTTTTTTTTGTCCCCACCTCTAAAATATATGGTAGGGCCGAAACCAGTTTGGCTCAGTGGATGGAGCGTCGGCCTGCAGACTGAGAGGTCCTGGGTTCGATTCCGGTCAAGGGCATGTACCTTGGCTGTGGGCACATCCCCAGTGGGGGGGGTGCAAGAGGCTGCTGATCTCTGTTTCTCTCTCATCGATGTTTCTAACTCTCTATCCCTTTCTCTTCCTCTCTGTAAAAAATTCAATTAAAAAAAAATATATATATATATATGATATGTGATAGGTGATTGTGCCACAGTTTGGAGGACTTTAGAGAGGGGACTTAAAACTCCACATAGAGCCGAAACCGGTTTGGCTCAATGGATAGAGCGTCGGCTTGGGGACTGAAGGGTCTCGGGTTCGATTCCGGTCAAGGGCATGAACCTTGGTTGCGGGCATATCCCCGGTAGGGGATGTGCAGGAGGCAGCTAATCGATGACTCTCTCTCATTGATGTTTCTAACTCTCTATCTCTCTCCCTTCCTCTCTGTACAAAATCAATAAAATATATTTTTAAAAAAACCAAAAAAAACCCACATAGAGACATTCTGTATGAAGGAGGAGTCTAACAGCAGCGCTTCTCCTGTTTCAGCCCCTGGACGGCATGCACGACAAGGGGATTGTGGAAGACAGCCACTGCGGGCCCATGAAGGGCACCGGCATGCGACCGCCTCACCCGGGGATGGGCCCGCCCCAGAGCCCGATGGATCAACACAGCCAAGGTCGGTAAGGCTGCCTGCCTGCCTGATGTGGGCTTCAAACCACAGTCTTCCATCTTTCCTATTAGTTATTTTAAATATCACTCCCAAAGAACGTGTCGGAGGAAGACTGAATCCAGCAGGTTCCTTTTCTCTGTAGAAATCACCCCTAGTCCCCACCAACACAACTTGACTATTCATGTGGTCACTTTCACTAAAAAAGTCCTAGTCATGTTACTAGCTTTCCCTCGGGCTAGCCCAGTGCCCTGTGTACCTCACCCAGAATCTTTATCGTGAGGTAGTTAGGTGAATGATAGTATCCCGGTTTTATAGATTTATAGATGGGGGGAAAAGAGAATTTACTCTGTTTTCCCATGTTTCCACCACCGTGAGGGACAGGGCCGGAAGGAAGAGCCGGGTCTGCCTCCCCAACAACAGTAGGTGTGAAGGCACATGAGCCACCTGAGTCCCTCAAACTGCACACCCATACGTTGTCAGAAAGGGGCCTTTTCCTGTCAGTGCGACGGGTGGTTGTGTTTGTCTCCTGGGCCTGCCATAACAAATCACCACAGACTGGGTGGCTTCAAACAGCAGAAGGTTATTCCTGCACAGTTCTGGAGGCTGGAAGTCTGGAGTCAAGGTACCAGCAGGGCCAGGCTCTCTGAGGACTGTAGGGAAAAATTTGTTGTCTCTTCCTAGCTTCTGGAGATTGTCAACATCCTTGGAATTCTTTGGAATGCTGGTCTGCCCCTCCTATCTCTGTCCTGATCTCCACATGACATTTTTCCTGTGTGTCTGTGTCTGCTTCCAGATTTCCTTCCTCTTATAAAGATACCGTCATCAGATTAGGACCTGCCCTAATGCACTATGACGTCATCTTTAAAAAAAAAATTTTTTTCTTGATTTCAAAGAGGAAGGGAGAGGGAGAAAGAGATAGAAGCATAAATGATGAGAGAGAATCACCAACCAGCTGCCTCCCACACAGCCCCTTTCTGGGTATCAGAGCCCACAGCCCAGGCATGTGCCCTGACTGGGAATCGAACTGTTATCTCCTGGTTCATAGATCGATGCTCAACCACTGAGCCATGCTGGCCAGGCAACCTCATCTTAATTTGATCACATCTGCAAGGATCCTATTCCCAAATAAGGTTACATTCACAGGGACTAGGGGTTAAGGTTTCAAACTTATCTTTGGAGAGGGCACAATTCAACCCACAATAATGGCCAAATCAATAGATGGAATATTTCTCTTCTCCTTGGTGCCTTTGCCCCTCACTGTTGAAGGCATGTAAAGATACCTCAGAGTCGTTTGAATACAATGTAACTTGTTTTCAGAATCATGGTATGGTCATTTAAACATGCAAGGGGCATGGGTTCCTCTAGCACTAATTAACCCCAGTATGTTGATATTCTAACTCAAAGTTTATGGTTTATGCATTCTATTGTATACTCCTATGTAATTATATATGTATGAGCTTTTTTCTCCATCAGTGATTAGGCATCCAATCACCTGAGAGAAGATTTTCCAGTGTAAGGATTTAGAAAAATGTAGTCAGTGTGCGTGTCTATGTGTGTGTGTGTGTGTGTGTGTGTGTGTGTGTGTGTATTATTAAATATATGCAAATCTTGGTGGCATAGGAGTGCGACTTCACTAATATGCAAACAGGGTTAAGACTATCCCAGACTCTGAATTTTGATGACAGGTGGGTATAACTGTTGCAGATGACTCACAAAATCTTGACCATAACAGAAAAGCATACTGAAAGAGTCTTGGGACGTTTTGCAGCCCAGGAAGAAAAAAAATTGACCCATTCAGTGTTAAGAATGAATTAAAATTCTAGAGAGCCAGGTGCCAATGTAGCTCTAATTTTTAACACTTGGGAAGTGAATATGAGTTGTATTAAGTGATTGGCAAAGCCATGTGCTTGCTCTATCTGTTCTGGCTTTGTGGTGCCTCTAACTGTGGGCCATGGGAAAACTCCAAAATGCTTGAATTATAATGGGGTATTTTTACTTTTATGTATCCTCAAATTTCTCTCATTGCTTGGCTCCTCTCATCAACTTAAGAATGATGATTTTTCTTGGATTCTCCAACACTTGGCACCAATGTGTATGTAGCACAGAACTGGATACATACTTAGTAAATTTTGCTCAATTAGGTAGAGAAGTGAACCTATGCACTCAAAAATCAACAATTTTAAATAACTCTTAATCTTTATATAATTTCAGTAAATTATAATTACTTTCAAATTCAGGGGTCTGCATTAAGTGGAATCAGAATTAGCAAGTCACATTTTTCTCTAAAATAGCAAAAGCACATTGTAGGCTGGGGAATGAGATATTTAAACATGTATTTTTGACAAAGTCGTATTGGTATAATGCAGTCTTATAATGATTTTAAAAGACTTTAGACTCTATAATAGCACATATCTTAAAAAACCCTACTGTAGAAAGCCATTTATAAGCACACAGGTACAGGGAGGTGTGGTATTGATCAGAAACCTGCCAGCTTTAACTACCTAGCAACCTATTAGGTTATTTTAAGCGATTGGTTGAGAAGCAAAACCATTTCCTTCAATAAATACTGAATTGTGTAGCTTATTGTCCCATGATAACATTTTTTATTTTTAGTCCATTGGGTAAAAAAAAAAAAAAGTCTTCAGAGGCAAGTATATAATATTTCATGTTTGCATGTATGTATGTGAAGAGAAAAATTTATATAAAATTGGCACTTATAAGTTCAAGATTATTAAAAGGAGAAAGATGATTGTGTTTCTCTGAGGCAAGGTGAAACTGGGGAGATAATGGCTCTTGAGGACAAGGAAGAGAAAACTGCCACATTTGATTGCTTTTGAATGAGCATATCAAATCAGATTTCAAAAAGAGCAGATTCTATATAAACGTGGTCATCCTCCAGACAAATATTCACTCTTGGGCAATTTCCTCACTGTTTCCTCAACTAAAGATAATTGCCAAAATACTTGTTGTTTCATCGTTTAGATTCTGTTTTTCCTAAAATTTTATTGAATGCTAGTCATTTAGAACAAAAAATTCTCTATATCTGAATCACTGTCACATCCTATATAATGAAAGCCTAATATGCTAAGTGTCCAGTCATCAATTCAACCAATCAAAGCATAATATGATAATGATATGTTAAGGCCGCTCAATAGCTTACTATGATGTGCACTGACCACCAGGAGGCAGGCAGTTGACCAGCCGACCATCCGTTATGACGCATACTGACTACCAGGGGACAGATGCTCTGACTGGTAGGTTAGCTTGCTGCTGAGGACCGGCCAATCAGGACTGAGTGAGAGGGGCCAGACATCCCATGGGGTCCTCCTGCAGACCCTCCCTAACTGGCCAACCTCCTGCTTCCCTCCCTTTCCCCGATCATGCACTAGTGGGGTCCCTTGGCCTGGCCTGTGTCCTCTCACAATCCAGAGATGTAGGAGAGCTGGTTTGGCCCAGTCCCAAAGGCCAGGCCGAGGGACCCCACTGTTGCACTAATTCGTGCACTGGGCCTCTAGTCTTTAATATCATTCTGTGATAGAAGGATTCTATTGACATTCCCTATAAATTCTAGGAAGCGATTTTTTCCCACCTTTAGTTTCTTCTTATTAATTTGAATTAAAATTGTGTTTATTGATTAATTATGGAAAGTGATTTTTATCCCACCTCCAGTTTCTTTTTTAACCAGTTTGAAGTAAAATTAATTACTGTGCACGATGTAACTGTCTCACGTTCATAGCTTTGCCCACAGTTCACAGTGTACACGAGATTTGATAAACAGTGTTAGACAGTTGAGCTAAGACCGGACTGTTCATTCTGCTTTGGTTCACTATGTTAGGCATCCTCTGACAACAGGTAAGCTGTAATTGATAACCTTAGGAAACGGGAGAGACATGTAGTATGACCCATTTTAACACCTTCCACTGTGCGTGTCATTAGCTCTGGTAGGAAGTTTTTCTCCCTGTGATGGGCACACGGTTGGCCAAAAGGTGTCAGGAAGGTGCTTTTATAATGAACAAAAGCTTTGCACCAGCATTACAATTAGAGAGCTAAGCCTCATTAAAAAAGGAAGAATGTTAATGATGAAGCTAGGTGTATGTTATTGGGATTAAATTTCTGTTAGCTTTGCAGGCTGATTTCAGGGGCATTTTCTTGGCTAACTTACCATGACCAACCAGAACCCCGCAGGCCGTGTGGTTCTGCGCTCCCTGTGGAGGAGGGATTTGGGGAATGAGGACTGTTCTTCATTTCTCGTCAGGACAGGATTTCTCTGAAAGGAGTGCTACTGGTCCCCAGTGGATAGAACAAACCCTCCTCTTGTCTTAGGGGACCAAGCCAACTTTGTTTCCCTTTCCAAATGACAATCTGAGATGAGAGTAACTGTGTCCTTTACTTTCTGTCGTCTGCTGAAGGGTGATCACGGTACGTCCCCAGCCGGTGGCAGTCACCGTCTCAGGTCGCTCTGGTCCCACAGAGGTGCACAAAGCTGTCTCAGCTCACACTCAACAGAGGGTCAAACACACTGCACCTGCCCAATCAACACCGAGATGCCAACCTTTATGGTAATGGTGGCACATGTCCATTTATGAAAGGGCAGAGACCTTCTATCTGGTCTTTTATATTGTGTCTGAGGACACCTCTGACTTCAGTATTTAGCACCTGGTTTGAAGTCAAGGTGACCTCTCAGATGGCAGTCGGCCACTCTGTTCTCTCCTTCGTCTGGGATCTCCCTCCAGCCACACACAGGCATGGGTTTATTGAGGAATTCTGCGGCTGAGCTGTACAGTTTCATTCCTGAAACAAGCTCCTTGTGATTTTTGTTCTTTTTGCCTTTTCTTCCTCAAGAAAAGTATTCTTAAACCTCTCATTTAGATCTCTTATAACCCAAACTGTGCACTCTTACTTTTATGTATGGTGGTCTTTAGATGATTTTTGAAACTTTTTTTTAAAATATATTTTATTGATTTTTTAGAGAGGAAGGGAGAGGGATAGACAGCTAGAAACATCAATGAGAGAGAAACATTGATCAGCTGCCTTCTGCACCCCCCTCCACTGGGGATGTGCCCGCAACCTAGGTACATGCCCTTGACCGGAATCAAACCTGGGACTCTTGAGTCAGCAGGCTGACGCTCTATCCAATGAGCCAAACCAGTTAGGGCAGATTTTTGAAACTTTTAAGTCTTGAAAAAGCAAAGCTAATAGTATTTTTATCCAACAGTTAATCTTAAGACCTGAGAAAGAACCCAGGGACATGAGCACTGACAGGCGGTCCTTAGCGTGTAAACACCCAGCTCCTCACTCCTCCCGGGGTGACGTGGGGGCCAGTTATTTACTTTATATCCCAGAGCTTCTGCAATGAGACTAACCTCCAGGCACCCGCTGCTGCAGCAGCTGGTTCGGCAGCACAGCCCTTCCCGGCTGCCTGCCCTCCTTCACTCACCTTCCCGTCCCCTGGCCAGTACCCTCGCCCCTTCCCCGGGCACCACCTGTGCTCCGTCCTTCCATCGGCTGTTTCCCGGGAGAACTCAGCAAAGACAGCACGCACAGTGCCATGTGCGCTCCCACCGCCGTGGAGACCCTTGATAATTGCACACTCCTCCCGATGTGCATAACAGACCAAGTAATCTCTACCCCTGTCAGAGACGCTTCCTTTCACGTTGGGATACTGCAGAGACCTTCGGGTTTTGTTTGGATGTTGGAGCGCCTTTTAGTGTGTAAGACGTCCCCCCAGGTGCCTCCCTGTAGGCGGACAGCAGCCACTCACAGTTTACCCTCGAGGACACGTGGCGGCTCTTGACCCCTTGAAGTGTGGCTGGTCTGAATCGAGATGTGTGAACAAAAGGAGGATGCATTGCTCTCTTTACCAGTCTTTGCAATTTGAGATGATAATATCTTGGGTACAGTGATTTAAGTGGAATGTATTATTAACATTGGTTTTATCTGCTTCTTTTACTTTTTAATGTAACTGCTAGAAAAATTTAAATTTTATATGTATATATATATATATATATATCTGATATATATTTATATATAAATCTTGTTAGGTGATAATGTGATGATTACATTAGGTACATTTTGAATTGCTATCAGACAGTGCTACTGTAGGAAATTACCAAGATATTCAGGGATGCCTCTCCCCCGAGGGTCGTCAGGGGCAGCCTGTGATGTCCCTCTGTGTTTCCTTCTAGGCTACATGTCGCCACACCCGTCTCCCCTGGGAGCCGCGGAGCACATCTCCAGCCCTATGTCGTCGGGAGGCGGCCCCACCCCACCCCAGATGCCACCGAGCCAGCCCGGGCCCCTCATCCCCGGCGACCCGCAGGCCATGAGCCAGCCCAGCAGAGGCCCCTCGCCTTTCAGTCCCGTCCAGCTGCACCAGCTGCGGGCTCAGATTTTAGCTTATAAGATGCTGGCCCGGGGCCAGCACCTCCCCGAGACGCTGCAGCTCGCGGTCCAGGGGAAGAGGACGTTGCCTGGCATGCAGCAGCAGCAGCAGCAGCCGCCGCCGCAGCCCCAGCAGCAGCCGCCGCCCCAGCCGCAGCAGCCGCAGCAGCAGGCCCTCGTGAACTTCAACAGGCCAGCTGGTAGGTTAACGGGCACCCACGTGAGTCACGTGACGGTCCAGCTCGGAGGAGGAAGCCTGCTGGTGGCACAGACGCACCGGGCTGGTAGAAGCCCAGGGCTGTCTCAACCTTTCGCTGTGCTGGGCCAGCCGGTTCCCTTTGCCTTGCTTTACTCAGTTGGCCCAGATTCCTGGTCTCCTCTGCTGTTTGAGCGCCTCAGCCACTGGGGACTCTGGTGCAAGCTGTAGACCTCGGCACAAGGCGCCGTCTCTTATGATTCTGCATTCTCTCTCAAGAGGGGCAGGGTTTGCGGAAGCCCATCCGCCAGCCCCAGGTACAGAACTCGGCGCCCAGTGCCTTCCATCCCTAAAAGCGTACTCCTTGAATCTGCTCTTCTCGAGCCATTTGATGCCCTTTGATTGATTTCTTTCTGTCCCTTCTCGTTGTGGAAAGCATTTGGGGAGGCTTCCCAGACACATACCTGCAGTGAAATCATTGTCCAATAGAGAGTCAGAAACAACGGGAAATGGAAGTCCAGGTCGAGCATGCAGGGGCCACAGGAGTTCTCGTGGTTGCCGCATCTGAGCATCCAAGGTGACGGTGTCCAGGCAGGAAAGACTCGGGCACCTAAGTCTCACCACTCGAGAGGAAGTTGCTCACCAGTTCACAGAGGACACAGGCCCATTTGTAGCTTGAGAGTAAAACGTGGATTTCCTAGGTGGAATTTATTATTATTATTATTATTATTATTATTATTATTATTACTAGAGGCCCGGTGCACGAAATTCATGCGCATGGGTGGGGTGTGGGGAGGGGTGTCCCTCAGCCCAGCCTGCACCCTCTCCAATCTGGGATCTCTCTCACAATCCAGGACTGCTGGCTCCCAACTGCCTTCCTGATTGACCCTAACCACTTCTGCCTACCAGCCTGATCATCCCCTATCCACTAGGTGGAAATTATTATTATTATTATTATTATTATTATTATTATTATTTTATTATCATTATTACTTTAATCCTCACCTGAGGATATGTTTTTATTGATTTTAGAAAGGGAGATAGAAACATTGATGTGAGAGAGAAACATTGATTGGTTGCCTCCTATATGTGCCCAGAACCAAGAATTGAACCTTGGTATATGCCCTGGCCGGGAATCGAACCCACAACCTTTTGGTGTACGAATAATGCTCCTATCACCTGGGCCATCTGACCAGGGCTGGCATTGTCATTTTAAACGATGTTACGACTGTAAGTGGTGCTGCATGACTGAGGCATCGATGACATTTGTTCATCATAAACCGAGTAACAGAACCCTCATGGCCTAGTTCTTATGTATCCTGGAATCAAAGTTGAGGCAATGACATATGTCACGTGTTGAGATGAGATAGTCCTTGTGTGGCCTCTTGGTGGTCTGACTTCATCCCACTGGTAGAATTCAGAGCTACCAGGGGCTATAGGATGCCCTTTCCTGAATGTTGTTTTTCTCTGGGAAGGTTATGGGTGAAGTTCCAGTTGTCTGCGTACTTGAATGTAACACATACTTCCTGTCCTAATAAACACCATCCTGTGCGTTCTCTGGATCATTTTCAGAAGAGAGGGTTTCATTTTTTTTTTTTTAACCCAGCTCAATGCCTACCTCTTCCCTCACCAAGCCCCCGCCATCTGGGGGAATTCGCTTTATTACTCACTGCCCGTGTCTTTTGGATTTCCAGGAGTCAGACTTCCCTAGAAATGGAAATATTTGGGCAGACAGTGTTTTATGCCAGAGTGGGCGAGGAGGACGTGGATGGAGGAGGAACCTCCTCAAACAGAGCCGGCCCATTCCTGCCCTGGGAAGGGCGTCACCTCTGACAGCCTTGCTGAACTTTCCCCCAAATCTCAGGTTTCACAGGGAGATGACCTTCCCTGACAAAGACTTTTTTTTTTTTTTTTTTTTTTTTTTTGGATTGGCATCTAGGACAAGTCAAAATAAGGAGAGAATTTTTTTTTAAGTTACTATTACCTTTTATTAATTGTTACTGCTTATCTTCCTCTCCCTCTTTTTAAGTAATGTTTTTGTTGATTTCAGAGAGGAAGGGAGAGGGAGAAAAATACAAACATCATCAATGAGAGAGCCGTATTGATCGGCTCTCTCCTGCATGCCCCCCACTGGGGATCCATCAAGCCTGCAATCTGGGCATGTGCCCTGCCTGGGAGTTGAACCGGGATTTCTTGGTCCTTTGGGCAGCGCTCAATCCATTGAACCACACCAGCCTCCCCCCTCCCCCTTCCTTTGTAAAATAAAGTATAACTGCTTATAAATACCTCCACAAATATTTCAGAAAAAATAAGTTTAAGTATGTCCACTTATCTGGAGGTAGCTGTGATTTCATTTTCCTTTTGTCCCATTTTCTGGTGCTATTCGTGTCTGAAAAGAATCTTTTTGGCTGGGGTGGTCTGCCTGAAACCTGCTCCAAGGTTATAAATCACCAAAATTGACATCATCACAGCTAACACCAGAGAATTACAGTTTGACTGGAGGAATAGCTCACCAAGCAAGTAACTCTTCAGTCCTGTTATGGGCTGCTCTCAAATCTAACCCGTCATTTTTCTTTTTACTCTGATTCATTTTTCCTTTTAGATACTAAAGCAAAATTAAAAATGGGAACTGAAAAAAGTTTGGGTTGATGGTGTGGGGGAGCATGCAGAAAGGACTTTATGGTAGAAAGCAAAGTTTTATTGCTCAGTTTTTTCAATCCCCCTTCCACTTCCACATTTTTAGTCAACTAAAGTTTCTTGGTATGTTCAATTTAATTATGCTTTATTACATTTCTTCTTTTTCTTTTCAATAGATTTTTATTGATTTCAGAGAGAAATGGTGAGGGAGGGAGAGACAGAAACATCGATGATGAGAATCATTGATTAGCTGCCTCCTGCACACCCCTTGCTGGGGATGGAGCCCGCAACCAGGGCATGTGACCTGACTGGAATTGAACTGTGACTTCCTGGTTCATAGGTCGACCCTCAGCCATTGAGCCACGCTGGTAGGGCCATTTCTTTTTTTAGCCTGTGGAAACCACTTCAGTCCCTCTTTAATGCACAGAATTGTTATTTGCCTAACTACCTTTGTGAGCCAGAAGGCAAGTTGGGAACTCCGAATGCATAGACATTCTGTACTTGTGAGATTGAGGTGTTTGAATGAGTTTGTTTCCCTGTTTCTTAAACTCAGGCGTGAGGTGCATCCAGTAAAGACCCCCCCGTCCCCTTAGCAGCACTGGGATGCCCCACAGGAGAGTCAGAGCATCCCTCCACCTTGACTTCTAAGGTGAGGACTGAAGGGAAAGCAGATGCTTTTTGTACCTCCGACTAAACCTAAACTGTTTACATTGTTGAGGGAGTCGGAGATAAGCCAAAGAATGTAATTTGTCTTCCATCGGCAGATACCAGGGAGAGGTCTTATCAGTTAGCAGACCACCAGTGTCTGCTGTGGCGACGATTTCCCTCAATAGCAGATCCGCCAGGCAGCTCCTCTCTCAGCCGCCCGCCAGAGGGACAGGCGGTGCCATCCTGGGCATGCCTGCTGGTGGCAAGCTGCCTCTGTGTAAACAGAAGTTTTTTCTGGAATCGGTTAGAGGGAGTAGAAAACACCCACACAGTAAATAAACGTGTGTGTTTAGTTAGGAAAGGAGTGTGCTTGTGAGTCCGATTGCAGGTTCCCAGGAAGCACGTGGCCAGCCCGCTTCTCTGCATGGTTGTGCTGAGTCGTATCGAACGGCAGGTACAGTGTGAAGTTTGCTGTAGAGGAGGGAGCGTTTCCAAAGTTGCCCGCTAAGACCATAGCGAATTCCCCCACATCCTTTCTGTGCCATGCAGTCTGGGCAGAGCCCAGGAATTAAACTAGATTTTTTTATCTGTGTGTCCTTGGTGGCAGCCAAAATGACAAACGCTGAGGGTGGAGCAGAGTTTCATTGCCTCATTGATTCCTCACTGCTACCCTTTGAGGTGGGTACTGTTACTACCGCCATTCTGCAGATGAGGAAACTGAGGCACAAGGGGTTAATGAAGAGTTGCGCAGGCTCACACAGCCAGCAGGCGGTAGAGCTGAGGGGAAGCTTGCCTTTCTTTCTCTTTGGGTCCAGCGTGCTTTAAGTGTCCCTGTTTAATTCACGGTAATTTGTAGTACTTTTTAAGTTGAAGATTTGGATATGTAAATCCATGTTTGGGTCTCTCTCTTTCTCTCTCTGCTTCTCAGTTTTAAGGACCAATCAGCCAGATAAGAATGTCTTTATATTTATCGGCCAAAGGCCAGCCATGCGTGTGTCAGCTTTAGTAGGGAGTCAGAGGCTAGAAATGACTAGATTCGGAGCCAGGGATATCACACATGCCCTGGATGCCTTTTTTAGGGGGGTGAGGGGGGAGAGGAATGTGGTTTTAAAAACAGTGACTTGAATAGATACATCAAGGAGTCACTTCTGCCTAGGTACCTGCAGACCATGATTCTGGGCTAAAGAAAAAAATGCCCAGAATAATTGAAACTGTAACACTATTACACTGTTCGGGCTTTTTGTTGATGAATTATTTAAACTTTAGAAAGAGGAAAAAACAATTTGAGAGCTAAATTTAAGGTAATTATTATGAAATTATCTTTTCAGTAAGACACACATGTTCTTTTTTATTAAAGGTGGTGGTGGGGTTTTCCTTATTTAGTATGCTATACCAAGCCTTAAGATATATTCAATTCTGCCAGTTTCCTGAGCTTATTAAGGAGGGTTGTAGAATTACAGGAGATTAAAGAAAGTGTTAGAAACCTCCAGCTCCTCTCTTCTGGCTGGATCACCTAAAGCGTCCCAAGTGAGACATCTACCCTGTTTTTAAAGACCTCTAGGGAAAAAACTGCCCAATGCTTAACAACCCTGAGGCGTAATGCTTAGAAATTGGTTTCTTTTAAAAAATATATATATATATATTTTATTGATTTTTTACAGAGAGGAAGGGAGAGAGATAGAGAGCTAGAAACATTGATGAGAGAGAGTCATCCATCAGCTGCCTCTTGCACACCCCCTACCTGGGATGTGCCCGCAACAATGTACATGCCCTTGACCGGAATCGAACCCGGGACCTTTCAGTCCGCAGACCGACGCTCTACCACTGAGCCAAACCAGTTTTGGCAGAAGTTGGTTTCTTATATATGGATGAAAGAAATTCTAAGTATAAAATATTATGAAAAGCTATGCAACTATGCAAAAGACCTCTCATTCAGGAAAAAAAAAACAAAAAAAAAACAAAAACAAAAAAAACACCAGAGAGTACTTAGTTGAAAAGAATCTCTTATTTATGGTAGTACACCTAAAATGCCTATAATAAGAATCAATATTTTTCCCACAAGAATTCTTCATCAACACCAGAATCAGGGCTACAGATTACCTGGAGGAGTCTTATTTAGCTCTGTAATTTTTGGAAAGTTTTACCTAACTTCAGAAGAAGTGGGGAAAGGAACAGTAGTAACACTACACACACACACACACACACACACACACACACACACACACACTGCAGTTTCCTAAGCAGTTTGCTCTAATTCTTCACATTCCTCCTGTCAGAATGTTTGCTTATGGCTACCTGTGCATTGTCATGTACTCCCATTTCTAAAAGGTATGTGCTGGAAATTGAATAAAAGTGTTTTAATTTTTCATAATGTATATCTTTGTATGGTTAATTATTAAGCCCTTCTGAAGTATAGAGACTATTATTTTTGTTAGCATTGAATCATTTTAATTCTTCTTAGAATAGATATAGATAATTCTTGAGAGAATGCCTGTGGGAGGTTTTAACTTCTCCTTGCTGAGATTTTCTTTTCTCTAATTCACTAAGTCATCTGGTGGCATCTCTGATCATATTTATAATTTTGAAGGAAGTAAAAATCCACTTAGGAGGAGAGATGGAATCTTCCTATGTTGGGCTTATACTTACCATCCCAACCTTTTAGGCTCAATGTGGACAGTTGCTTTAAATTAACGTATTAAGTGCAGTTCAGTAAGCTTGACGAATGCAAAGCCCTTTATTCTGATCCCTGTACTACTAATCTTCATATTTGCTAGTTTTTATTGGGTGGAAGAAGCAGTTTTTTTTCCCTCTGCACTGCATGTTTTTAGAAATATCCCAGATAGGTAGTAAGAAATTGAAGTTCTGAGATGCACTGATTTAATCTGAATTTTACTTTATAGGTCATGGGGGGAAATGCATGCCCCTCTTGAGTTCACACCAGAGCACCGCAGGCATCCGGCTGCTTTTGTAAGGCCTGGCTCTGACAGCAGGGCCCGTCCAGAGGGGCTGAGGCCACCTGCAGAGCTGCCTGCAGTTTGCAAAGTGTGATTTTTAGGATCACACCCAGATTGCATCTGACTTCGGTTATGTCGTTAACTTGCTTTTCAATAACCTAACTGACTTAGGTTGTTATTCCCTTCCTTTTCTGAACTCTGAATGCACCTGTAGTTCTTTTTAAAAATCCACTTTCCATGTAGGGACCTACATCAAAATCTGACAGCCCATTCTTTTAGTCAGTTTACTATTTAGGAGCCATTTGGGGGCCATTTCCACGAATGCTCATTAGCGAATGCCATTCTCCTTGGCCCCAGGTCCTTCTTTCTCTTGCCCTGCCTTTCCTCTCCACACCTCCCTCCTTTCATTTTTCTTCCCCCCTTTTTCCTGGTCACCATCCCCGGGCCCCAGGGGGACAGTGGGCAGGCCCGGTGTGGCCGCAGGTCGATGACCCGCCCGAGCTGCTCACACGGCTCTCGTCCTGCAGGCCCCGGGCCAGAGCTGAGCGGCCAGAGCACCCCGCAGAAGCTCCCCGTGCCTGCGCCCAGCGGCCGGCCCTCACCCGCGCCCCCCGCAGCAGCCCAGCCGCCCGCAGCTGCAGTGCCCGGGCCTTCGGTGCCGCAGCCTGCGCCTGGGCAGCCCTCGCCCATCCTGCAGCTGCAGCAGAAGCAGAGCCGGATCAGCCCCATCCAGAAACCGCAAGGCCTGGACCCCGTGGAGATTCTGCAGGAGCGGGAATACAGGTAATGCACCCCGTCCCGCCCAGTCCCGTCCCCGGAGGCGTGAAGCTCTGTTCTTGCAGGTATCCCCGAGTCTGGCGGGTGGGTGCAGGGCTGCCGTTGCTCCTCTCTTTGGGGCGAGGGAAAGGCCCGAGGAAGATGGCAGAGGCCAAAACTCATGCGATGAGAATGATTTCAGCAAAGCAGGGCTGGGAAGGCGATTGAGTCGGGGGCTCTCCGGGTTGGCGGGGCTGTGATTTCCACTCATTTAATCAGGAAACTTTTATCAGCCCCCAGTGACGTGCCAGGCACTGTATCAGGCACTGGGGTGTGAGCATCCGTGGTTTCTCCGATTAGGGGTGCCTGATGTAGTTTGCCAGCTTGTCCTAGAGCGGTGACTGCAGGTGGGTCAGATGCTGTGTGTTTTGAGTTGGCCTGACCTTGTTGATGCTGAAGTACACTTTGGTAGGTATAATACAGTTTTTGTTTAAATTCATGCACGATCTGGGTCTCTGCCTCGTTAGTATATGTGCTGCTGAAGCGAGCACCTGCTCTATGCCTTGGTCCAGTGTTTCCCAAAGTCTGGTACGCGTACCCCCAGGGATACGGGAAGAGTTTGGTGGGGGTACGCTTTGCACCATGCTTAGCTGCGCCTAATTCTACGTCCGCATGAGTACGAGGGGTACTCAGCGTTACGAAAATTATAGAAGGGGGGGTACACACATGTCAAAAGTTTGGGAAACACTGCGGTCCAACGTTAGGAGTAAGCCCTACGTAGGTGTCTTCGTGTGGGGTCCTTTCAACGCATCCTCTAGAAGCTTATTTTCACCTGATTTGGCACATTTGTCTAAACCAGGAGTTGGCAGACCTTCTCTGAAAAGGTCCAGGTAGTAAATGTTTTACGCTTTGCAGGGCCATGTGTCCTCTTTGACAACTACTCATCTCTGCCCTGGAGTGAGAAAGCAGCCCAGATGATAATGGGCTGACTGTGTTCCAATAAAACTTTATTTACAGAAGCAGGCTGTGGGCAGGATGGGCCCACAGGCCATAGTTACCTGGCCCCTCATGCACATGGTTAATGTTAAACAAAAGGGAGACCAGTGAGTGCTGAGTTAAATGAAAGCAAAGCTCAGATCATGGTTTCCAGAGTTAGACAGGAGTCATGCTCATCACTTTCCTAGCCGTGTTGCCTCGGTCTAGCTCCATCTCTTCTCTGCAACTTAATTTCCTCATTTGTTAAAAGAGGATATTAGCGTATTTCTTGTGGGAGGAGATAAAAATGACACAAAGACGTTTAATACATATTAGCTATTACTATTATTTCCCCAAAATGATTTAATTGAAAAGAACATTAGAGTTTAAAAATCACAGAGAATGTTAATAACAATGTAATAGGCTCCCTTTTCAAACATTAACTTAAACTTTATTGAAAAACGCATGACTTACTTATTACTAGATTAAACTACTAAGCTATTAGCTATGAGAGTTAGCCTGAAAAAAGCCACAGTAACTTGCCGTTAAATGTGTGCAGTTGGGTGTTTTTTATGAAGAGCGTAACTGTAGTCTCATTACTATTGCTAATCCTCAATTAAGAGCTTTTATGTTGCTGTTTCCAGCATTTCATGTTTCCCTGGAGAGCTAGATGCTCATCATCTGTAGCTATTTCAGTGTTCAGAGGCTGGTTTTGTTGGGTGAATAATTGCCGTGTATTATAAAGTCAAATATTAGCAAACATTTCTTGGACAGGAAAGCTACTTATATGCAGTCCTTTCTCTATGTTGCTACAAAGTATCAAAAGCAAATTTTAAAGGACAGTAAATGGGATAGAGAGTATCATTTACTTTAAAATTCTGACTTCCTAAGAGTGAACATTTGTTTTCCTATCCTGAAGGCACAAAGCTATTAGTATGTTTGTTAAGTCATGTGAATTACCTTCATAACATCAGAGATACTCTCTGTATCTAGAATTGCATCTGTATTTGTTTCTTTACTCAACCTGTGTTGTGTGTGTGTGTGTGTGTGTGTGTGTGTGTGTGTATTTTTTGGCTCCTAATTTCTCATTTTCACCAGGATTTTAATTGCAGATCTTTTTAGTGCTGAGTTCCTTTAATACCTTTTTTGGGAAGTGGTCTTAATGGGTATACAGCATTAAGTAGTACTAGTTCACCTGTTCCAATATAAGAAAAGCTTTTGTCCTTCACGCCTATAGAAATAAAAATAATAATGTATCTGTCAGTATCTCTTGAACTTCTCGCCTTGTAGAATGTGGTGGAATGGCTGTTTTTCATAGTATTGTGGCTTGATAAATGTCTCCTTGTTTGTAAAGCTGCGTGGCTTTTGAAATGATTGATCTGGCAATCCTGGGTCCAAACAGCTGGAGGGGCCTTTGGACGGGGTTTCCCATGGCCATCCTGAGGGGCACAGGTTTGCACCGGCTGCATTGCAGGGACATTTTCTAGCTTCTTTACAGAAAAACAGCTGGCTTCTGCTGACCCAAAGATAAATTGTTCATCTGCCGAGATGAGTAAAAATTTTCTCCTAAAAGGGGTAGGTTAAGGCCCTTGGAGACTTATAAAGACAGCTCGGAGGCATCGCCACTTGCCCCTCTTTGAGAGAACAGCCTGCTTAGCCTGTAGCATTGGTAACTGGAAGGTCACCTACCCACCCACATCCGTGTACCTTTACCTTCTGATCAAGGATTTGAGCAAGGTCTTAAAAAATCCAGTGTAGCCCTAGCCAGTTGCTCAGTGGTTAGAACATCGGTTCTCAGACAGAGGGGTACTGGGTTCAGTTTCTTGCAGTCAAGGGCACTTACCTCAGTTGCAGGACCTTGGTTGCAGGCTCAATTCCTGACCCTGGTCAGGACCCATGTGGGAGGCAACCAATCAGTATGTCTCTCTCACATCGATGTTTCTCTTATCCCTTCCCTCCTCCCTTCCACTCTCTCTAAAAATCAGTGGGGAAAAATATCCGGGTGAGGGATTAACAAACAAAAAATTTATTTTACAATTTTAAAAACTTTAGTTTGAGCAGAGTCATCTGTCAAAAATTCTTTAACCGATGTTCATTTCTTTGACCATTATAATGTCACTTATCTTGTCTATGAAAATTGAAAGGAAATTGTCAGAAACTTAAATTTTTTTAACTTTAAGTACCTTGGCTGCTTTTCCTTGTTCATCACATAACCAGGATTTTGACAAATTGGCCTTCTTTATTTAGTAACGGCATAAATAAGTGTGTGCATGTGAATCATTTGCCTCAGATTTGTATAAAGCCTCCCATTAAAACAGTTTGCCCATTTGAATTGGGACCTTTCTCTTTGAAAAGGAACGTTATTGCTTTTCTTTGTGGTAAGTGTCAGAGAGATGGTCCCAGTGCTAGTTTTGCCTTTTTTGGCACACTTTCTTTGCCCCACGATATACCTAACTTCACTTCTCCCAGTGAGACTTAGAGGTTTGGGCCGAAGGGCTCCAGGCATTGTCACATTAGCATGTAAACCGATTCCACAGATGTGTGCATGAGAGATGGATTTCAGATTCACAGGAAGAGCATTGCTGTGTTCTGTCAACCCTCTGGTTATCAAGGCAGAATTTTGCTTCGGGAAGCAAACATAGTCTGTGTTTTTTGGGAGTGTGTGTGTTGGGGGGATGGAGTGTGTGTGTGTGTGTGTGTGTCCGTCCTCCCTGGTATCCATTACAACCCTGAAAATTCCTTCTCAAAAATTACCTAGGGCCACTTTAGCGGCAGAGTTACAAAAAGTCGGTCTCCCTCGCTCGCCCTCTTTCTAAAAGTGTCACTCAGCTCCTTGAAGGAGCAAAATGTACCAGTGTCATTTTCTGTTCAAATAACTCTCCTGCAGGAATAATAAACTTCTCCTCTGGACCTGAACAAATATCTGTTGCCTTTAATGGAACTCTTTTTCTTGCCAGAACAGTCACCCCTCCTGATTTACTGCCCAATCTGTATGAAAAACTCGAGTGACCTAATTCTGCTTCAATTTTCCGAGCTCGTGAGGACACTAAATGAGTCTCCTGCAGTCATGCAGTATTACAGCTGTTGTTGTTTCGACACGTTGAGAATCCTGCATCTCTTTATCGGGCAACCTGCTGAATCCCATTGACGGGACGGTGAAATTGTCTGCAGAGAAGCATTATTTAAAAGGAAGACTTCCATTAGCAGCCACCACCACCCAAAGACAGCATTTTCTGCCTTACAGAAGCCCCTCCCGTACTCTGTCCCCACCCCACCCCCCACGTGCTGAATTGAATGCATATCATTTCACCCTCCCCTTCTCCTACACTTTGTACTCTGTACTTCTTGCCTCCCTTTCATGAAAAAAGAGATTCTTTTGTGCTGGGGAATCTGAGATTCACTGACAAGTGACTGGGTGCTTTGGAAAGGAGCCGTCATTTCAGGAAGAAGTGTCCTCCTCCCCGCGCCCCACCCCCAGCTCCTCCCCCACCCCCCCCACTCCGGTGCCCCAGTCACCCAAGGCCGCAGCCACTCCCTGTCCCCACCTCCTTTTCCCCCCTCCACTCCCTAGCTCCCACCCGCCCACATCAGTGTGATTTAATCTCTACACTGTCCGTCCAACTATCCTAAGATTGCTTATTTGGGTCTTCAGAAGATTGCGGGAAACGCAGCTATTCCTTTAATTTAGCACCTGACCCACTTTGTCACAGGGAGTAAACCAGAACACCAAGGGGTGGTTTGGGTCCTGGGTTTTCAAGTGAAAAAGGTCTGAAATGACTCTAGAACCAAGGAAGTAGAAGACCCCTATTGTTGGCCCTCATCTCACCCCTTTATAATATTTATTTTTTCTTTTACTACGGTCTTATTTTACAAAAGGAAGACTGCTTCCTTCAGTTTAGTTATTTCCTCTAAATTATATATTTGAAAAAATCCACACGAGGTTTTTCTCTTAGTATCTTAAATGTTAAGATGTGTCATCTGCTGCAGTAGTTGGAGATTTGGGGCTATGTGGCTATTTAAGAAATTGATCTGGATAAATGAAGTAGATGTTTGTTTCAGATAGTGAAAATTTTAAAAAATTGATAGTAATCTTATGAGTATCAATACTAAAAGGAATAAAGAGAAAGTTGGGAGAGTTTGAACAATTTGACCAGAAAAAGTAAAAGTTTAATATTGTTGTTTGAATGAACACATTTTTAGTCTGCTGCATGGTTAAACCATTTACTATGTTATTGTTTGTGTCGGTAGGCATTATTGAAATAATAACATGATAACCATGATAATACTATTATACTGCATTATGATGATAAATCACTCAGGAAATCAGAATTAATAACATGTATATACCAATAAAGTAGGAATCTGTTATAATACTTTCAGTGAAATCAATGGAAAACAATGCATTTCCTTTATTATAATTTTTAAATTTTTGAAAAAGAGGACATTTTACTTCTCTACCAAAGCAAATAACAGTTGTTTTGGGGTTTGTTTTTCTTTAAAACAATCATTTTGATATTTGGGCCATATGAAATCTTAAGATATTTTGCACATCTAAGTCAGAGGTTTTTTTTCATATATATATATATATATATATATATGATATATATATATCTTTACAATGATATATATATATATATATCATTGTAAAGATTGATGAAACCATAATACTAATTTTTAAAAAAATATATTTTATTGATTTTTTACAGAGAGGAGGAGAGAGGGATAGAAAGCTAGAAACGATGAGAGAGAAACATCGACCAGCTGTCTCTTGCACACCCCCTACTGGATATGTGCCCACAACCAATGTACATGCCCTTGACCGGAATCGAACCTGGGACCTTTCAGTCCGCAGACCTACACTCTACCACTGAGCCAAACCGGTTTCGGCATTAATACTAATTTTTAACAGAATCTTAAATGATCAACAGTTATAGTTGAGATCCAGGAAAGTTATCAGTTAGAAAGTCTATTTTAATTATCCTATAGTGGTTTTAGCATCAGGCAAAGGAGGTTCAGCCTAGAGACCTCCTTTATCAGCTCTGAAGTCAACATGTTTCTTAATATCTCCAGATTTCTGTTTTCCCATCAGTAACAGCACCATAATACTTTGAGGGGTGTGTGTGTGTGTGTGTGTGTGTGTGAGAGAGAGAGAGAGAGAGAGAGAGAGAGAGAGAGAGAGAGAGAGAGAATTAAATAAAATTGTGCATCAAATGTACTTAACTCAGTACAGTTCATGTTAACTTAGTTTAGCTTACTGCCTTTTTTATTACTGTTCTTTCTTTTGAAGTCTCTTCCAAGACAGTTTTGCCCCAAATTTGGGGGAAGATAGTTCTAAAAATAGATTTAAATGGCATATAACTATTTGCAAAAAAAAAAGGAAGGAAGGAAGGAAGGAAGGAAGGAAGGAAGGAAGGAAGGAAGGAAGGAAGGAAGGAAGGAAGGAAGGAAGAAAGAAAGAAAGAAAGAAAGAAAGAAAGAAAGAAAGAAAGAAAGAAAGAAAGAAAGAAAGAAAGAAAGAATGAATGAATCCAGGTGAACTCCAGAACCAGAACCAGGAGTTTCTCTGAGGAACAGTCCTGGAATCCAGAATGAATGAAGCGGGTGGATGTCTCCCGTTCCCTGTGGAGAGGAAGGACCTGCAGTCACGTGTTTGATAGGGTCAGAGTGAGGCTCCCGAGCAGTCCTTTTCTAGAAACCCCACCGTTTTTAAATACTGTTTCCTTTGCCAGTGGCTGCTGCCCCAGGCCTGATTTTTAAAAACACCCCATCTGCCTCTTCTCTCCCCCAGCAAGTTCTCGCAGAGGAAGTGGCTGTGGTTGGCAGGGCTCTCTCTCTCTCTGGGTGTTTTGGGTTGGCTGATTTCCGTGGCCTCAGCATCCACAAGGGTTCTCGTTCACCCAGCTTTAGAGGCCGCTGTCATCAGCATCTTGGCAAGGGGGGCACAGGCCCCGCTGCCGCAGGACAGGGCCTGGAGTGGGAAGGGAGACTTGTTTCCGCCTGCTGCCGGCCAGTGGCTGGCTGGGCTTCTCAGAGCATTCCTGCCTCTCTGTTTCTCTCTCTGTTCAGAACGAGCAGTGGCACTTACGTTCCTCCTCCTCCATGTACCATGAGCCTCCTTTCCTGGGAGCTAGAGAAAGGTTATGCCCGAGACCAGAGTGTTAAGCAACACCTAGCATCCGTCTGCATTAACGCACGGGTGGCTTTTCTCCGTTGAAAGCCAGGAAATCAGGTTGGGTGTAGGTTTTGCCACGAACTTGAACCTCATGTTATTGTTTTGTCATTTAAGACTGAACTGTCATGTGTATTTCCATCTCTCTCCCGCCCCTGTTTGACTGTCTTCCTCAGACTCCAGGCTCGCATAGCTCACAGGATACAAGAACTGGAAAACCTGCCTGGCTCTCTGCCACCAGATTTACGAACCAAAGCAACCGTGGAACTGAAAGCACTTCGGTTACTCAATTTCCAGCGTCAGGTAGGGCCTTTCCCCCAGCAAACCTGAGGCGGAGGAAATGAATGTAATAGTTGGAGAACAGCGTGTGTTTCCTTAAGTCTGTTCAATATTGCTATAAAGATAGAAACTTAGTAACGTCGTGTCTCTTGTAGGCCAGCAGTAGAGAGCTAAAAGTACTGAAGACTAACTGCTTATTATTCTGTTTTTTTCTCTCGCCTGTGTATCAGGATACATTTTTCCCCGCCTGCATAATGGTTTGCAAAGTCAGAGTTATGGCACTTTGTTACCATGGACAAAACCTTGAGAACAAAAAAGATAGCTCAATTTGCGTTTATGACTCCCAAGAAAAACAGTCAAGTGGTGGATCGGAGCTTCTTTGTAAGCACAAATGTATAATCCTAGCCATGACCAGGAAGATATTTTAACAAAGACAATAGCTGCTCTCCTAAATTAAGAGTCCAGCATTTATAGAAATACATAAACCTGTGTCTGGTAACTTGATTACTCGTCACAACACAAGTTTTGTGCATTTGATCCTGTCAGACCTCTGCATTGAGTAACCAGTGAGTTATTATCTATTGTCCCTGCTCTGGTTCATAGTAGTCACTGATTAATAAACGCTAGCATAATGATCTGCTTTAGAATTGCTAAATCAGTAGGGCACTAGTGGAATGACATAGAGCTATTTTTCACTTGAATGAGCTTTGTCTTAAGGACTCTTCTGCAGGTCTCCCAGTCTGCAGGCTGCCTCATTTAGCCAAACGGGAAAAGGGGCACTTTGCTGTCCTCAGTCAGATGGGTTAGCTTGGTTAAGGTCCTGGTACCTGCAAAATGAATTATTAATGAATGAGAGTGCATCGCATGACTTGGTCTGTTGGAGGGTGTGATTAAAATCACAAGGCCACCTCACTTGATATTGTCATATGACCTTGGGAGTAACATGTGCCTTATCTATAATAATAAAAAGGCAATATGCTAATAGACCGGACGTCATTCCTGTCCTTCTTCCTGACGAAGCCAGGGCCGGAGGGAAGCCAGCTTCAGTCCCTGGTGCCTGCGGGCGGCAGGAATCAGGGAAGGAAGCACCCTGGGTCCCACAGTGCCGCCAGCCCGGGGGAAGGATGACCTACTCAGCACGAATTTTTGTGCATCGGGCCTCTAGTTGGTTATAATATCACCAAGGGGCATCAGCGTGGCTGGGTGCTGCTTGCTCATAGGTTTGTAAGAGTAGAGTAGAATTAAATTTAAAAAAAAAAAAAAAAAGAAGGAAAGAAAGAAAACGTCTCTGAGTTCCATTTTCTTCCTTCTTATAGCTGACTTCATAAAATGCATTGATAAAATTTTTGATAACATTTTGTTAAAAAAAATATTTCCGAAGTATATTTTTAGGAATAACATTATATTTCAAGTTAGCTTCACTCTGCTAGACTCTTATTAGTCTCTGATTTTTGCTCCATATTACTGAAAAATTCTATTATTTAAGAAGTTTCCCAGTGAAATGAGCTGTAATTCATGCTGATTTTAGATTCAATTGAATTATTATTTTGATGTATATTTTCAATTTCCACCCTCTATTACCACATAACATCCAAGATGGATGTTATTATGTTTATGATCATCTCGAAAAAGTTCATGATATACTTTAAACTTTGAATATCTTTCAAAGAATATCATTGTTAGAAGTGGGAAGAAGCCCAAACTGAGTATCTCTTGTCTTTCATATGAGACTGTGAATTAACACTGAGTATGTGCTACCATTGTCCATGAACAGGAAGTCATCCTTCGGTTCATTTTGCAGAGCACCATTAAAAGTTAATCTTTTTAAAAAAGAGGAGCCCCTTAGTATGGCATTTTAAACAAGGTTAAAAAAAATTTTTTTTTTAAATCTTATTAACTAATTAATATCATTGGAATAATTAAATAGGATGAATAAATTTATTTAAAATATCTGCTTTATTTTTATTTTTACTGTTGTAATGCTATAATTGCTTTTCCCCCCTGAATTATTTGTAAAGAAAAGCCATACCATCTTTGACAATGCCACATAAACTTGGTATGACTTAGTGCCTTTATTTATGAAAAAGGCCAACTGTGATGGAGAAACCTGTAGAATCCCCCGTCCGCCCCTCTCCGGGGAAGGGAGAGAAGGAGAGGATCCGGGGTCCGGCCTCTGCTCGGGGAGCCTCTAGCTAACCGCTTTCCTCCTGCAGCTGAGGCAGGAGGTGGTGGCCTGCATGAGGCGGGACACGACCCTGGAGACGGCTCTCCACTCCAAGGCGTACAAGCGGAGCAAGCGCCAGACCCTGCGGGAAGCCCGCATGACGGAGAAGCTGGAGAAGCAGCAGAAGATCGAGCAGGAGAGGAAGCGCCGGCAGAAGCACCAGGTACCGGGGCCTGGCTTTGCCTGTCCTCGCGTTCACTGACCCGTCCATCTCAGTGACTGCTAGGAAGCGTGCCGCTGAGGGCCGGTGGGCGGAGGAGGCTCACAGCGCAGGGGAGCTCCTGGGAGCTTGCCTGGTCCCCATGGTGCAGTCGGGGACACTTAGGCCACGCCAGGCGGCTGGGGCTTGCTTTGTTCCAATCAGGTGTCCCCTCCTCACCCCTGGAGAGCTGCGGGCTGGGTGGGATTCCCACAGCAAAGTCCTGGGGAAGTTGGAAGGAAGAAAGCAAAAAGGTATTGTCGTAACACATACAGATGTGGTGTCCAGGGCTCTGTGACGGGCCCCGTTGGAGATTTTACGGGGCAGATAATCAGGAACATTCCTTCCTAGGGGTTTGGAAATATTTTGATGTAGGATTTGGTTTCATGTCATAAGCCTATCTGTAATTTATGTTTGCCTTTTTGCGCTCAGTTTAGTGCCCATCCTAGTTTTGTTTTTAAAAAATGTTGGAGTTAGTGTACATAAGGGTACACTCCCCTTCCCCATTATTTAAAAAATATATACCAATTTCTTACGGAGTTTTAGCTTCCTATGAAATCTTGAGTCACTATTCTGAGAGAGTTCATTTTTCATTGCTTTTTTTAGGGAGAGAGAGAAACCTTGATTTGTCCCACTTATTATGCATTCATTGGTGGCTTCTTGCATGCACTCTGACCGGGGATCAAACCTGTAACCTTTGGAGTATCAGACCGAGCTGCTTGGCTGGGACTCTGAGATATTTGGAGCAGAGGAAACATTACTTTTATAACATCATTCTTAATGGAAATACCCATGTCCCTCAGGTTTGAGAATGATTGGCTTTTAATTTTATCATTTTCATTTTTCAGGTTGCTCTCTTTTTCCTTCCTATTCTCTCCATTCTTTATCTTTCCATTTTGATGTGGTCACACTCTCATAGCTTCAGAGGCGGCTCTTCCACAGGCTGGCACAAAAATAAACTGGGAGAGGTCATCTCTCCCGCCAGCCCCGCAGCCCGCACCCGGCCATGGAGACACACACCAGGGCCCCCGTCCCAGAATAGCCTCAGGTTTCTGGTCTTTGTCCTTGTGAGATGCACACTGCGCGTGTTCCTGGACCGGGCTGAAACCTCGGGGGCCTTGGGAAAAGGATTTTAAGTATTCTTTTCTGCTCCCCTTGGGATCCTTCAGGAATACCTGAACAGTATTTTGCAACATGCGAAAGATTTTAAGGAGTACCATCGTTCCGTGGCCGGGAAGATCCAGAAGCTTTCCAAAGCAGTGGCGACGTGGCATGCCAACACGGAGAGGGAGCAGAAGAAAGAGACAGAGCGGATCGAGAAGGAGAGGATGCGCAGACTGATGGTAAGAAACCCGGGAAAATGCCCCCCTCGTGTCCTGTCCCGGGGACGTTACACAGGCCACAGCAGAAGGAGAAAGGAAAAGCTGCTCGCCAAATACATGACTGTGTTCCCTTCACTTCATGCTGATGGAGTTCAAACATCCTCTCTCCTGGACAATGCACGTCGCACATCTTGGGTGACAGCTGGTCAGTATAGTGTTCCCATGTCCTAGGATGGCATTGCTGCTCAGATTTAGCGTCTCCCATAGAGGAAGGTGCTGTGTCTCCTGGGAGTTTTGATAACCAGATCTGGAAGGCTGGACATGGCCGTTCTTTTAAAAACTATTGCCTCTTTGAGACTAAGGGCACACGTTGTTTTGAATGAATATCTCATTATGTTGTGCCTTGGAACCTGATGTCTTTTTTTTTCTTAATGGCAGAAATTTTTCTCAAGCCATGTAAAAAGCGATTGTTACGTTAATTTTGAAAGGTTGCTCTTCGTTTATAGCAGGGGTATTGTCAAAGGTTAGTCAGGGGTTATTATTTTTGCACTGTTCTTTTTTCAGTGGATATGTATCACAGAAGAGATTGATTGATTTTATTGGCCTGCATTTTATTTTATTTTTATTTTTGGTAATTGGACCTCATAGAACACTGTGGATTTTGCACACGTGTTGTGACCTAGCCTGAGTGCCGGAGAGCCGCAGGTTCTGTGGGGACATAGTTCCCGAGTCCTGCAGGAAGAGAAAGGCATGAGCCTCAGCCCACATTATGTCCTGGGGAAATCCCAGGGGACAGTGTGTTTTCTTCCTCACTGATGTTAAGGTTTGCATTTTTTCATTAATTTTTTCGGGGGGAAGGTGTCCCAGAGAGTAAGCACCCTATTTTAAAATGGGTGCTACTAAATCTTTACCACCTTCTCCTGCCTTCCTCTCCTTTTCGGGGGAAGGGGAAGACTGCCCAAGATATGTCTAACTAGCGAGGGAGGCTGTTTTAGAGCAATCTGAGCCTTCAGCAGTCCAATTTGTCTGGTGTAACCGAAGTGAAGCTATATTAGCACTTCAGTAACAGATTGGTTTGACACTAATGATTAGGCATTTGCAAATCATTAATTTTTGCAATTAAATGATGGAATACACAGATAACAGAGAAACTGAAGTTTTCTATCACTCTTTCTTCAAGCGAGATCAACCATAACGAAAAGCAATTAGAGCTCTAATGGCATCTGAGGTTCGTGCTCATCCACGGGGCCCACGGCAGCTAGAGTGAGGGGTGACTCCGCTGCCTCTGTCTCGCGGGCACAGGCTGGAGCGACACCCCGAAGGCGGGCGCTGGGCTCCTCTGTACCTCAGCCGCCTCCTGAGGAGTTTGCGGCCTGTTCCTTCTGTCCTGCGTCACAGGAGGACAATCTTTTTGGGGTGTCCTTTTATTGGGACATGAAAAAAAAAAAAAAAAAAGGATTTCTCCTGAAACGGCTCAGAGTACATCAGAGCTTTTATCCCATGTAACCTCATAATGTTGCTGAATGGGAGGCGGAGGGGGCAATGACTGTGTCTGTGTTACTGTTTGGTAGTATCAGACGTCAGGTAGTAGCTGACTTATCCCCAGTCACCGAGACCCCTAAGGACAGTGCCAGTTATGACAGAAATCCCCCAAATCTGACCCGCCCCTACCCACCACAATGTTTGCCATGCTTTTAAGTATAAGAAGTTATTTGTTCAGTGCCCATTTGTTTTATTTCGCCTTTAGAAATACTTAGTCTCTCCACATTTGATCGTATTTGAAAATTTCCAAAATACAAAGTTACGAATAAACTTCAGATGGTGAATTGTCCGGTTTTAACATTTTTGTGTGTGTGTGCAGCTAAAGGAACACAGGAGAACAAAGAGCTGGGGCAGAGTGCTCCATCGCACCACATAAACACCGTGGCCATGTGTCCTGACTTGGCCGTGAACCCCGGTGTCCCGGGATGTAGGCATCGCTGTCCCCTGTGTGGCCGGTCCCAGACTGTGTGCGTGCGGGGACCCTCGCAGCCTGGAACATTCGCTTTGCCACACTCTCCACTGGAGTTCAGACTGTCAGGATGAGAGGGAAAAAGCACCACAAATTTGCATTAGGCTCTGATCTCGCTTTTCTCCTTAACAGGCTGAAGACGAAGAGGGATACAGGAAATTGATCGATCAAAAGAAAGACAGGCGTTTAGCTTACCTTCTACAGCAGACCGATGAGTACGTGGCCAACCTGACCAGCCTGGTTTGGGAGCACAAGCAAGCCCAGGCGGCCAAGGAGAAGAAGAAGAGGAGGAGGAGGAAGAAGGTGAGTGCCCGGCGAAGGGACCAGTGTGAGGCATGCATTGCTCTTTTATATATTCACTTACCACACTAATAAAAGGTGTAGATTACCGAGTTGCAAAAATTGCTTGTATAAATGGGTATGGTATGAAAGAGTGGATGAGGCATACCAGACATTGGAGATGAGGGTGTTACGGATAGGATGTATTCAGCTGAAACAATGTGGTTCATATTCCCATTGTTTCATACAGTATTTAAAAACTAAATACACATGGTCCATCAGAAGAAATGAAACACAGGCACAATTAACTGTTTTCTTCAATGTGTTGTAGTGTGGCAGTGTGCTCAGTTAAGAAACTAAAGTGAAAAAGTTAGAAGAAATTGCAGAGTACAGACTGAAAGAAACCATAGAAAGACATGAGAGATAGCTTTGGGAGACTTTGCAAACAAATCTCAGCCTGTTTATTTGGACAGACAGCAATGCCAGAGTTGTCCATTTAGATCAGCAGTCCTGTGTCCCACTCAGGGAAGTGGGCAGGTCAGGGTTTCAGGTGATGATGGAAAACAATACCATTAGGGTAAAATATGTCCTAATTGTCATGAGAAGCAAAAAATAAGATATAGAATTTCTGCTCTACAGATATTATATCTCAGCTCAAGGGCAACATGCAAGTGTAGGCCGGTGTATATGGCTCTCCTTTGCGGCTTAAGTAGTCTGCGAACAGTTCTTGGTGGATGTTCTGTTTCCATGGTGAATTCTAACTGGCCCGGGTACAAACAGGATGTCTTCCTCAGAATTGGGAAGATTGAGGATGGGTAGCATTTAATTGTTTATTCTCTGCACTGAATAATTGAGCAAAATATTTTTTCCAAAAATAATTAATTTCATGGCTCCTGAATTCTCATACCTGTTTCATAATGAAGGAAGAGCAATGCATGACTGAGAAGGTGCCTGCTTGCTCCTGATCCTTGTAGTAGCAGATAGCTTTCCTTCTTGTGAAGATGCAAGAGGGGTGTCTCGGGGCTTGGGTTTAGATGTTTCCGTAGTGGAGAATACCTCATTTTCTTGCAAGGTAGCATTATTGATGTTGCAAAATTTTAGCTCCCAGTATTTAACTTAAAAACTTTCAGAGTTTGTGAAGAGCACAAAGGCAAAGAAATGCAATTCTGTAACACTAGGGGCCCACTGCACTAATTTGTGCACCTTGAAAGGTACTATGGGCTGCGAGGCTGTGGTGGGTCTCAACCCATCCTCCACGCCCCTGCCCAGCCCCTCTCACCGCAGTCCCTGGTCCCCTGTTTGCCTGTAGCCCCACTCCCACCACTGCCACTCCCATGCACTGACAGCGCTGGCCCCACTCACACCTGCTGATGGGCGCAGAGCGATTGGGGCTGGCGCTGTCAGTAGGTGAAAGCAGCAGCTGCTGCTCCAGTTGCCCCTCAGGAGCAAGGGGTGGTGGAGAAGCCCTAAGGGGTGACCAGGGCTAGTAGTTGGTTGTTCCACCGTTCGGTCTATTTGCGTATTAGCCTTTTATTATGTCGGATTCCATAAGCAGACCCCATCAAATGGCAGCTGAAGTTTTTCTGAATTTAGACATGGATTTTGCAGGGGTTGTCACAGAAAGGTCACTGTTAGCGTTTTTAATATTAACATTTGTATTCCACATTTCTTTGTGATTAAAAGCTAATGGCCCGATTCTGGCTTAAAATTAATAGATTCCTACCATGGCTGTAGATCTTTATATCATCGTAGAAAGATACATAGTTGAGTGATAATGATCATGGCTTTATTTTTGTGTTAATCTGTACAGAGCACAAACCTGTCACAGTTTCCATTTCACAACTCTGATGATCTCTAGATTGGCTCTCTACCTCCAAACTCTTGCCTTTCAGTTTGATAATGGCACTTATTCTACTTTCTGCATTTTCTCAGTGACTATTACCTGAACACTTACTGTGGTGGAGATGCAGTGCTTTGGATGCTGGGAGGGGGAGAATGTAATGGTGAGGAAAGCACTCCTGCCTTCTCAATTTAATCAGAGAGGGAGAAAGAGACAGACAGACAGAAATTAATCAAATGTGCATCTAAATATATAATAATAATCTGAGATGAATGATGTGAAGGAATAATGCTCATCAATAATTTCCTGATTTCCTGGCAAACGAATAATAATAGCCAAGCACCTGCAGCCTGCTTTGTGCTACCTCCGGGCACCTCCCGTTGATGATTTCCCATGGCTGAAGATGCAGACTTATCACTTGATGGACAGTCCTTTACTCCTTCCCTCCTATACTATCAGGATGCCTAGCATTTGGGTCCTCTCTGCTCTCAGCAGGACTAAGGATAACCTTTCTGGGCCATCTTGCTGGCAGAAATGGGAGAAAGCTGTGTCTCTCACAGGGCTTTGAGACTGAGTTCAGAGTGAGTTACCCAATTCCAGGAAGAAAGCAGGTGCTTTCAGAAGCTGGTAATTCGACACTGTGTTTTGTCTGTGGTTCTTTCCTCCATTAGAGTGAACGATGGAGAATTACTTGTTGCAGTTTCTCTGTCTGGAAGGAAACTGCATCTGGAAGCTTAAAAATTCTATGCTTCCCCTTTCGGCATTTTCCCATAAGACTGATATGCTGAACCTTACTGCATTTTTTTAATTAGGAAAGGCAACAATAAACCTTTGTTTGGAGAAAACCCTTTCTTACCCAGTGAACATGGCATGGAGTTGGTAGCAGCATTTGTAAGACTCCTAAGGTAACTCCAAGAGCTGTGCTATTAAAGTTGAGCATGACTGACTGTATTATGGAACTAGAGGCCCAGCGCATGAAATCACGCAAGACCCAGACCTGGCGGGCTGCAGGACTAGGTGTCAAATCCTGCTGGTGCCACAGGACCCATCAATGCACCTTCCGGTGGCCAGTCTTTGGTCATTACGGCATTACGACCACTGGGTTTTTATTATATAGTTTGTAAAAGGGTTACTTTTTACTTTGTGTTAAACTGAGTGTATAATTTTTTAAAGTATCCCCAATGTAATAGAAAAGACCTGTGTTTTTCCCCCATTAGGAGTACATTGTGTTTACTTGTTGATAGTGAATAATAGAGTGGGGTTCCTTTAACCTGCCATGACCTTGTTTAATTTCCTCTTCTTGCCATTAGAGCCATTTCTATGAAGTACATATTTATAAGTCATTCTGAAACTTCTCCTTCTCATCCCGGTCCTCCATTAATGCCCTTGAAATGGAAGAAAAAATAAGTAGACGGTATATATCTGCTTAAGAGTTAGAGGAGGAATGATTGTTAAAGCATTGAAATGTCTCTGCAGGAGGGCGGGATGAAGGCACTATTATGTGCACTTAGCGGGACTTTGAGGTCTCCGACCTTTGCCATGCCGGTTCTCTAGCATCTACTGAGTGACTGACTACAGGATAAACGCGGGGAGGGGGCTACATGAAGCCACAAGGGTTTATACAAATACAGGATTGAACAGGCTACATTAGAAAATTGGACCACTCTCCAAATCATGTTAGCACACCATCTCTTAAATCCATAACTGCATAAGAAAACATATTAGACTAATTTGTTCTTACTCCTTACTGGGTATTCCATGAAAAGATCTATTATCTAGTACTTCAGTCTCATGATCTATCAGAAGGTGATTGGTTAGGATTGAAAGTTTCTCTAAAGCATTTTCTGTGTTTTCCGATACAGTAAGTACTCGGTAAATCTGAGTTATTTTATCAAGCCATTTTGTGGTGTAAATGTAGGATCATGGTTATTAAAATGTGGTTATAGGATTTTGAAAAGAAATTCTTTTCCCCCTTACTGTATATTCTCTGTGCTGTTGAGTAAATAGCCACCTTTTTATTTCCTAGTCGAGGATCAATCAAATATTGCCTTTTAGGATAATGACAGGTTCTTACACTAATGAGGCCTACAGTGAGAAAGGAGGATTTATTAACTTGGGTGGATTCTGCTTGTCCCTCCCCAGCTCCTACAAAGAGAATTTGTTGTTATATGGCCTCTGATTTAGAGTGGTGTTTGGTGACAATAAAGCATTTCTTGCAAGGTTTTAGGATGTATTTTTCCTTAAGCTGTGGTTAGGAACCTGTGACCCCAAACCTCCTACTTAGAAGTTAGGCATTTTATGAATTCAGCTTCCCGAGTTGTGGCCTTCAGGCTGGAAATAAATATTTAATTCCATCTTTCAAATCTTTCAATGGGCCCTGCAGGCGTGGCTCAGTGGTTGAGTGTCAGCCTGTGAACCAGGAGGCGAAGTTTGATTTCTGGTCAGGGCACATGCCCCGGTTGCGGGCTTGATTCTGGGTGAGCGTGCAGGAGGCAGCCGATCAATGATTCTCTCTCATCATTGATGTTCCTCTCTCTCCCATTCCCTTCCTCTCTGAAATCAATAAAAATATATTTTTTTAAAAATCATTCAATTGGGGTGTATTCTAGCAGAACTATGTCCCTGTTACTTATTTGTGACATTTCCTGAAGCCCACAACACTTAAGGGGAACACCTCAGAGAATCCCCGGAGGACACAACTCTGGGCCAGATCTTTCTTCCTGTGGTGTTTCCCTTTTTTCTGATATGTGTCTCTCTCTTCCTCTCTCTCTCTCTCTCTCTCTCTCTCTCTCTCTCTCTCTCTCTCTCTCTCTCTCTCTCTTTTTCATCAACTATAATTATAAGTAAAATCAGGACTGGGATGTTTTGGAGGGGGAACCTTTCCAGCTATATATATTATATAATCAATTTCAGAGAGAAAGGGAGAGGGAGAGAGAGAGATAAAGAAACATCAATGGTTTCTTGCAATGCCCCCAACTGGTGGTCGATCCTGAAACCCTGACAGGTGCCCTCACCAGTAATTGAACCTGGATCTCTTGGTTCATAGGTTGATGCTCAATCACTGAGCCATACCGGCCAGGCTCAGTGCAGTGATAGGAAATGCGTTTGTTTTTTTTTCTTTTTTTTCTTTTTTAGATATCCAAAAATAAGTAAAGCCTCTTGGTGTAGTGTTTGGTAGGAAGAGCATCAAATCTAAAATAGTAATGTTGTTGCAACATTTGTTTTAAATTCAGGTTACTCTGCAGTTCTTCTCAATTCTTTTATGTCTTACATTTCCCCCCAAAGATGACATAGTTTATTGCAGCTTTTCCCTACAAGGACATTTTTGTAGGTAAAAGAGAGGATCTTAGGTAATTCTGGGCACTTGAGTGCAGCAACTGTTGTAAAGATAGGTGAACACAGTGCCACGGCGATTAGATTTGATTAGTTCAGTGTCGGAATGAGTGAAAGCTGGAGTTTGGATCCAAGTCCTGCTTAACTGGATCGACCAGTTATTTGAGTCAAAATGTTAGAATTGGTTTTCTCTGCAAAGTACAAGCAAAGCAATGTACAATTGCCTACTAATTTGATATTCTTGGGTATTTTATTATTGCCTGATCCCCTATCTGAATGCTCAGTGGTCTACTTAAGTGACAATAATAAAATAACCCTGTGAATTTCTGAAAGCTTAGGTTTCTGTTGAAACAGAATGAGTCTTTAAGAAGCCAGCACATTTGAATGGTGTTTCAGCATATTATAACAACATCTTCTGGGGCTAAAAGAAATTCACTTTATGATATAGATTGTAAAGTATTCGGTATAAAACTGTTTGTTTTCAAAATGAGACTGTTTGTGGCCGGTGTTGTGGCATTCTAAATTAAGTGCCCTATTGCAGTCTATTTTCTTAAGTTCAACTGAAACCGGATTTTCATGTTTAAAGGAGGGATTTCTTTCCCTCGTTGGCCCCATTGCTGATTATTTTGTGTAGCTTCTGCAAGGAAGATAGGTAACCATGCACATAGCTTTGTTCCTGAGCATTTCTAGGTGGAAGGAAGGAATTGACATTGGCCTTTGGAATTAGGAACCCAAATAAATTGTCTTCTAGTTAAGAGTAATTTGTCTTATATCCCCTCTCAGGACTAGGTTAATTACACTCCTTTTTACCTCCATAAGCATAATTAGTTCCAAATGTTTTGCAGGTAGGAAGAAGGTAGTGCAGAGTTCCCTTAGTCCTAATTAATGGATGAACGCAGGTGTTTTGTTTTTAATCAGTGGAAGTAGTCTCAGGTCAGTGATACTGATAGAATGTGTTTGCAGTCACATGATCCAGATTACTGTATGTGAAAATCCCTCAGGCACTAGCAGCCATTTCACCGGGTGCTTAGAGACTGTCCAAAGTTAGCTCACAGTGTGTTTGGAGTTCACCTTGAACCCAAAAATGGGAAGTGTCTTGTTTGGGGTTTTTCTTGAGGGGTAGAGGGAATAAAATACCAGTTTGATGTGAGAACGTGGGTTTATGAAAGCACACCAACCAGAAACCTTCAAACTGAAAGAATCCTAAGCATGATGGGAGAACTTTACATCTCCTGCCATAGAGTAGACTGCCACCTGGCTTCCACTCATATAACAACATAGCGGAATTGGGTGAAAATTACAGGGCATACAAGAGAAGTCTCATAGAGCACCAGTTCAATGAGGAATTGTGTCTGTGTTCTTAACCCTTTTGACTTGCAAATATATTGGCACCTAATAATAATAATAATAATAATAATAATAATAATAATAATATTTCACTGATCATATTTATTGTTCTTGTTGCTTGCATTCATTCACTCATTCATTCATTAACCAAATATGTATTCAGTGCCCTTTAAATGCAGGTACACTGGGAGGTATGGGCATATATAAGTGAACAAAGCAGACCGAAACCCCTAACCCTGTAATCTTATGAAGCGGTTTTCAGACAGTGCTGTAGCAGTCTTAGGTAGACATATGAGAATAGCCCTCTGTCTACTGTTGATTCTTTTACATTGTAGAGATTAATGCTCACGGTATGTGTTGTATGTGGCATTGAATTGTATATATTGAAATAGTGATCCAGTCCTACATGGTAACAGGGACTATTACTGCCCATAATTTTTTTTTAAAGGGGGGGATGGTGATCAAGACATGCAAGGTTTGCTCAAGGTCACACAGTGAAGGTCTCCTGTACTTAGTGACACAGCTGTGATTCAAATGCAGGTCATCTAATTCCAGAACCAAATTTCTTACATGTAGTATCACATTGCTTCTCAAATTTTATACCTAGTGGAATTATTTTTTAAGTCAGTTTAGAGGATTTTAAGTAATGGAAGGGTCTGATTATGAAGCAGTTTTAAGATAACACCCTTACTGGTCTTCAGCATACTCATAGGAAAGTGTCTTTCGGAATTGTTTTGATTTTATTATTTATGGTCCTTCAAGCTTTTTAAGGTGCTATTCACTGAAATGGTGATCCAGTTCCACTAGCGAGCTATTGGAAATTGGCTTATTCATTATCTCATTTGATTTCCTTTGTTGGCCAAATTGGTAGCTCATTTCTGATTTGTATGGAAAGAATGGTGGGATTAATTGACTTTCTCCCATTAATTAAAACAGTTGCCTGAATACTGTGCCCGAGAACTCCAGAAATTGGTGATAGAGATGGTTTCTTTTCTGAGTCTTTTCTGCTATTATTCTCTTTGTATTCCTAGCCTAGACACAGGGCCTGGTGCTTTTCGATACTGATTATTTCATTTTGAGCTTGTAGACATTTCCACTTTGGGGTGGTGTGAATAGAAACTTAAATTCTTGGGAAATCATAACCAAAGGGCAATGTTTTGTTTTGTTTTGTTTTCTATCTTTGGTGCCTTGTGCTTTAACAAATACGCACCCACATCCAAGAAAGTTATAAGAAAACTTCAAATTTTTCAAACATTTATAGAAACTGCATTTCTTCAGTATGGCCCAAAGCCTGAATTTTAGACATTAAACATTTTCTATAAAAGCTGTTTTGTCAAGAGACAGTTGAGTTATTTACACGGAAAGCAAATATGTGTTATATAATCAATGCCTTAAGTAAACAAAATGTAGTTAATATTGATTCTGTATCAATATTTTCAATTAATTAAAGAGTCCAGAGGAGGAAAGGTTATATTCTTAAATGTCTTGCTAAAGCAAATGACCGAAGTTTTTTTCTTCTCATTATACTATCCTGAAGTAGTATAGCTTTCCAGCAATAACTTTAAAATAAGTATTCTATAAAGGTGATGTGCAGGATTTCACTTGTTAAAGAAGTCGTTACATATGGAAGACATTTTAGACTAGTTTGTGTATATTACTGATGAGACTCTCTTGGGAATGTACAAAATGGGGCATTATCTTAGCTTTCCATGTAGGCTGTCTCTGAGGTTCTTAGAGGTTAATGCACTAAGATATTGGAATATTTAAGGCACGGTGGATGACAGAATTTTTCATGAGATCACAGTACCTGCTTCGAATTTTCCCCTATACCCACTGTGTAAATACTTTCTATCATGAAAGCCCATTAGGTAGAGTGAAAAACATTTGGAGAACTCACAGAATTTTATATCATTTTGTATTCTTGTGACTCAAGAGTGGTTCAGAGTTTATTCTCAATGGATACTTTCAGAAAACCCGCTAAAGAAATAGGGAAGTTTTGCTGTCTGCATCCGGATGTGTCTTCCCAGTGCCAGGCCCGGGAACGCTGCAGCCTCTGGCCTCTCTCCCGTTCTCGCTCCCTTTCTCGCTCTCGCTCTCAGCACTGCCAATGCCTCAAGCTCTTTGGATCCTAGAAGACACAATCCACAGATGTCTAGTGTGCTGGCCTTGAGTCACACCTGGCTTTCAAGAGCACTCCGCAAGTTGCTAATAAAATACACACTTTGTCTTAGACAGTAAAAATAAAAGGCATGACCCCATGGACAGATAGTAGTGTGGTGAAGGCTTGGGAGTGGTGGGGGCAGGGTGAAGGGAATCAATAGGAAAATAAACACACATACACACACACACACACACACACACACACACACACACACCACAAAGGGGACATCTGTAATACTTTGAGCAATAATGATAAATTAAAAATAAAAGGCACGAATATTAAGTTTCCCTCGGTGAGGGTGAGTAGTAATGCAGTGCTGTCATGTACCCCAGCATTAACGTGAAGCCCTCCCTGTCCCCATCCCCTGGGCTGCCCCATAACATGTGACACATTGTCGTTTTACAGAAGGCTGAAGAAAATGCAGAGGGAGGAGAGTCTGCCCTGGGACCGGATGGAGAGGTAAGGGACTTTGCATCCATTTCTACTGTGTTCTACTCCGTGAGTCCTTGCCGTGCCTCACCATACATATCACTGTCTGTGTATACTAATTTTGTTTTTGTTCAGCTGTTCATCTTTAAGTAAAAGAGAGTAGTCTATCAGCATAGTATAAAAGGGATAAACTGAAAAATAATCTACTGCCTTCTCAGACTACCCATCGACTGATGTTAAGTTCCTTGGGTACCATTTGAGAATTTTCTGTGCACATATAAGCATATGTTTTGGAATACACAGAATGTGTAAAATCTTAAGTGATTCTATAATTACATTTGCAGAAGCAAATTATACAGAAGCATAAACTGTGACCCAGTTTCCTTAGTTCATTACTAATTTGAAATAAAACTCCATAAGCCAAACAATTTACATAGTTGGTTAACTTATTTTTTAAAGAAGTATATTTTTTATTGATTTCAGAGAGGGATAGAGAGATAAAAGCATCACTGATGAATGTGAATCATTGATCAGCTGCCTCCTGCAGGCCCCACACTGGGGATTGAGCCTGCAGCCCAGGCTGGGAATCAAACCATGACCTCCTCGTTCATAGGTCGATGCTCAACCCTGAGCCACACTGGGTGGGCTTGTTAACTAATTTCTTTGACCTCTTCTGTAGGCTTATAATGTCAGTTCACCAGCATATTCATAAATTTTTTCTAGTATTTCCAAAAGTCCCCTGAATCATGAGAACACAGTTATTCATTTATTGGATTTTCCCCCCCTCTGAAAACTCCAAGTCCCCTGGCAGTGATCCACACGAGGAGGCTTACTCCCGGAGCAGGGTGCGGGGGGAGCTGGCTTCAATCCGCCGCCTCCCCTCGCAGATTCGGATAAACCTGCTTGGAGGTTTGGGGTGGGTGGAGGTTGCCTCTTCCTGTCCTAGAATCACTGCACGTGAGAACGTGTTGTGGATGTGAGCAGCCTGGATACAGAAGAAAAGTTGAAACCACCCGTCTCTGCAGAAGCCCCTCGAACAGTAAACGTCGCTTTCCCACGGCGATCCATCACTGGGAAAGTCAGGACGGGATAAGTGTCTGGTGTGTGAGAGACTCTCCGTGGGCTGTGAAGGGGGAAGAACACTACATATCAGGGCACTTAGAAACACTGTCCTTTGTAAAAGCCCCTCCTGACCTACGCTGGCCCCTCACTGCCTGTGATTAACAAGCACCGGGGAGAGGGTTAAGGCCTTACAGTGAGAGCCCTTTATCTCTCACTGCCTCTTGGGGAAATTACCTACTGATGGAGGGCCTGTGACATACACATTTTTTTTTTCCTTCTTCTTCTTCTTTCAATCTCAGCACATGCGTGCTCTGTCCGCAGCAGTTGATGAAGTGGACATCTTGCTCGGGTTGTTTTGAAATAAGTTTCCTGTTACATTGACAGGCCGCTCATTCCGTGCTTCTGCCAAAGTTGTCATTCTAGCCGCGGGGACCCCGGTTTTCTTTGAGGCATGGCACCGGAAGCAGTGGGATAAATTATAATAGTCCAAAATCCCGGAGTATGATTTTTCCAGGGGAAATGGTAGTCAGTGGTGGATTTCCTTCTTGATGGTGTGAGCACGCCAGTGACCTTTTACGTTAACGAGGAAGAAGTGGCATCTTGGCACATAAAGTAACGGTGTTCACGACCATGGCCATAGTTACCTGGTGGTTTCGATTTGGATCAAGGACACTGGTTCTGCTAAGCCAAACCGGCCAGTAATGAGATGATAACAAGTTACATACTTTTTTCTTTTCCCATTCTCTCTGAAACCATAACTTTGCCACAGTCGTTATCTGAGGGAGGGTGTTATTCTTTGGGGGTTGAGGTTCTTCGTTGCAAATGACAAAAATGAGTTCTGCCTGATTTGAGTAACAAGGGAATGCATTAACAGGATACTGGGTAATTCATCAGATCTCCAGGGAGCCTGGAGAGCCGGGCTGGACGCTACACCTGGTTTTATACACACAGTGTCAGTGAGGACGCGGCCGGCACAGGAGCAGGCAGGAGCTTGGCTCAGCCAGGACCCCCGTCCCGGTTCTGCCGCCACTGCGGTCTGCCCTCCCGCCAGTGTGCCTGTTGGCCCCTACGACCTTGAAATAATAGCTCCCAATTCAGAGCCTTGGTGAGTGCATCCATTTGAGGGAGCTGAGGTCTTTTGCTGGTGACATTTCCAATCACAAAACAAGGCTCCAGATGCTGGCAGCCAGAAGGCTGAGAGGTGCCTCACGCAGAACTGGGAGAACACCAGGTGGTGACGTGTTTTTGGTTTTTTCTCTCCTTTCTAGCCGATAGACGAGAGCAGTCAGATGAGTGACCTTCCCGTCAAAGTAACTCACACAGAAACCGGCAAGGTCCTGTTTGGACCAGAAGCACCCAAAGCAAGTCAGCTGGACGCCTGGTTGGAAATGAACCCTGGGTGAGCGTTAAAGCGGAATTATTGGCGTTCTTTGGCTTTTTCAATTTTTGTGGTCCTTGTCAAACCTTGGACCTAAAGCAACGCAACCTGTGCTGAAGGGGTTAAAGGTGGTACCTGAGTTTGTCATGTGCACACTGAACATGCTGGTTAAGTCATGCACGCATATTTTGTCTTATAATTCACAGAACTAAGCTCTGTCTCCTTCCCCACCCCTTTCCCTGTAGCTATGAAGTTGCCCCCAGGTCCGACAGCGAAGAGAGTGATTCTGATTATGAGGAGGAGGTACGTATGTGCATCTGAGTTCATTGGTTTGAAAGTTTATGAGGGAAGCACCTGTGTCCTTCTGTATTCCTGTTTTCAGCCTTGGCCTTTGGGTAATGACTGGGGCTGAGGGCGTGCCTTGCCCTGCAGTGACCTCTCGGGGGCTCCTGACCAATGGGGGTTCTTGGTGAATTCTAAATTCATTTTGGACCAAGAAAGAGAAGCCGTCATTAAATCAGAAGGGGCAGAGAACCACCGTCTTTTGGGGAGAACTGAACCCATGCCTCCAAGTGGCTCACTCTGAGTGTTTGCCGCCTCAACATTTCTTAAGTTCTTTGGGCCTTCGCATCTGTTTGAAATGGGGAAGTCCAGGAACTTAGACGAAAAGGGCAACTTGGGCTTGATTTAATGCCTGAATTAATCCCCTTGATTTCCCTTTAAATGTGATTCTTGTTTGAAGTCCTTGGACATACGTGTTACCAAAAAGAGAAGCACATTTTTCAGTCTCTTGGAAGGAATACTCAGTATATCCAGAACCTAAAATAGTAATCCTGTATGCTTTTCATAGGATTATAAAATAAGAAAAGAATGTTTACATCGATCATGAAAAGCTTAACAATTACAAATAGATTTTAAAAAATATTTCTATCTCCTTCATCTCTGTTGTTCGTGTGTGGTCCCTGAGTGGGATTTTTGCCGGGTGGAGGAATCCTGTTTCGGAGTGGTCACGGCACTGGGCAAAGCTGCCTTGCCGAAGAGCTCGCTGGGGTTTTAAGACATTTATTATTTCCTTCTATTGTGTGGATCTAGGTTTTCTAAATCAACCTATTGTGGACACTATGCAAAGAGGAAAAACAAAAGTTATATTTTTACAAAAGCATGCTATTAAAAAGCTAGTATTTTTACAGGCTTTTTTTTTTAGAGGCAGGCCATTTTTTTTCTGGTATATTTGAAGCTTATAAAATCACTTTTAAAAACGTCTCTTGTTGACTTGAATACCTGGGCCCATACATGCTCCGTTGGAAGAGCCTTCTCATTCAGAGAGCCAGGGAGGGGCAGAGACGGGATGCAGTGGACCCTTTAGCCCCGCATGCCAGCCAGCAGGACTGCCAGCTGCCGGCAGCCCCGACGGCCAGGAATAGAGTGAACCCGCCATCTGGGGCTTGCCACTCGTTCATGGCAAGTCCTGTCCCCTCTCAGCACTTCACTTCCTGCCTGGAAAATGAGGAGCGGTGCTGATTCCTGCTCACCCCCTGCTCTCAATCACCCGTCATCATAGGTCTGGTTTTCAGAACTAATATTGTGTCCCTTTGCATTTTTCACTTGAGAATTATGGAAAAGCATTGATCTCGCTCTCTTTTTTCAATATATTTTATTTTTCACAGAGAGGAAGGGAGAGGGATAGAGAGCTAGAAACATCGATGAGAGAGAAACAATGACCATCTACCTCCTGCACACACACACACCCCCCCCCCCACCGGGGATGTGCCTGCAACCAAGGTACATGCCCTTGACTGGAATCGAACCTGGGACCCTTCATTCCGAAGACCTATGCTCTATCCACTGAGCCAAATCTGTTTTGGCCATTGTTCTCTTTAAATCCACCTTTGAAGGAAATCCTACTGGATTATCTGGAAAGTTAGTCTCCCACACCAGTGGTTCCTGGTGGGCACAGTGAACGTTTAGTGACGCTCTCACACAGCACAGTGGAGCATAGTGCATGGTGGCCAGGTGGGGTGATGATGAATCCTTCGGCGAGTTATGGACAGTTTTCATCAAAATACTCAGACGTGCACGGTGTGAAGACCCACAGAAAGCCCCGTGACTACAAGCCCCAGCCCGCACTGCAAACACCCGGGCCGTCAAAACCCATTGGCCCATCTGAGAGGGCAGCCTTAGGAGCGGGACAAGGCGAACCTGTCTAGACCCAGGCCGCAGAGAGACGATGTGGAATGTGGCTGAGTGGGTGAGAGACGTGGGGATAGGACTCGTAGATGACCAAGCAGAGGTACCTGTCCCTCTCTCTGGATGATGTTTACAATTTTGTTCTCAGGAGCAGAAGTGCAAGGGGCTCCTCTGAGGGTCACCTTCCTTCTCCCACTGAGTGATTTAAAAGCAATGGAAAGATCTACTTCCTCCTTCGTTTTATTTACTTCACTTTGGAAGCTGAACACCCTTTAGTCTCTTTTTGGAAAATGCCTACCATAGAGAGTCACTTGTCAGGATGGGATCTTTGTTTCTTCCCAGGACGAGGAGGAGGAGTCCAGTCGGCAGGAAACGGAAGAGAAAATACTTCTGGATCCGAACAGTGAAGAAGTCTCGGAGAAGGACGCCAAGCAGATCATCGAGTGAGTCTCCCTCACCAGTGTCCTTCCTTGCAGATCCGCGTCGTGACCTAAATTAGGCTTTGGGAATTTTCTTTTGGGAAGTTTGGAAGCAGGAGGCTGACTTTGTGCCCACACTCCACCTGAATCGCTGCTGTCAGAAGTCACCACTGGGCTCCAGCCACGGGGCTGGGGGCTCCCGGCTGCTCCTCTCCCCCATCTGACCTCTTCTCCCTCCTGAATCCCCACCCCCAGCTGGGCTCACTCCTGGGCTCCGCACCTATCACCGCCCTCTGCCCCAGACTGAGCTGACCACACCGCCCTTCCTTCCTCCTCGGTGGCATCAGCATTCACCCAGAAACCCAAGGAGAAACAACATTCCCTCTGTCCTTGTGGCCAAGCCAGCCAGCCACCAGGTCCCGCCAGGAATACCCTCTCCTCCGAGCCTGTGCTCCTCCCGCTCCGCGTGCCCAGCTCCCTGCCGCACCCTGGTCGTCCCCCACATCTCCGTCATCCCCCGCGGCTCTCTGTGTGGCTCTAATATTAAAAGGAAATTGTAATGAAACAGTCGGCAAAATAGAACATTATAAAGTGGTGACATTTAAAAGGGAAAAAATGAACATTTTAATCTTTCCTCCTTTTATTGCAGAGCTGTAGGCTCCACTTTATATTTTTTTTTTTTCATTTTACTTTTTTCTTACTTTTCTTTATTGATTAAGGTATTACATATGTGTCCTTATCCCTCCATCTGCCCTGGTGTTTGTGTCCATTGGTTAGGCTTCTATGCATGCATACATATCCTTTGGTTGATCTCTCTCCCCCGTACCCCTGCCCTCCGCTGTCTTCCCTCTGAGGTTTGACTGTCTGATGGGTGCTTCTCTGAGGAACCTCTGCTTTACCAGTCTGCCCCCCTCATTACCTGTAGAATAAAATATGAGCTCCCTAACCTGGCATAGAAAAGGGAAGACGACCTTCCTCCTTCCTGTCTCTTAAGTTGACTTCAGCCTTCTCTCACCTGCCCTCCAAGCCGTGGGCTGTGTTCTGGGCATAGGATTGACACTGAGTGGCCAGATTATTATGATCTCTGAACGCATAATAATCTGGCCCCTCAATATGTATATATATATATATATATATGAGGCCTGATGCATGAATTCATGCATGGGTGGGGTCTGGCCAGCCTGGTCAGGGGGAGGGAACATGGGAGGTTGGCCATCCTGCCTGCTGGTCGAACTCCTGGTTGAGAGGACAATTTGCATATTAACCTTTTATTATATAGGATATACACTGAGTGGCCAGATTATTATGCGTTCAGAGATCACAATAATCTGGCCATTCAGTGTATCTTTACGTCCCAAGAGCCCAAGACAGCTTTCCAAGGCGAAGTGTTCATCTGCAGGTGCGCTTCATGTTCGTATTGGTCACTGGGGGTTCGTATTGGTCACGCCGGCCTGCATTTGGATCCTGACTCCACTAGTTTTATGTGGCAGGCAAATCCACTCACCTCTCTGAGCCTGAGGTTCTCCACGTGCATGAAACGGGGGTGAAACGAATAAGTCTGCCTCGCTCTGTTTTTGTGAGAATTACAGATAATGTGTTTTAATTGCCAGGCAATTAAATAGTAGGTGATAAATAAGCCGTACTTACCTCAGCTATTTTAGGCTTCCCGTTCATCTTTTTGAATGGGTGGAAATAAAAACACACGCACCCAGATGTCTGAGCATGAGCCTCCCCTGTCTCTGTCCCAGGACGGCCAAGCAGGACGTGGACGATGAGTACAGTATGCAGTGCAGTGCCAGAGGCTCCCAGTCCTACTACACGGTGGCCCACGCCATCTCCGAGAGGGTGGAGAAGCAGTCCGCCCTCCTCATCAACGGGACCCTGAAGCACTACCAGGTAACCCTGGGACTCCTGGCTCCTCGGCAGGTCACCAGCTCCCACCTCGTTTGCACTGGCGAGTGTCTCGTGCACAGTTCAATGACATACTCGGGTCAATGGGGAGAAGGCATTCTAGGTCCCCCAGCTCACAGTCCTGACAGTCTCTCCATTCTGCCTGTAATCCTGCTCGGAAAGCGCTTCCATCTGACCATCCCTGCCAGGGCATATCTGCTTTCTCTTCTGGGGTTTGGGGATGAATTGGCTTGCCATCTGGAACCGTTTCACCACGGATCACTACAGAACGGAAAATCCAGCCACATTTGATGCGTGTCTGGAACATGAACCTAACTGGGGAGCAAACGAAGTATTTCTTCAGGAATCGCACTGGTGGCCGAAGTCCAGTGCCATGGGTCCAGCAGTCACTGTCTACTCCGCTTACACTTTTGTCTTTTCCAGTCTCAGTAAAGTGGTGGGCATCCGCGCTGTGGTGAAAACTGGGCTGTAACTATAACACATTTCATGTGACCTGTGTGGAATGAGGTCAGCCGCTGTCTTCTTTCTCCCCTCCCACTTTATAGTGCTTCCCAAAGTGTGTTTCTTGGGACATTCGTCCCATGAGATGTACCTCAAAAAGAAAAAGAAAAATTGGTCCCATGATCAAATAAATATGAGAGATACGACCCGCTGTAACGAGGATTACCATATAATTTACTGTTTCAAACGTGGGTACTAACGAGAGTGATAAACAGGGGTTCTTTTTATTGATAATGGGCATAACTCGGGACCGTCCTGAGCCATCCAGCCACGTGGGCACCCTGACAGGATCCCTCCTGATAGTCCGTGCTGCATGCCAGCACATCCAGGACTCTACAAGTATCCATGTGTAATCACTGCAATCAGTATCATGCCATAAAATAACTAACCTTCTAGTTCCCAAGATTCTTTGACTCCCCCACCTTCTGTTCACATAGCGCCCATTAGAAACCACATGCTTCAGGCCACCAGTCCTCACACATTTTGGACTCGGGGTCCTCTACAACCTGGCCCTGCATCTGCTGCCGCGGCCTGGGGAACAGCCAGGGTGGCTGCCACAGCGCTGCCTTGGGCCCTGCTGTAGGGCCCCGCAGTTCCCACCCACTGTTGCTTTTGTATCACAACGTAAAGGGTAAGCAGTGCCCTGACGTTTCTGTGACATCGCTGGGCCTGTGGCTCCTGGGAAGGCCGGGGCACCAGGAGCCCTGCCCGGGAGCACACGTTGACAAGCACTGCTCTGTCCGTTGTGAGGTCACGTTTTCCCCATGAAAGTAGGTTCCAAGTGCATACCAGCTTACTTGGTCTGCCCAACATAGATATTAATTCACAGTATGTTCTGATAAACTTTTACATGTCCGTGGCTGGGAGATGTGTTCTTTGGATTATTCATAAGTAGCTTGACAACCCATTGATTTCTGCTGTCACCTGGTACCTTCCTCAGCACTGGTCTACCACCGTCCTTTCAAACCCTCTCCCCTGCTTTCGTCTGGAACCCTGTGCCCTTCTCCCGGCACTGGGCGGCTGGAGGCTCCCGCACACCTTGCCCCGCCCCCTGGGTCATCGTCTCTTGGAGTTTCTTCTGCCTGATGATCCGTTCCCTTCCTCTCAGACCAGTTCATGTCATAGCTCCGAGCCTCCCAGGACCACTCTGTCCCCAAGTGAGTTTTCTCTCTTCTCACTCCTGGACACATCTCTGCATCACTCATGGTTACGTAGCCTTCACCTCGCCGAGGCCTTCCTGCTGCTTCCCAGAAAGCTGGGGTTCAGTCCCCAGCCCCGCCGGCTTCACGGTGCAGAAAAGGACAGTTCATTCCCCACAGTTTTAGTGAATTTCTAGTCCCTTATGCTGCCAGTTCCTGCTTCTGTTTTATCTGGGATTAACACAGATGCAAAATTCAGACCCTTAGCCAGTTTTCATTTTAAAAAGGGAATCTACCACCTCCCAGGGTCCACGTATTCCCGGCCTTCCTTTCGTTGGCTTTCCTAGGATCTGGAGGTCTTTGCAGGCACACAGGTCCTCCGAACCAGCGGCTGTGGCTCCTTCCTTTCCTCACGTCCCCTCTCTGTCTTTGGCCCCTTGTTCGAGGCTCTTCCCATTTCCCTTCTCTGTCTTGGTGCTGCAGTTCTTGGAAACCCCCTGGGATGGCGTGGAGTCTGCGTGGCACAGAGACCCAGGCGGCTCTGGCAGTGTGGAGGCCAGCGCAGAGCTCCCCTGGGGAACAGCCTGGACCACAAGGCCTGGGATGGTGGCATAGGCACCCAGCCGCTTCTCGGTGCATGTGCATAGGCCAGCGGCTTATTGTCCCCTTGGAAAGCTTCTGAAAGGAGTTACACCTGACATACCTTGGTGTCCACCTGCCATAGCTCCTTCCACAGAATAATCACTTAATACATTTTAAAATAAGTTACTTCTTTCTTACACTAAACATATTAAAATTAACATTTTCCTAAGCATGACTCAATGAGCAAGCTAAATTGCTTTTAGCTAATATAAAGATATCGATACTGATATCTATATCTATCTATCTGTCATTGATCCTACCTTTTAAATCCAGCCTGGCCAGTGTGACTTAGTGGATGAGTATCATCCTATGAAGCAGGAGGTCACAGTTCTCTTCCCGGTCAGGGTACATGCCCTGCCAGGGTTGCAGGCTCAATCCCAGTGTGGGGCTTACAGGAGGCAGCCAATCAATGATTCTTTCAGATGATTGATGTTTCTCTCTCCCCCTCTCCCTTCTTCTCTGACATCAATAAAAATTATTTTTAAAAAACACACACACACACACACACACACACACAAACCCACATTGGCAGTATGAGGGGGAAAGGGAATTGGTATTGGAAGAGGCAGGAGTAACAATTTTGGATTTTCACCAGCCTTTTTTGTACTTGACAGGCTGCAAAGCTGCATCTCAGTGCAGAGCTTTTGAGCTTTACAAATACGTGGAGTGTATCCGTGGGCAGTCAGCTTCCATAGGCTGCCCTTGGGGAGTGCCATATAGCATTTCCATCTGCTGCCCTGCCTGGGAGGTGTGCCCCCACCGGAAATGCCCCCCATGGCCCAGCACCCACCCCTGGCTCCCTGGTCACCTGGCTTCCTCACCAAGGGCAGCCCACCCCCGGAGGGCGGGGCCCCTTTGCCAAGGAGGCTGTTTCCAATGATCTGGGACCTTCGAGCCAAACCTGCCCTCTGGTCTGTCCTTAATCCTCGCGTTGGCTTTTTGTTCCTGGAGTGGTTGGAATGGCGTTGGCGTTGGGTTTCCTTCATTTATAACAATTCTAGAATGTCCTGCACTGTGAAATGCTAAGTAGGGATGAGCAGCAAAGCTGCTTAAAACCCTACCCGTCTGCTCCAGCCCGTCGTTCCTAAATCTGATTAACACCCGGCACCTGCCCAGCTGCGGGGACGATTACAGACTCGAATCTTAAATTCCTTTTGTGCTGGTGCTTCCCTCACTTGCCTGCTGTGGGAGATCCAGCATATATAGCACTGCGGAGCTAAGAAGTCACAGCCTCACTTGAGTTGTATTAGTATTAATTACCTGTGCAGATCTTGGATAATTGAAGCAATTACTCTTCATTTCAGCTCCAGGGCCTGGAATGGATGGTCTCCCTGTATAATAACAATCTGAACGGGATCTTAGCTGACGAAATGGGCCTGGGCAAGACCATACAGACCATTGCACTCATCACTTACCTGATGGAGCACAAACGGCTCAATGGCCCCTATCTCATCATCGTGCCCCTTTCGTGAGTACAGGCCTTTGTCCTGCAGCTGTCTGTGTGTGTGCTGCCGCGTGCCCTGCTGGGAGCGAGCCCTTCTTCTGCACTGAGAGCGGAAGTATGGCCCGTGGTGGGGTGCCCAGGTGCATTTTATTTCCCACCCCCGACCCACTCCCAGCCTCCTCACTGTACAGTGGGCCTTATTCCTTCAGCCGCTCACCAAGGGGAGAGAGAGGTTTCCTTTTCTTAATTTCTTTGATTTTTTTTTTTCTGGTTCCATTTCCAAAAGGTTACATATATTCAAAAGACTGTGCATTCTGACGTCTCTATTTAGTGTGTCCTTCAAAGCAGAATCTAAATCAAATGTGTAACAGAATGTGACCTTACCCTGGCCTCAGTGTGTGCAATTCATTTTCAGGGATTTTGCCTCTTGGCAAGGACAGGTCTTTGCTGTGCGCCATTTCCCTCCCTGGCCTCTCGCCCCAGTGTTTCTTTGCTGGTCTTCAGCGGACACTCCTGAGAGAAGGGAGACCTGACAGTAGGCCCCTCGCCCCCAGGGGAGTGTCTCTGGTTGTGCGTGTCCGGTCACGTTTTTAATCCCCGAGATCTGAGATCTCCGTGCGAATACAAACCTGGACCTTGAGAGAGAGAAAAAAAAAAAATTCTATTTTTAGTATTTCCCCCCATATTTGTTTAAAGGAGGACTATTTGCAGACTTAGTTCATCTAGATAATCTGAATCCATCATATTTGGACATTCTTTGCATTTTTATCTACATTTTGAATATGTGTTTCTTTTTTATGTATATTTTTCATGTTCTGATTTGTATGTTACGGTCAGGCTTTCAGGGATTAAAAACAGGGGCGGGGGCAATTCCCTATATGGTCCCCTACTTCCTCTTGACAGATGTATTTAATATGTTCGTGTGCTTTTATAATTTTTTTTTCCTGACTCCACTTTTCTCTGAACGTGTGTGTCTGTTTCTAAAGACTCACTAAATCCCTTTGGCAGTTGCTGTTTTTCAATGCCATATTAAAATTTAGGGTCCCCCCCCCCCTCTATAATTATGCATTCTTTAATTTTTTTTCTTATGAGATTTTTTTAAATGTACTCAAAACATACTTGTCATGCTTTGTGACAGCTTACTTCTAACTTATCTCCTATTTTCACACCTTTAAAAAAAATATGTAGTCAAGATATTCAAGGTGAAGCCTGAGAATAAATAAGAACATCTTTTTTAACCACCAACTTTCATACAAATGTCTTTTTTTTTTTCTTTCTTCTATTTATGTTTTGTTCTCCAGGACGCTGTCTAACTGGACATATGAATTTGACAAATGGGCTCCTTCTGTGGTGAAAATTTCTTACAAGGTTTGGAATGCTGTGTTTATATATATCAATGTGCAAAAGCAAAAAAAATAGTCCCCGTTCTCTCTACTCCATATGCACATCTGCGCACTGTGTTTGGCTGTAAAGTTTTGTCATGTACATCATGTACTAAACATCAAGAGTTAATCATCCCAAGAAGATTACTGTAGTAAACTGTAATCACCTTCAGATAGTGAAATGCGGGAGAAAATTGTTAATTATCACACTTCGGGGTTTCTGATGAGAGTAATACAAATGACAAATACCGCAAGTTCCCCGTGGTGCCGATGGGCTCCCCGTGCCGGCGGGAAGTTCAGCCATTACCTGGGTGCCCAGGCCGCCTGCCACGGCTCCCGGAGAGAAGGAGCCTCTCATTAGAGCATCGAGCTCTCTGCCGCCTCGCAGTCACTGCAATTTCCCTCTCTCTCTCTCCCCGCCATTTTCCATGGGAAAGCCTCTCTCTAAGAGACTGAAAAGTGCCCAGACCAGGGCGATTTCACCGAGCACTTTCTTGGTGGATAATGCATCCATGTATAATAGCGCATGTATGTGCACTCCTTAGTCACGGGCCTGAGCTCCATGAAGGTCTGAATAGTGTGCTTCTGCAGGGTAAGGTGTGTGTGTGTCTTTCTCCCTCTCCACTCAGGGCACCCCTGCCATGCGCCGCTCCCTGGTCCCCCAGCTGCGGAGTGGCAAGTTCAACGTCCTCCTGACAACCTACGAGTACATTATCAAAGACAAGCACATCCTTGCAAAGGTATGTTCAAAAAAATGCTTCTGTCACTAAATCATGGACCAACCGCCTTTGCACTAGAGTGTAGAGTATTTCCCAGATTATACTCACTACTGGTATAATTTTATTTTTAAATGGCATTTCTCTCTTTCTTTTTTTAGAGTCAGATATATTTTGGTGATGGGTTTTAATTGTATGCACACTGTGTATATGTGTGTGTGTGCGTGTGTACGCTCCAGCCATCTGTCCTGTGGCTCTTACTTATCTTCTCATGGATAATCAGTTTACATCTCTTTAAACGTTCGCCTGGGTTCCTTCTGCAACTCTTCCCTCCGCAGCAGCTCGAGTGGAAGGAATCCTTGTTTCTGTGGCGCCGGGTCATTGTCAGCAGCGCAGCTTCGGTCCTCCTGGGCCTTTGTCTCTCCGAAGATGAGGAGCACCTCTCGCGTGGCCTTCTCCCGTTGTCCATGTCTCCCAGCTGTGGCTTTCCTGCTGTCCCTGTTTTAGGGTTTTTCCTTATTAAAAAAAATGTGGGCTACTATTGTTCGAATTACTCTGGGCTGTTTCTGTGACTGTTTGGAGCTGGGAAAGAGTGGTTTTCTACCTGCAACCTGCATGCCTCCTAATTTATATGTCCTAAGTTGTCCTTTAGCCATAAATGTAATTTGTCCCATTAATATCATCTTGCCTCCTAATACATTCATGCAGAATGATGAAAGTAGTTTCTTTTCATGGAGCAAATATGAAGACTTATTATTATTATTATTATTTAGTAATTTCTTTTGCCCCGTGGTGTTCTGGAAGCACTATAATCTGAAACCAAGCTATAGCCCCCGTGGAACAGAACCCCCGTTTCTGGGCTGTGCTGTTTCTCTGCACTAGCCCTTTGCTCTGGGAACCGAGCGTTCCCTTCACGGCATCGCAGGAAGTCACATAAAGGAAATGAGTTCCCGGGGGCGGTTTAACCATGAGATGGCACTGGCAGCAGTGCTTGTTCCGACTCCTCGTACTCGGGGACGAATTCGCTAGTGTCAGAAGTGATGTGTTTTCAGTATTACGATGGGAATGTGTTTATTCATTTGCGATCCTTGAAAACAAATTCAGACAGTGTTTTCTGCATAAGCATTTCAGCATTCATCGGAGGCGCCTGTTAATGACATGTATCGCTTTTATTTGTTACTGGAGTGATGGAGATACAGAACAGAACGGGGCAGCAATTTTTTTCCAATTGCAAGACCTCATTAGAAGTAGCCCAATAGCAAAACAGAAGGCCTCTGCTTCCTTGTTTACTATTTCATAAGCCAAATAGAGCAGGAGAGCAGATGTAGGGTATTCATTTACATACATGTTATCTGCTGGCCTCTTTCCTCGCTATTGGTAAGTTTGGGACAGTCGGCAGTACAACTTTGGTTCTTTGTAAACCCTTTTCTTAGAGGCGGCAGAGGCAGAAAAATACACAGAATCTCTGGCGGTTTCCTTTACCTGCATATCCTGGCCTGACTGATGCTTTTATAGTTTTTCCCCTGATTTCCCTGGTGCTTCTGAGGAGGAAGGCGAGGGCCATGGGCGTGCTCTGCCGTCTCCCCCTCCCTCCAGGAGCGTGGCTGCAGGAGCCAGGCACAGCTGAGCACCAGATGCTTTCCTTGGCCATCACCCCTGCTCTGTAGGGAAAGGATAGGCTTAGTGGAACATTCCTCATCGTTCTCACTTTAAGAAACAGAGAACAGTGACCTTGAGGAGGGCTCAAGTGTAAAATACGAGAGAGGGAAAGGGGCTTTCGTAGACAGGAAGGAGGATTGCATCAGATGGTCATTCCTTACTTCCGAGGTGATAGTCTTGTGGGGAGAGTATGTTATGTTTCATTCTGAAGGTTTGGCTGTACATAGAGGGATGATATTTTAGCATCGTCCTCTCCGCCAGTGAGAATATCCTTTCATTTTCCATTTCGTAAAGCAGGGCCCCTAGAGCTGGTGGGCAAGTGCTTGGCAGTAGGGAATTCTAGTATGTGTGAGAGTCCAGGTTGCCAGATCTTTTCTTTTATTTTTTTAAACATATATTTTATTGATTTTTTACAGAAAAGAAGGGAGAGGGATAGAGTGTTGGAAATATCGATGAGAGAGAAATATCACTCAGCTGCCTCCTGTACACCTCCCACTGGGGATGTGCCTGCAACCAAAGTACATGCCCTTGACCGGAATCAAACCTGGGACCTTTCAGTCCATAGGCCGACGCTCTATCTAGTGAGCCAAACTGGTTACGGCTTTTATTTTATTTTTTAAAGAAAAAGGTAAATGTCCAGGTTTTAATGTGAAATATACCAACTTTTAAATATTAGCAACTAATTGAAGTCAAAATAAGAACGCAGATCCAAGCTCTAAAGGTAGTGTGGTCAGCCCACTTAGTAGAAAAGAAGGCAGAAGCCAGCGTCTCTCCGCTACAGGTCATGCAGGAAGAACCGGTCATTAGCTGCAGCCTCAGGTGGAGAGCCGTGTTCTGTACCTGCTGGGTGCAGAGGGAGCATGACCTTTGGGTCCGGACAGCCGGCAGGGAACAGCCTCAGCAGGAGTACAGGATCGGGAGACCCAGGAGCTGACCCTGTCTTAGCCAGTGCACTCTGGGCCAGGCTTCCTTCTTTGTTAAATGGCCTCTAAGGAGCACTGTTGCTTTAGCTTCCCAATATTACATGATGTATTATCTTACCTATCAGGTAGGGGCTATAGGCTGTTGAGATTCTTTTATTCTCAGGAGAATCCCACCATGTTTCACCAGATATAGGTCCTTTGGTTTTCCACTTCACCTCCTTTTAGTTGTTGTTAATCTTCACCCAAGGATATTTTTCTATCGATTTTTTTATTTTTTATTTAAGAGAGAGTGGAAGGGAGGGGGAGAGACAGAGAGAGAAACATCGATGCGAGAGACACATCGATTGGTTGCCTACCGTATGTGCCGGGCTGAGGACTGAGCCTGTTACAGAGGTACATGCCCTTCACCGAAAGTGAACCCAAGACCCTGCAGTCCCTGACTGACACTCTATCCACTGAGGCAAACCAGCGAGGGCTCCGTTTCACCTCTTGCCTGCTGGAAATAGTTGTCTTTTCCCTCGCTCACCGCATGTTGGCCCGCCTGACGTTACAGATCCGGTGGAAGTACATGATCGTGGACGAGGGCCACCGGATGAAGAACCACCACTGCAAGCTGACCCAGGTCCTGAACACTCACTACGTGGCCCCCAGGAGGATCCTGCTGACCGGGACCCCGCTGCAGAACAAGCTCCCGGAGCTCTGGGCGCTCCTCAACTTCCTGCTCCCCACCATCTTCAAGAGCTGCAGCACCTTCGAGCAGTGGTTCAATGCTCCGTTCGCCATGACTGGAGAAAGGGTACTGGTCTAGCTCGTTTTTGTTGTTGTTGTTGTTGTTGTTGTTGTTTCCCCCTCCTCCCCTCCCCCCCCCCCCCCCCCCCCCCCCCCCCGCTGCTTGAAAATTAAATGAAAGAACCTAGAGCTGAGAACATCAGAGCGACAGGAAACGCACAGGGCGCACGTGTTCTCATTCCCGGCGTTTCCCCTCGGAAGAGGTGTGGGTGTCCTGACTCCAGCCAGGCCGCCAGAGGACATTCCCAATGGTGGGATGCTGTTGGGCCACAGCGGGGACCCTTGGAGGGAGAGTTATTGCCTCAGTTCAACCAGGTCAGCTCACCAGCTGAACAAAACCTTCAAGCGTGTCTGTCCTTGTTATAAACGTGGGCTTCCCTTTGAACTGTTTCCTCACCGGGAGAGTGTGTGTGAAGCCAAAGCTGTACACTCATTTTCTGTACACATTTTTTCAGAGTTTAGTGTGAGCCTCAGTTTTGTGTCTGCATAAATACTCCACAAACCTGGAGTAGCCATTTCTAAATTTCTCAACTCCATTTCTTCCACTGTCTGTCTTCTCTTGGAGCTCCCTGATGAAAGGAAGGCCTAGCCACTGCAGGAAAAGCGATGGGCACATGTCCTTTTGGTTAGTGATTTCTTAACTATGGGAATGCAGAGCCAGAAAGAATGCCTCAGGGAAACTTAAGTTGGAACTCTTGAGCCCTTCAGTTGTGTGGCGCGTTTTCTTTTTGTCTGTAAAGGATTGACTCGCCCATTTGTGTAAAGTCAAGTCAATCAGCTCTGCCCCCTAGAGGTGACAGAGGAGGGTGAAGGAGAAAGCAGAGGGTTTATAAATGTGACTGGAACTCCAACAAGATCAGGGCAGAAGAAAGGAAGAGAGAGGTAGCATGGCTTAGATACCGGCCAACATAAATTGGGCCTACTCTTGTTTTTATTTTTGTGTACAAGCCTATTCTAACCTATTTTTAAAATTTTATTTGAGAGAGAGAGAGAGAGAGAGAGAAGGGGGGAAGAGAGAAACATGGATTTGTTGTTCCACTTATTTACATTGGTTGATCCTTGTATATGCCCCGACTGGAGATCAAGTCCACACCCTTGGTATATTGGACAACATTCTAGCCAACTAAGCTACCCAGTCAGGGCTACTTGTGTTTTATGTCAGTCTTTCTGCCCCTGCCCCCAATGTAGGTTGGTTTTTAATCTTCATCCAAGGACATGTTTTCATTGATTTTTGGGAGAAAGTAAGGGGGAGAGAAAGAGAGAAACATCAATGTGAGAGAGAATCATTGATCAGTTGCCTCCTATATGCACCCCAACCAAGGATTGAACCCATAACCTGGTATGTGACCTGATCAGGAATTGAACCCACAACCTTTTGATGCTCCAGCTGGCCAGGCCTTCAGTCAGACTTTATTGCCAGTTATGTCCCATAAAATTCTGAGCCCTATTCCACAAACCCATCCTTAAAACCAACACCCATTAAGAATTCTGAGGTGTATGTGACCAGGTATAAACCTGGCCTTAACACCTTCAAACTAAAGTGAATAATAAATGTAACATTAAGTGTTATTACATGAAACAGCCTTTAAAAAAAAAAAATCAAAGTCACTTACAGTTCTCCTCGTGTAGGTGGACTTGAATGAAGAAGAAACTATATTGATCATCCGGCGTCTACATAAGGTCTTGCGTCCATTTCTACTGAGGAGACTGAAGAAGGAAGTGGAATCCCAGCTTCCAGAAAAGGTATGCTGCACAATGCACACGTTATGGTTTCTTTCCCTGCCGATATGGTTGGCATTCCTACACCTAGAATTATGTTTCTGAAACAGCAGGTTTGTCTTTTGGAAATCTCTTGAAGTGCTAATTTATTTGATAGAAGCTAAAGGGTTTCGTGTAGAGAGAGAAGGCAAATTTCGGCAATTTCAGCCCGGTGTCCAAAAGCTTTGGGCAGATTTTATAAAATTACCAAATTCATTGAGCTTTACCAAAGTCATAACCCTTTAACTTACAGCCACTTAGCATACACTGATTAAATTAACATTGCATTTTAATTTTAGATATTTTTTAACGTTAACCTCATTTGAGTTTCTTTTTACAGATGCCAAAAAAGTGTTCTGTTTGTAAACCAAATAAGGATTTCAGTTTGGAACTTTTATCATTATCAGAGGGCCTAGTAAACATTGGCCATATTTGCTGGAAATTTATTTAATACTAGAGGCCCAGTTCACGAAATTTGTGCAGTGTCCCTCAGCCTGGCCTGTGCCCTCTCACAATCCAGGACCCCTCTGGGGATGTCTGACTGCCACTTTAGGCCCAGTCACCACAGGGATTGGTCCTAACGGGCAGTCAGACACACACCACCACCACCCCCCCCCCCCCCCCCCGCAAGAGATGTAGCAGTGTGCCAAGCAGCAGGCAGCCAGGGAGGAGCCGGAGCCAGGGCCGGGTGCCATGCCACCCACACTTATCCCAGCCTGCTGTGCCTGCTGCCGTTGCTCGGTAGTGCTGCCACAGTCAGAAGAGGCTCCCGCCGCTGCAACTGCACTCAGCAGCCATGAGCCCAGCTGTTAGCTGAGCGGCTCTTCCCCTGTGGGAGTGCACTGACCACCAGGGGGCAGCTCCTGTGTTGAGTGTCTGCCCCTGGTGGTCAGTGCGCATCATAGCAACTGATCGACCCGTCGTTCTGGTCATTGCAGTCGTTCTGTCCAAAGGGTCACTTAGACTTTTATATCTGTGGATTTGATGCTTGTGATGTCACCATGGTAATAGGTGAAAAATAGAATTTCTATAAATTACAAAACCATCATCTAATTATTCTTGGGCACAGTTTCTGTCCCGTACCATAAACATGAGGTTCCTGTGAACATTTTGAGCAAGTATTTTTCAGATTACTTTGTGGACACTGAGTTTTCAATGCTTTAGAATATACTTTGAGCCCTTAGCTCTGCACTTTTTGGTTGGATTTGGGTATTAGTTTAATATGTTTCTGATCATAGTTTGGAACCATGCACATTTGAGTTCTAAATTTTATTCTCTTAAAGAAGGATTGCTTGGCATTGTATACTAGTATTTGTAGCATGGGATATTTTGATCTGAGCTTTCTCTTTAGGTGAGCCAAGTCTGAAATGTGTTATTTTGCATCATTGTGTTTTCTGTGTAATGACTCTATTTTTTGGACAGATTGTTTCATCCTGTTCATTTTTAAGTGGGAGCTGGCAAATAGCATCTGAAGTTGATTGGTTTGCTGAGAGAGAATTTTGTTCTCTATTCTTATCAATTGAAAAAAAAAAAAAAAGAAGAATTAAACATGGTTTTTATACCAGGCTTACTCCAGCAGTAGCCCAAATATTTAAGTGTTTTATTGTGCTAGTAAATGCATTGTGGGCATTAAATACTATATCGATATCTACTTGACTTCCGTGGTCTCAGCATCTTTGAGTAACTCATTTTCTGTTTAATATGAAGCTTAGCTGCTGAATAGATAAACTGGGAAATGGATACAATGGCTGTGTGGCTGCCTGGAGCTACCTCCTAGCATCCTGTTACTGAAATCCTGCAAGTTATAGTGGTGGAATGTTAAGGATTTTAATTTTTGCCATGTTTCCTTTTGTTTCTTTAAAAGAGCACTAAAATAAAAGGTGACTAACTGAAGTCCTTTATCCATTCATTCCATAAAACTTCTTAATCTTGCTAACTTATTTACTTACAGGACTGGCTAAATAGACATAGATTTTTTTTTTAAACTCATTACAAGGTAAAACTATGCCCTGTCTTAAAAAAAAAATCCATTATATAAAAATCCAAACTTTTGCAGCCTAAGGATTGTGGGGCAGTTATTCATTTATACTATAAAGGGATTCTTTACTATTTATTTTACAATTCTTTCCACAAGAGTGCTTCTTGAGTATGAATAAACTTTTACAAAAATTAACATTAGATTTTTGAGAGTATGTCTCCTATATAAAGTCCATGTGTGCTCTTTAATAGCCAGAGCATGACCTCTGAGGTGTGTTAAATACCCTGTATGTGATAGACTGTCTATGGATAAGCTATCTTTTCCTGGAGGTAACTTGGCGGTGTGGAAAGCATGGGTTCTGCCATGAGTGGACAAGGGTCCCCACCACATTCTCTATCTCTTACTGAGTGAACTTGGGCAAGTCTGTTAACCCAGTGGGTGGGTCTCAAGGTTCTCATCGGTGAACTATAAAATAAATGATACCTGCTTCATAGAACTGTTGCGAGGACTAAGATGGATATACTACTTCTATTATACCACTGTGGTTGGCACTTGGGCAGCACTCAATGGGGGGCAGCTACTCACGTTGCTGTTTCTTCTGTTAATGGAAAGTTGTAGTCCTCTCTGTTCTCTCCTTGCACTTCCTGCGGCCCTCCCACATCGCTGCCCCCACAGTCCTTTCAAGGCGAGTTGGGGACCTAATCACTGAGTGTGGCCACGTGGCCTTATTGATGTCTTGTGGCCAGTGGTCATTCTCTGCTTTTTCTGTTTCGTGAGGATTTTTTTTTATCAGGGAAAAATGGGTCATTTAAGTATGAACCTTGTGGATAAGTTTTCTCCTACCATCTCCTGCCCATAGCCACAAACAACGTGTATGTCTTTCTTGGCCTGTGGAAAGAATCAGGAAGGAATTATGGCCATGGCAGGATACGGCTGACTATAATACTTCCATAGCAACAATTCTCAAATGTTTTCGTGAAAAGGAATCAATTAAGGAAGTCTTTTTTAATTTACATATAATGAAATTTACTCTTTTGGGCACATAGTTCTGGAAGTTTTGGAAACTGCATAGTTATATTTCCCATACCTACAATCACAATACAGAGCAATTCTACTTCCCAGTCTCCCTCCCTTCTCCCTCGAATTCCTTAGTGCCACCACATTTTAGCTAGAGGCTCTCTCCACCCTTCATCTCACAACCACGAGGGGTTTGCCCCACAGCTTTGCCTTTTCCAGAATGTCATATGAGGGGACTCAGACAGTATGTGTCATCAGACCTGCTGCATCTGGTTTCTTTCACTCAGCATCGTGTTTGAGAGGCATCCAAGTTGTTGCTAGCATCCACAGTTGGGTCATTGTTATTGTTGAGTAGTATTCTGTTGTGTGGATGCAGCTTACTCGATGATGGATAAGTCTGCTTTAAACATTGTGTGCAGGTATTTGTGTGAACACAGGTTTTCATTCCACTTAAGCAAGTCATTAAGGAGTGGGGTTGCTCCATCATATGGTTAATGTTCACGTAACTTTGTAAAATTCCACACCATGATCCAAACTGTCTGAACCACTTTGTAGTCCCACCAGCAATGTGTGGGTATTCCACTTCCTTCACTTTCTCATCAGTATTCATTGGGAAGTGTCCGTTTCTTAAATGCTTTTAGCCATTTCAATAGGTGTATGACTTTAATTTGCATCTCTCCAGTGATGGTAGGCATCTTTTCATGGGCTTAATCAGCCCTTGTATGTCTTCTTTGATGAAATGGTGCTCAAGTCTTTGGCTTGTTTTTTTTTATTTTTATTGGATTGTTTCTTTTCTTATTGTTGAGTTTTGTGATTAAAAAAAAAAAAACTCTTAAAAATATAAAATGTCATCCTGTCATGGTAATTCTCTGCTTAGTGTAGCTAGAGTGACCTCAGGGATGTATTTCCTCAGGTGAAACCAAAGCAGGCATCTGAGGGCCACCATGTGATAAACGCAGTTCTACTTCCTAGAAAGTTTAGTTTTAATGAATATTTAATAAAAATTAGTTTAAATCAATGGCTATTTAATAATTTTATGAGTCTAACGAACTACCGCATGAGCAAGGGAATAGTCTGTCCACTAATGGTAGGCATCTTTTCATAGGCTTAAGCAGCCCTTCCTCCCCCAAAACCACTACCTACCTACCTGCTAGTGTAAAATCTATCCCTCACATGGGGATTCATAGGTTGGGTGTTTTAGGGAGGTTTCGGGATGGATCAATAGAATATTCATCAACTTGATGCTGATATACCAAAATGAGATTTATTCTCTTAATTTTACTGTCCTAGGGAGTGTTGGCAAAAGGCATTTAATTGGATTTCTGTTACCTGTCTCCCTGAGTAGGGTGATTTAAGCTATTTACCCTCTGACTGGGGAAAAGTGAAAATCATTTACTCTTTTTTTTTTAAATTTATCTTTATTATTGAAAGTATTATAGATGTCCCCTGTGTTTCCCCATCGACCCCTGCCCCAGGCCTTCACCACACTATTGTCTGAGTCTATGGGTTATGTGTATAAATTCTTCGGTTAATCTCTTCCTACCCACCCACCCTTCCCCACCTTAAGTGTCCTTGGTTTAGGGAAGATAGCACTTAACTGGTGGACACAAACTGCTGTTTAACTGTCTCAATTTTCCTATTTAACTTGCCTGGAATTTTTCTGGCTTCTTACTATTCTATAACAATTATCCGTAAGATATAGTTGTAAAGCTTATGACGATGATATTGGCCATATTTATCAAACCAGTTTCTGGTGTCCTCTAAGGACATGAAAGAAGGAGGTCAGAAGGTCAGAGCCCTCAGGATGGGCTCCCCTCTCTGTTGATGGACCCCCGTGTGAGGTCCGAGTCCCCGTCTGCATGGTAGCATCATGCCTCCTGGTCCCAGCCCCTCACCTGCAGCACCTGGCAGCAGCTCACTGGTGAGGAGGGGGCTGAGGGTTCTGTTCCTGTGAGCCTTGAAGCTGTAAACACAAGCCTTGGCCATCTCTTTCAGCAGTGAGGCCCCGGTGAAGGTGAATGTCAGGACAAAACTCAGAAGCCGAAACCTTTAACATAGAGTTTTAACAGAGTGGACTGTTTCCAGGCCTAACTGTGCCATTAATTAGCTGTATCATTTTGACTCAGTCTGTTCAACTTTCTGATGCTCTGGTTTGTTATCTATAAAATATGGACACTGGCCTTGCTGGTATGGCCCAGTGACTGAACATCGACATCCACCTATGAACCAGGAGATCACTGTTTGATTCCAGTCAGGGCACATGCCCAGACTGCAGGCTCAATCCCCAGTGTGGAGCGTGTAGGAGGCAACCACTCAGTGATTCTCTCTCATCATTGATGTTCTATCTCCCTCTCCCTTCCTCTCTGAAATCAATAAAAATACAATTTTAAAACAAGATAAAATGTGGACACTGAATCTAAGTCTCTTAAAGCTTTTGTGTGGTAAAACGAAAGAAGGCAGATAAATGCATGTGTGCATGGGGGCCTGATCCCCACAGAACTCAATTAATATTAACCCTGATCTCATTTTTATTTTTATACTCCTCTGAAGTTAACATTTTTCTTCACCTAGATCAGATTTCATTGAGAGCTAATAGCTTCTGAAGAAGTGGAAGTACTTTAAAAATATGACACCATCAGGCTTGTAACAACAAAACCTATATTACCTGCATCCTTATTTATTAAACTGGGAGATGTTTTTGTCCCGGCCTGGCCAAGAAGGTCATTAAAAACTAAAACTAGTGGATGATGGGTCACTTGCCTTTCCTAACTTCTCTGCCAAGAGCCAGCCTTTGACTAGTTTGATTCGGTGCATCAAAATGAGTAGCAAAAGGCTATTAATAGTGGTTCCATGGAGCCTGACAGGTTTCTTCTAAAGCAACAACGGAATGAATATTCAACTTCTCTTCATCTGTGACCTCCTCACTATGGCTCCGAGCTGAAAATAGCCTGATCGTTTTTAGCCAGTTTATTAAACATTAGGCAGCTTGCTGATTTACTTTTAATCACATTCAACAGATTAATGCCTAGAAATCAATTTCTAGGCATTAATCTGTTGATGATGATGAAAACCGCACGTTTGTATTCTGGGGAATTTTTTAATAAAGCGAAACAATAATGGGAAAGAAGCAAGCGGATGCTATGCATCAGGAGCTTGCTAGACATGTTGTAGGTGTGTGCTGAGTCCCCTTTTCCCGCTTCACAGGCTTTTTGTGATGTTTCCGATGGAAACGGGGGGCCTTGCCTCCTTTAGGTGGTCCTAACATTGAGCCCAGCTGTGGAGTAGTCTTCTCCACCTGCTGTCCTCACTGTGGAGTGGAGTGGTCTCTACTCTCTCCAAAGCAGGTGTATGATAGTCAACCTAGGACTGTCCTGAGCATCATTTTAGGACTTGTATTAGGAGTAGCCACATATCACCATTTGAAAAAGTGTTTCACAAAGGAAATCATGGGATATTGGCCAGTCACTGTTTTTCCTAAACCTGTTCTGTTCCTGTTAAAAGTGGGGGGAGGGGAGGGGAGACAGTTGGGAAGCAAAAGAAATACTAAAAATATACTCTATATTCAATATCTTTGAATTTGAACAGTTGGCAAGCCATTCTCTCAAATATGGAGCAAGTCATGAAAATTCCTAAAAGCATAGCCCTAGCCACAATTGCATATAAACCTCTGGAAGGTCCGTCCACCATATCATACCTTTAGCAATGATGTCTGTTCCAAACCCACCACCCCATCCCAGGAATCCAAGTGGGGAGCAGGTGCTTTCAGGCTCCTGGAATGCCACCAGCAGCCGTGTCTCAGCTATCTCTCTTCTTTTTTCAATTAAAAATATTTTGTTATTGATTTCAGAGAGAAAGGGAGAGGGAGAGAGAGAAAAGCATCAATGATGAGAGAGAATCATTGATCAGCTGCCTCCTGCACACCCCACCTTGGGGATGGAGCCTGCAACCCAGGTATATGCCCTGGGTTGGCGAGTCGAACCGTGAGCTCCTGGTTCATAGGTCGACTCTCAAACCACTGAACCGTGCTGGCCAGGTGCAGCAGCCTCTTCAGAACAGCACCTTCTCTCTGCTGCTCTCAACCACTCACTGCTCTTTCCTCCCAGGTTGAATACGTGATCAAGTGTGACATGTCAGCTCTGCAGAAGATCCTGTATCGCCACATGCAAGCCAAGGGGATCCTCCTAACAGATGGTTCTGAGAAAGATAAGAAGGTACGTGGCAGAGGGGGAGGCAAGGCAGGGAGCACAGGTCTCCTTGGGACCGGGAAGCATCCTGCTCACGCTGACTGGCAAAAGCACGTTACTGAGTCTCTCTGGTAGCTGTTGTAGCTGCCAAAGGACATCTCTTACCCTCTTATGTGTAAACTGCATTGGGCCAGGAAGAAAGGAGCAGGGTCCTGTCTCCGAAATAGTTAACTGTGCTCACGTCAATCTGGCGGAAGACACATTCTGCCTAAACGTGGGGTGGCATTTTAGAAGTTTCATTTCTTGGTCCTCTGTCTTCCCAGAATCCTAGGGAATAGACAGTCACGTCACAAACCCATGGACTTGACATAATTCCTTCCTGGAGATGTTAAGTCACAAGAAAGGTGTTACAGCGAACCCAGAAGCTGCCCTGTTTTAGCAGGACCTTTGGACCACATGAGGTGTAGGGTACCGAGAAGACCAACAGCCCTCTGCCTTTTCTATAGCAGCTCTCTTTTAATAATTAAAATCATCCAATCACTTAATAACTTGTTCTATTCCGACTCTCCCCACTTGTTCTTAGGGGAAAGGTGGTGCTAAGACACTCATGAACACTATCATGCAGCTGCGAAAAATCTGCAATCACCCCTATATGTTTCAGCACATTGAGGTAAGTATGTTCTCTGTTTTGTTTTTTAATTTTTTTAAAATATATTTTTATTAATTTCAGAGAGGAAGTGAGAGAAAGAGACAGACAGAAACATCCATGATGAGAGAGAATCATTGATCGGCTGCCTCCTGCACGCTCCACACTGGGGATCGAACCCAGAACCTGGACATGTGCCCTGACCAGAATTGAACCTTGACAGCCTGGTTCATAGGTGGGCATCTGCGCTCAGTCACTGAGCCAGGCCGGGCAGGCTGTGTTCCCTGTTTGGATCCTGATCGTACTTGTGCTCTTCCTACTAAAATTACTTTAAAAATTTTTAATAGAAAAATACAACAGGGTTAAAACGTGTATGGACTTTGAAACGACAATTCTGCCGTCTGGTAGCTTAACGGGAAGAATTAACAAATGTGAATTTTCTGGTCATGGATGCTTTTTGGCACCAAGCATTTGAGCATCTGGAATTTTATAGCCACAAGCCTAAAGTAGTGCGAAAATGTTGTAAGCTATGGCTCATTATGTGGGTTCGGGGAAGGACTGTGAATTGCCTTGTTACACTAGGCGCTCTGAAATGGAGGATAATGATCAATGCGTCCCGTTTCCTCAGGAGGATGCTGTGAAAAACATTAAAATAATGTATTTATACCTGTTGAAGAGAAAGATGCTCTTGAAATATTTCCTCTGTGAAAGACGCTGACCTTGGTTGGTTACTTAGATTTGTATTCTTTCTTCCTGGTCTCCATCAAGACCATGTAGATTCAGGCTTTCACACCCGTTGCCCTGGTCTTTAGGAAGCTATTCTTAGGCCTGAGGACAGTTTCTGCCCTATTGACTCTATGTGAATACATTTCCTAAACTGACAGAGTTTCACTCCAGTGGGAACAATGGACTCGAGCAGGCAGGAAGGAGCCACAATGTGGTCCCCATCCTTCAGTGTGGCTGCTGCTGCCAGCGTCCCGGGGGCAGTGCTTGGCCAGCTTAAGTGCCCTCTTTCCACCACATGTGAGCAGGGGCCTGGTGCAAGTCCCTGCAGGCTCAGTGTCCCCACCAATTTATTAAAATATAAACGTGGAAGGATCTGAGGAAAAGAGTGAACAGTCACAGTATACAAATGAGGCTGAGTATTCAATCCGTTTTTTCTCCCTTACTTTTGGTAGCTGTGCTTGTCAGAGTATTTATTGCACGCCTCCTCCCTGTCCCAAGTCTGATAGGGAATTAGAAAGACTGTTGATACTGCTGTTTGCCTTCAAGTCCAAAGGGCAGAGTTATCTATAAACCAAAATCCCTAGATCTAGGTAAAATGACAACAGCAACAACACTAAAAGTTTAAAAAAATCCACCACCTGTCAGTGTGGCTCGTGATTGACCTGTGATTCGACATGGTTCATGTCAAACCATGAACCAGGAGATGGCGATTCAATTCCTGGTCAGGGCATGTGCCCAGGTTGCGGGCTCAATCCGCAGAAGGGGGTGTGCAGGAGGCAGCCGATCAATGATTCTCTCTCATCATTGATTTTCTCTCTCTCTCTCCCTTTCTCTCTCTGAAGTCAATAAAATATATATATATATATATATATATATATATATATATATATATATATATATTTAAATCCACCAACAAGCACACCTATTTAAACCATTAGACATATAGTGGGAGGAGAATTCAGTGTGCCATGAGTCCATACCCCAGGCCACTTTTTAACTCAGATGTCTCCTGCTGGGGTGAAACTCTACATTTAGGAGCTTTATTCGCATGAACCGGCCTGCTATAAGTCACTCGGCCTCTCCAAACTCCAGTGTACTTGACTTGTCATCCGTGTCATGGATTCCAGGGCTGCCAAAAGACGGACTTTAAAACAAGTCACATAGGAAGCATCTTGTAAACTGGTAACATGTTAAACAGATGTGAGGTATCAGTGACTCATCGGTGGGGCTGTATGTTGGGCTGGGAAGAGCCAAAAACATGTCTATGATGGGGTTCTATCAGGTCAACCTGTCACCCACCATCTCACTTCTAAAAACAATTTGAAGATATTTACTCTGCTTCATAGAGGGGTTTGAGGACTCAGATTGTGAGAATTAAGTGTCAGCCTTACCTCATTTTGGCTATCATACAAAGCTAACTTTTGTAACACGCTAGGCCTGTCAGGATGGGAGATGGCACGGTCTCTCCTCCGGCTTCTGTCCAGGCACCTGGGGAGGGTGGAGGAAGAGAGCCATAAAAGGAGCGACGGTGACATAGGATGCATGCCCTCCGTTCCAGGCATATTTACATTTTGAAAGGCAGTCAAGTAGGAAAACAGATTTTGATTTGCAGATATTTTTTAGCTATTTTTTTGTTTGTTATTTTACTTTACTGATTTTAGAGAAAGGGATAGAGAGCTAGAAACATCAGTGAGAAGGAAGCATGGATCGGCTGCCTTCTGCACGCCCCTCACTGGAGATTGAGCCAGCAACCCTGGGCATGTGCCCTTGCCTGGGAATTGAACCGGTGAACTCTGGGTTCGTGGGTCGAGGCTCAACCTCTGAGCCGCACCGACCAGGCTGACTTGCTGGGGTTGTTTTGTTTTGTTTTGTTTTGTTTTTAACATAAAAAACGTTCAGGGGCATATATTCCTAGAAACGGGAGCCACAGTTATGGCTGATGTGTTACTGGTTATGAATCAGAGAAGGTGTGTGCCTTTTGCCCTGGCCTTTGCTTTGTTTGCCAACAGCCTTGGTCCATGCTGGCATACAGCCCCCAGCCTCTCCGCTGGGCTCCCTGCTTCCCTGGGGCTTCGAACCAGAGAAATGAACACGGGTTGGGAGAGTGTTTTTGTGTGTGTGTGTGTGTGTGTGTGTGTGTGTGTTTTTAATGATGCCGATTCCTAATCTTATCACCATCTATCTTATGACACTATCTCTGGTTTGTACAGCCCTGCATAGAGATAGGGTTAGAACCTAAACATCTGGTCAGGAATGGCTCGGGCTGCCTGTGGAGAGAGAGGAGGTGGTGCTGGACACCAGAGGGGGGCTTTTGGCTGGTGTCCACGCAGGTCTGCGTTCTGGGGGCTGGGCCTTCCCTACGTGATGAGCATATTTGAGGGGAGTTCGGAGGGAAAGATCTGGTCCCTTTGCGAGCAGAGGGACCGTGGAAGGAAGGGAAGCAGAAAAAGGAGACAGCTGGTGGCTAATGGGAAGGTGCGACATCCTCTCCTTCCCCCAGATGGTCCCCATTCCTTCAGTGGGAGTGGAAAATCACATGGAGAGCAGCCAGGTACTTCTCCCACCATCAGGGTGGAGGGAGCTGTGTGATTAAGTCCAGTATTTTAACGTGAAAGCTGGACCCCCCAGGGAGCGCTGCACATTCAGGGCCTTATCCGTAACACAGATACGTGCAGTGTGCGAGGGACGTGAGGACTTCACTAAACTGAGATTTAAAATGGAGTGTGTGACCACCATTGCTATTACTGTTAAGCATTTTCACGGCATATTTACGTGCACATTTTAGGCCCGATTTGCTTCTATGAAGCGCTTCCTCTAGTCTCGGCTCTACGCTCCTTGGGGACAGATATTTCAGTTGTTCCTGGATCCCCACAGCCGTCCCGGCTCAGCCCCGGGCCAGGAGATGTTTAATCGCTGTTGGATGAATGAACTCACCCTGTCATTTCAGCAGGAGAGTCTAGAGACTTGCAGAAACTTACAGGATATACACTCCTGGCAGAACAAAAGTCTGATTTCAAAGACACTGAGTTTCAGGTTCATCTTATACCAAATATTTCTTACTCATTCTTTTGTTTAATTGTACTCTCAAAACAGACGGGATGGCCTCCCTAAAAGAGTAATCATGAAGTTAATAATGACATACCCGATGAGTTTCCTTTATTCATTTTCCTTTTCTCTCTCTTTTAAAGGAATCCTTTGCTGAACACCTGGGATACTCGAACGGGGTCATCAATGGGTAAATCTTAAACTTTTCTTCCTTCTAAAAAATAATTTGTTGGTCCTACCTCACCTTTTTTCTCTCAAGTGTTTTTCGTCATGCACCTACACACAGCCAGCCTCTTCAGCCCTCTCCCCTGGGAAAAACCTACAGAAGTTGTGAACCAAAATGTATCAGCCTCTCTTGTACTTTAGTGGCATAAATTACCGCATGCCTTGAGTAAGTGGCTATTCAGAGGACATAGATCTCATTTAATAGATTTAATAGTATCCTCGTTCTAAAAATGTTGTCAAAGCTTCAAAGGATTGTTATTTATAACCAATAGTGTAGCTTAGTGTGGATTTATCATATTAAATTTCGAGTGGATATTTAATATTAACTCGCAGGAGGAGAAATGTCCCATCTGCTATAAATATGTATGACTTTACAGTAATTTGTGAGAAATACGGTCTGTATAGGAAGCATTCTTCATCAGCAGTGGACATTGAAGAGAATCATGCCTTGCAACAACAAGAAGGAACATGCTCTAACAGAAAGTCTCTGTTTTGCTTGCATGGCACCAGGCAAAAGGTGTTATCAGGACACAGGACTTATTCTCAGGTCCCCAGGGCAGACCCTGTCACCAGGCACTGGACCCCATCCAGAGGCAGTGCCACCAGGCTCTCCTGCCTCCTCCCCACGGCCCCCCTCCCTCTGGGTTCTGTGTCACTGCTTCCCCGCTGTACTGTGGCCCTCACGTTGGCCAGGGTTGCATATTGAAATTATGGCCACAGGGGGTATTTGGAGGTCAGTTCTCAGAGCAGGGGAGGGACACTAGAAAGACCTAGGGTTGAAAAGGTGTCTCTTAGACACAACGTATATTGGGTGGTAAAATCGGCTACCGAATGGTAGGTTTCACTGTCCTAGACTGCAAGTGCCCTGCAGAGTTTTCCAACAATGCCAGCCCTACAATCAAGTTTCAATAACAACACATCCTTGTTGACAAAAAAGGAAAAGGGGGTGATTGTGGAGGAAAATGGCCCTACTTTAGCTTACTGACACTCTTCTCCATCTGATGGCAGTACACATTACCATTTAAATATATATATATATATATGTTTTTATTGATTTCAGAGAGGAAGAGATAGCAACATTGGTGATGAGAGAGAATCATTGATAGACTGCCTCCTGCATGCCCCCTACTGGGGATAGAGCCCCCAGTTTGGGCATGCACCTAATAGGACTCAACCATGACCAAGCCAGGACTCTTGCCCCCTTCCCAATGCATTCCAGCATGGTGTACATGGTGATGTTATAAAAAAAGATATATCACCAAAATACATGGTAAAGGAAGATGATTTGTATTTGGCTGGTGGACACATTCTACATTGTAGAAATGTACACTTGAAACCTATGTGATCCTATTAACCAATGTCATCCCAATACATTTAAGTTTAAAAAATAAAAAAATGCCCCTCCCCATGGGGTGGGGGGGGAGAGAAAGAACACACATGTAAAACCTTAATAAGGAAAATAATAATAATAATAATAATAATAATAATAATAATAAAAACATAGATGTCAGATCTTGTCACTCCTCTGTGTAAAGCCCATCAATGGTTGTCCATTGCCCTTAAAGCTAACACGTGCAGTGTGAACAGAGCGCTGCAGGGTCTGCCCCGTCCCACCCTCTGCCTCTCTGCTCCCATCTCCCAGGGACCTCTGCTCACTAAGTTTAAGCCACACAGGCTCACCAGGCTCCTTTTCACTCCCGGGGGCCTTTGCACACATTCTTTCCACTTCCTGGTATCTTTCCTCTCCCAAACTTTCCTTCTTCATGGGCTTCCTTTTTTGCTCATTCTCTTAGGTTTTAGTTAAACTGTTATTTTTTTTCAGTGAGGTCACCACCCCTGACATGGGAAACCTGTTAGCAGGCAGTTTTTTCCTGGAGGACCAGATCTCAGATATTTGCACCTTTTCAGGCCAAAAAGTCTCTGTCACACCTACTCAGCTTTGCCCATGTAGAATGAAAGGAGCCACAGATAAAACAGTGAGCGTGGCTGTGTCCCAATAAAACTTTACAGAAACAGCCAGCACACCAGGGCTAATGTTTGCCCAACTCTGCTCTCATCTAAAGAAGGTGTAATGTGTTGCTGTAAGTTCTCTCATAGCCCTTTGCTACCTTGTTAGTACTTATCATGGTCTGTGATTACCCATTTTGAAGGCAGGTATTCTGTTTGCTTGTCACTGTACACATGCCTAGCATTGTGCTGGGCACATAGTGGATACTCAATTAGTATCTGAATGACTCTTAATGTGCCCTGAATTAAACATTTTAGATGCTTAAAAAGTAAGGATTTAGGAAATAAAACATATATATAGTATGTGTGTGTAGCATATGTAATGCACTCTTTATGAGTTTTGTAAATATTTTTATTTTTCAATGATAAACTCTCACTGCTTTGGAGTGGATATTCATTCATTCATTCCACCAGTTACTTATTGTTTACGATGCACAGGGAATTCTATGAGAAGCAGAGTTATACTGGATCCTCCAAGAAGACAGCAGTAATACTGTCTTCTTGTTTTGCATTTTTGGGTTCAGGGCTGAGCTGTATCGGGCCTCAGGAAAGTTTGAGCTACTTGATCGTATTCTGCCAAAATTGAGAGCAACTAACCACCGCGTGCTGCTTTTCTGCCAGATGACGTCGCTCATGACCATCATGGAGGATTACTTTGCTTTTCGGAACTTCCTTTACCTGCGCCTGGACGGTGAGTACGTGAGGAACTGGGCGGGGAAGCCCTGCTGTGAGAGTGCAGGAATGATGGGCACTTAGATCCAATCCCCTCAGAAAAGAAGGGGCAAAACTGCTGAAGAATAAACCAGCAGGGTGGGTGCAGCTTTTCTAGATACCAGTTTTTATACCCTCAAGCTTAAAATAAGCTGAAATCCCTTGCACAGCTGTTTATCCCACATGCCAGCCAATACAAATGAGCTAGAGTCATTTATATAAGTTCCACCGTTAAAACTAAACTGAAATAAAATTTAAAAACTCTCCTTGCTCTTAGGATTCTCTATCTCCTTTGCACCATATGGAATATTTTGATTAGCTGTTAGCTTTTTGTGTTAGGGGATGTTTTAAGGGGATAAAGGCTGTCTCCTTTGTTCAGAAATAGTTCATTTAAGATTATATTTCATTTTTATTAAAGCTTCTCTCTTTTTCTAAGCAGAATATAACTATATGTCACATTGAGAGATTGGTTTCCATTGTTTTCATTGTTTCCAAACTATCCTATATAATAAAGAGCTAATATGCTAATTAGACCGGGCAGCAGAACAACCTTCCAGAAAGACTTCTGGAACAAACGAGCAGTGGGCAGGGGGCGGGCCTCAGGGCCACGAGGCAGTGCTTGCATGAATTTCATGCATGGAGCCTCTAGTGTAAAATAGTTCCCTGATATTAAGAGAGAAATTTAAAGATCATGTCCTAAAAAATTAATAAGAAAATATAAATGGGAGAAAGTATGAATTTAGGGATATATGATTTCTATATCATCCCTAGTACTCTAGAGATGAAACATTATACTTTTCATACTATAGCAGAGGATAAGACTTTCAAAGAATGATAAGTGGGAATAACTAATTTATAGCCAAGATGGTTTTGGATTTCCTCACCTCCCACTCTTTCCCCCCACAGAGGAATACAGTATTACTAATATCAATTTTCATCTAGTGCAATATACAAGTTATTGTTAAATGTCAACTTAGTTTATGTTTCATTGAAAGGTTTTGTTTTTATCCTCCCTTTGCCATGAATTAGACATAGCTGGATGTATACCAAACCTCATACTTGCCATACTTGAGTTTTTATTTTATTTATTCATTTTAAATATGTTTTTATTTATTACCGAGAGGAAAGGATGGGGAGAGAGAGAAACATCCATGATGAGAGAGAATCATTGATCGGCCGCCTCCTGAACACCTCACTGAGGATCAAGCCCGCAACCCAGGCATGTGCCCTGACCGGGAATCGAACCATAACCTCATAATCGAACCTGGTTCATAGGTCAGTGCTCAACCACTGAGCCACGCCAGCTGGGCCATACTTTGAGTTTTTTAAATGAATTATCTTTATGATCTCCCTCTGAGGGTATTTTTAAAAAAATGAATTATACTTCTGATAGACTTGATTTTTAAAAATCTTTTTCTCTCTCCTCCAATGTCACTAACAACAGATGAATGGTTAAGTAAATGTTAATTTTGAATTCAGGACACAGTTACATCCTCCACAGTCTGTCTTTTTTGGCAACACTCCTGCATGGCCTTGTCCTCTGCCCTGATCCCTTCCCTCCCTCCCTCTCCTCAGCTCTCCTTCACTGCTCTTCATCTGAACACAAACCTCCCTCCATTGTGCTCAGGGGAGGGGCAGCCCAGCCCCCTCCATCCCCCCACAGGTGTCCCAGATGACTTGTTTACTAGTCTGGGGCTGTCCGTTTTGAATCTCAGCTCCCTGAGGATAGCAACCCTGGAAGGTTAAAGTCTGTGAAATTGACCAGAAATTATTTTCTTGAAACAGATCTGTTTTCTCCCTGGTCTCAGAGAGGGTCTTTAATAGTCTGTTGGTTGCTGTCCTTATTGTTACTACTAACAACAGAACTAAGGTGTATGAAATGCCTCCTCCTCGTGGGATGGCAGGCCAGGCGCTTGGAGTGCCCTGTTTATGTAATTTCTCAGCCAGCAGCTACTGTTGTCCCATTTCCTGAGGTATCAATATGGTCCCCATTTAACGGATAAGAACGCAAAGCTTTTAGAGTGATGGGTTAATGATGAAACCAGGTTCTGACTCCAAATGAGCTGCTTTAACAGATCCAGTAGGATACAGACACTTCTGAAAATGTAGACTGCTGAATTATACTTTTTTGATAGCATGTGAAGGATGATTTTGAACTGAATCAAAAAAGTTTGATTGATTTGTTGATTGATTGAAAATAACCAGTCACCAGAGAGACAAGATGAATGAGCCACTCACTGTTCCTGCTGCCAAACCCCTTACCATTTGGTTGGAGGAGACAAATAAGCAAGTTCCATCATTAGAGATGGATTGAGAATGCCAGACAGATTCCCTCCCACAAGAAACAGCAGCCATGAGTGTGGGGTGGAGAGAATGGCGGGCAGACAGTCATATACACAGGAATGAATTAGTGCACCACTTCCACCTACCACCCTCTTCACCCAATGATTCCAAAGACTTCAGATTTTCATTGCCAAATTTGACATCTCTGATTTTTTACCTCAAGAAAGAAAAGAAAAGAAAAGGAAAGGAAAAAAAAAAAAAACCACTTGATGACAGCTAAGCAGATTTTTCTGCAAAGATTGTGGTTGCTTGAATAGATTTTAGCTACTATTCTGTTATAGTCTTTGTTTTCGCTGGAAATGATTTTTGATTGAAAGCAAGAGGTGAAGTTACATCCTAGAAGGCAGAATTTTCCCAAAGCACTTGGCACTCAGTTAAAATTAGTAATCATGAAAGCCTGGTGGTGCGTTCCTCCCGGCAAATCCTGCCGTTCTCAACACAATTGCCCTCGCTATTAATTGTATTCTTGGTGATGTGCTGCATCAAAGTGGAGAAGAGCCCGGGCCGGATGCACATTAAGTCCCGTGCCACCTACAAGGAGCCTTTATGTGCCCATGGATAAATCCTGACAAGGTAGTTTGAATCTCCCTGAGCAGTATCCCAAAGATTGCTGATGAGCAGCAAAGATCTTGACTTGGGGAGCCTTTGACTAATGGATATGGTAATGCAGCAAATTCTGAACATTGTCATAAAAAATGCCATAGCTTGGCATGAAAAGTGATTTCATCGTATTTTCCCTTGGCTTTATAACTTGTCAAGTTCCCAGCTATTTATATAGTTTAAATACACATATCAGATATGTGGTCCGTCTGTTTTGCTTGAGGTATTTGTCATGGGGCCTGAAAACTCTTTTTATCACATAATTTTGATATTCCTTTTGTTTTTCAGTGCTTTATTTTTACACTTAGGGTTATTTCATCCCAAGTAAGCATATCCAATACTCTGGTTTCTCTTCAGATCGCATAAATCTTTCGCCTTTTACCAAGTAAGCATATCCACTAATTAATTTTTTTTTAATCCTCACAGTAAGATATGTTTTCATTGATTTGAGAGAGAGAGAGAGACAGAGAGAGAGAGAGAGAGAGAGAGAGAGAGAAACATTGATGTGAGAGAGAAACATGGATTGGTTGCCTCCTGTACACAGGCTCTCACCAGGGATAGAGCCCTCAACTTTTTGGTGTACAGGACCATGATCCAACCAATGTAGGCAGGACTCTACTAATTAATCTTAATGCACATGGTCATTAACTGGTTATTTTTTAGAGGATGAGAACGGAATTTCTCCCCTGAGTACATAGATGCACAGTTTTTGTACTCCGCTATCAGAAAACAGTTCTCTCTGGGAACTCCTTTCTGCATTTCAGAAGCATCTTTTTAGTTGCTGTGGCTGTTTATTTACCTAAAACAGAGAATAAATGTGTGAATCGTTATTTCATGTGAGTAATTTTTCAAAAGTTATTGTCGCTGGAAAGATGACGGTGGCGAAAAGGTTTCATGGCAGAACAGGTCTCCCTTGAGCACAGTGAGCAAGCAGTTCCCCATGACCTCAGCAAGCCCGTCCTGAAAATAAAAGAAAAACGAGCCCCACGTGTCCGAAATCTCTTCCCAACTTGAGAGCACATTTCGTGATTCTCCCCCAAATTCTAAATTCTTACAGTTCGTTGTTGAAGCATTTGACCAGGTCGCTAAACTTGAAATCTAATTTAGAAAAGTAAAATGAGCCCTAAAGAATGTGGCTTCAGTAAACGAGAGCCCCCCACAGCCACATCTGCTGTATGCAAGGAATCGATTCCTTTTCCCGCCTCAGGAGGGTACTTATTATTTTTATTAATATGAAAAACAGATCCCCCCGTGTTTGGGAACTTGACCCTCATAGTAACCTGATTCCATTAGCCGTAGTCACTGAGCGGTTTTAATCCTCTGAAATAAATTGCTAGTATATTTTCATCTTTAAGAAAGGAACACCATGCAGAAATAATGTTTGTATAGACGGCAGCTAGGGACTATCATGTAACGTGCACATATATATTTCCCAACAGCCTCAGGCCTTTTTTCAGAACTCTGCAGCTCCACTTTTCTGCTGAAATACGTTCAGGTAGAACAAGTAGGTTTCTTTCCCTTCCACAGTGCAGTGCAGGCAGAAACTTCACAAACCCCCGGCATGCGATGGAGGGGCTGTTTTGGGACACCAACATGGTGCCTCAGCCTGTGAGCGCCTTCGGCCTGTGGTTGGGACGCCCCGTTACTCACTCTTTTGGGATCTTCTCAGACTGAGCCATCGATCCCCGGGCGTGTCACGGGCTGCTCTGTTGGGTTGAGTTTCGCATCCTTTGCACTCAACCGAGCAGAATGTCCACACCCCTTTTAATTATAGTGACTTCAAGCCTTGCTACAAGGATAAAAATATTCCCTCCATATTTTATGTGTTCACCAGCCAGATAGCGCTCAGTAGCAGACCAAATGGTAGCAGTGTAGTAGCAATCCATTTTCCTTTTGTTCCCATTCTCTTGGCAAAAATAAGACCTCACACTGAAGCCTGTGGGCAAAGTTGCTTTAAACCATCATCATAACCGTGTGGGGAATTTTTTGTTGTGTGTGTGTGTGTGTGTGTGTGTGTGTGTGTGTGTTTTAAGATATACTTGGTGGTGTGAAGCACAGAAACATATCCAGAAGATGTTTTCTTTGAGTTGTAAGCTAGCATAAGAATATTGTATAATCTGTAAAGTTGCGGAGGTGTCCCGTCCAAAATGTTTCAACTTTCAGCATATTGGAACTATGGGTAATAGACAAAGTGTTCTTTCTTAATGTGAGAAAAGTCTCTTTCTATAGCTCTACTATTTTTTTTTTCTTCTTACTTGCAAAATTTTCAAAGTTCCTTTCAAACATGCAAAAACCTCGGGGGATTGCCTCACCGATGCCGAGAGGAGTCTGAGCCCATTTCTCAAGGAGGCAGGCCTTTCTGTCTAGCTCCGTGCCTCGTTCAGACAGGAGTTAATTGGCAAATTTATTTTTCTTATCCCCTCAGGCACCACCAAGTCTGAAGATCGTGCTGCTCTGCTGAAGAAATTCAACGAGCCCGGGTCCCAGTATTTCATTTTCTTGCTGAGCACGAGAGCGGGAGGCCTGGGCTTAAACCTCCAGGCCGCTGACACCGTGGTCATCTTTGACAGTGACTGGAACCCTCATCAGGTCTGCATGTCCCTGACTTAGCTGCCCAGCCTCCCCCAGAGAAGAGCTAAAACCTGCTGTTCCATCACTCACGTTGATGGGGCAGAGCACAATTCTGCACTGTGGGCCGTGTTTGCGGAGGGAAAACAGCCCAGCACGTTATGACAGCTGTTTTCTCCTTTCCCTTGGAGCGTATTAAGATGTCTTATTCTTACCTTTGATAGAGCTCAACTTTGGGGTGGAAAAACTTAGTTTCTGCTTCATGTCAACCTCACTTCCTGGGATTGCCACCGAGCAAACGACACTTGGTGGAGGGTAACTCAACAGTGTTCCAAAGTAAAAACAGCCCCGGAGCAGCTCGCGTGCAGGACTGGCCGTCCTCTGTGCCAGCCTCTTCATACACATGCTCCGTCTGGTTGGCACAGGGCTACGTGACATGATGACTTCCCTATGTGCTTCCTCACAGTCGAGAAGAAGGGATTTCAGGAAGTATAGGTCAAACAATGCATATATGGTAATTAAGTTCATAGTCTGTGTTTTGCTTAAAATCATCATCAGAAAATACTCTGTGGAGCATCAACTCTGCAATTCTTTTAGCTGGTAGGTTTAGCTTAGCATTACCCTTTGGTGATTAATAAATAACCCAATGGGTCCCTTGTGGCCCTGGGCTAGTCAATTATGCTGGGGGTTGTGCACCTGCCTGTAAGATAACTAACTGGGTAGATGCTGTTGGTCAGACTGGATTCCCATGGGAACAAATGTTACCTCGGAATAGTGAAAAGGGACACTGTAGCTCTCACGTGTGAATACGAATTCTACATCTGCTTCACCGGGGTTCCTCTCTGCACCTCAGCTTCCTCAGTGGTAAATGTGCAGGTTCATACTGTTTAACTGGGTCGCTGTGACCATCGGGTGGGAAAGGCTTGTGGTAGATGTTTTGGGCAGGAAGGTGAGGTTCAAGGGTGCGTTAAAATGTAGAGGGAGATTTTACAGAAGCATCCGTGCCTGCTTCCTGTTCCCTGCTTCCCCAATTTCTTGAAGGTGCCTCCCACCCATATAGACTCGATAGGCTTTTCTGTACATTCAGACGCCCCCAGTGGAGTCTGGCATAGGATTTCTCACACCGCTGATGAGCACTGACTTACAGAATAAGCCAGTGGCTCCGAACCTCGGGTGGCCACCAACCCTGACTGTTGCATATGCCCGCCCGTCACTCTCTTTAGGTGACTGCAGTGGAATTGCTGCTGAATCTTTCTGACCTTGATGAAGAGGGTTCCAAATCTTGAGGAAGTATTATAATGTAGTTTTACATCCCACACTGCATTCCAGAGCATCTGTAGAATTCGTATTGGTGTGAGAGCTCTGAGGTTCTCCTGTGGATCCAGCATCTATTCCACAAACACTTCCCGAGTGGCTGCTGTGGCCCAGGCGCGGTGGCGCTAGCTGGTGTCTAGGGGAAGGTTTCGTGATTTCTCTCTTCCCGGGGGCTCAGTGTGGTTGGAGGCTTAGATTCCTCTCCTTGCTGCTTCCTGAGTCTTCATTGAGAAAAAGTAACTTGCCTGTAGGAAAGTGGAGAGTTCACTAGATTTTATCTTCTGAGGTAAACATTTCTATGGCATCTTAGTTGCCCACTTTGTGTTGGCACAGTTTCTGGAAATGCTAACTTACCATGAGAAAGGATGCTGGGACATATGCCTCTCTCTCTCTCTCTCTCTCTCTCTCTCTCTCTCTTTCTCTCTCTCTCTCTCTCTCTTTCTCTCTCACACACACACACACACACACACACACACACACACACACAATTTTATGACCAGTACCTAAAGTGGAACTCCAGAATCAAAGTAGATTACATGAACACCAAACAGTTGGCTTTTAACTGTGTATGAATTAAAACTTAGGCAACAAAATACAGGGCCCCAAGTTTTGGGAGGTCTAATTTACCATGAGTTTATCACATTGGGCCACATATTTGCCATAGGTGGATTCATTTCTACCTGGTTTGGTCAGGTTAGCTGACCAGATTTTTCTTATCTGTCACTTATGATCACTAGTTTACTAGTTTGGACAAACTGTTGTTTTTTTTATTTTATTTTTTGAAATCAGTGATGTTAGAGTGATATAGATAAATGCTCATTTCTTTAAAGAATAAGAACTAATTAAGCAACAACTCTTAATTGGGCATATACTTCATAACTTATTTCATGCAGTCCTCAGAATATCTTAGATATAAGGAAACCTGTCAACATTAACTTGCCCAGGACCACAGCAGGTTCACACCCATGTCTGCCTGGGTCTGGGTTTGCATCCTGGCTTTTGGCTCTTTCTACCTTGAACCTTTGCGTACATCTTGCAGAGCTCTCACAATGAAAGTTGTGGAACTTCTCTCTCTCTCTCTCTCTCTCTCTCTCTCTCTCTCTCTCTCTCTCTCTCTCTCTCTCTCTTTTACCTTGTTGGCTTCTTCATACATGGAAAAAAAATTACTGGAATTATTCTTTATGGTGGTCAATCAAAATCAAGGCATATTGATGAAATAGGGGATTTATTTTATCTGGGTGGACAGAGTAAAGATAGAAAAGCCTTAAAGTTGCTCATTGAAAGCCCTAGAAGCAAAGCTTGAACAGGGATGTGGAATTAGCCATAAAAGTCCCCAGGGTTGCCGAGACCAGTTTGGCTCAGTGGATAGAGCGTCGGCTTGGGGACTGAAAGGTCCCGGGTTCGATTCCGGTCAAGGTCACATATCTTGGTTGCAGGCACATCCCCAGTAGGGGGGAGTGGTGTGCAGGAGGCAGCTGGTCGATGTTTCTCTCTCATTGATGTTTCTAGCTCTCTATCCCTCTCCCTTCCTTTCTGTAAAAAAATCAATAGAATATATATATATATATATATATATATATATATATATATATATATATATTTTAAAAGACGTTGATGACATAAAACCTGCCATATTGGCTCCTGCTTAGCGACGTGTTAGAGAGACGATTGAACTAAAGGCTTGAAAATGAAGTTTAAGGATTTCCCCCTCCCCCCCTGGATTTTAATTATCCACCTCACTTTCTCCTCTTTGGAAAATAATGGAGTTTGGATGAGTCCCAGCTGCGTTCATGGTTCAGCTGTCCAATATTTATATTAAATTGCTCAAATATTCTGAGGAAAAACGTTTGCCTGATTAGTCATTTGACTGTACAGGTCCCAGCAGCAAAGCCAGAGCTCCTGGGCAGACCCCGGCCTGCTGCCTGCCTGGGCCGCCCTCCCGGGTGACAGGAAACCCATCCCGGTGAGAGGATGGGCTTTCAGCTGTGGAGCATCAGCTGTGCCCAGTCAGTGCCAGGGACGCAGGATACAGGGATCAGACCTTCGCCTTAAAAATGTATATGGGTCTAATGGGGGGCACCATGAAACAACTAATTAGCATTTCCTCAGAGGGCACCCCCTGGACCAGAAGGAATGAAACTGATAAACCAAGTTTTTATTGTTGCCTTAAAACTAGGTAACTGCTTCATAGTGTTTTGAAGGATTTTATTTAAAGATTTCATTAAAATCTTTTTCTTTTCTTTTAAAAATATTTTTATTGATTTTAGAGAGGGAGGGAGAGAGAGAGAAAGAAACATCAATGATGAGAATCATTGATTGGCTGCCACACTGGGAATCTAGCCTCAACCTGGCATGTGCCCTGACTGGGAATCGAACGGTGACCTCCTGGTTCATAGGTTGACATTGAACCACTGAGCCATGCCGGCTGCGCAAAACCCTTTTCTTATTAGAAGACTAATAAATGTTTAAAGCAGGAAAAAAAAAAAAAAAAACAGGAAAATAAAATGAAGAACATTTAGTAACACCTATAATTTTATTACCTGGAGATATAAACAATAATTGGCTTGGTGGTATTTGCCCTTCCTGCCTTTTCTTGGTATAAATACCCACATATCAGGTCACCATACACATACTCATATCTCCCTTGTTTTTATATATACATTTTCACTTATAGCTTTATGTCATTAAATCTTCTACAATATAGTTTTTATGATACTATTTTGGTATATGCATATAGTTGAAGGCTAATTTTATTTAATATTTTATTATTTAAGGTCTCCTTAATTCTGCTTTTTTAAAAAAAAACACTATTAGTAATATATAATGCTGAGAGGTCCATCCTTATTTGTATATCTTTGTTCCCCATCCATGATTATTTTTTTAGGACAGATTTTCAGAAGTGAAATTTCTGGGTCAGGGGCCATACCCAATTTTAGCACTTTTGATACATAGTGCCAAATATCTATCCCCAAAGAGTTGTTGTTGTTGTTGTTTTTAAATAGTACCAGTATACTAGTCTACTAGGAATCCTTTTCACTCCCCAAACTAAATTTTGAGTCTTTAACAGAATTAGATCCCAGGAATTTGCTACATGAGCAATCACTGTATATCTAATATATGTATGTATGTATGTATGTATGTATGTATGTATATGTATGTATAACTCAGTGATTTTAAAAAATATATATATATTTTTATTGGTATCAGAGAGGAAGGGAGAAGGAGAGATAGAAACATAAATGATGAGAGACAATCATTGATGGGCTGCCTCCTGCACGCCCCCTACTGGGGATCGAGCCAGGCATGTGCCCTGACAGGGATTCCATCCAGTTCACAGGCCTAAACTCAGTCACTGAGCCACGCAAGCTGGGCTCAGTGACGTTTTAACACTTTATGGGTGATTCTTGCAAATTAAAGTTAGTTGTAGGTAACATCAGATTTACTGGTTTGGGGGTTATTTTTTTAGTTATGGATTAATATTGATGGTGAACCTAGGGACAGATAAAAACAACCTCAGACCTGGATTTCAAAGGCTGAGGTTGGCTCGGCTAATTTCAACCCAGGTTCCCTCAACTGGGAACGAGGGCCTTGAATTGTTCCAAAGAAGAGAGCTTATATATTTTAAAAAGGAAAGCAACATCTTCCATCAGTGAAGGTGGAGTCAAGTGAGCCTCCCACAATTCCCTCCCCGGTAAGTGATTAGTTTGCTGGCTCATCAAGGCACCTGGCCCTCACGGCGCCCTGTTCTCGCCCGCAGGACCTGCAAGCCCAGGACCGGGCCCACCGCATCGGCCAGCAGAACGAGGTGCGGGTGCTGAGGCTCTGCACGGTGAACAGCGTGGAGGAAAAGATCCTGGCCGCCGCCAAGTACAAGCTCAACGTGGATCAGAAGGTGATCCAGGCGGGCATGTTCGACCAGAAGTCTTCGAGCCACGAGCGGAGGGCGTTCCTGCAGGCCATCCTGGAGCACGAGGAGGAGAACGAGGTATGAGAGAGGCATCTGCCTGAAATCTTATCAGCGGCCTTTGGTCTCCGGCCATTAGGAGCAGCCTCTGTGTTCCTTAAAGAACTTCCTGGGTCCGTGTTAATGAAAAGGAATAAATTAGCTGCCATCTTCCATCCCCAGCACAGAAAGCCTGTGTGAGTTTTCCAAGAGTTTCCTCAAGGCTTGGGCCGCTCCGGCGATGCTTTTCTGGGGCCTCCGGGAGGTGCAGCCAGCAGGCCTATTGTCCTGTCAGAGCTGCTGTCTGCAGGGGAGGGGGGGAGGGGTGTGAGGAGAGTGAAGAGGCCCCTGTCAGGGACAGGCCCGCTGATGAGACGGGACGGCGCTGGGAGGGACCCTCCTTGCCTTTCCCTCCGCCATTTGCAGAGCCCTCTGTCTCTCCACGGGAGATCACAGCACTCCCATCCTTTGTAGGACAAGCCCCCCCAGCCTTGGGAAGAGAGGACCTGCCTTGGTTTAGGGAGAAGGCAGGGTCTCCTGGAGCTTGGCGGGGAGATGTTGATCTCTCCCAGCCCTGAGGGGGGCGCAGGGTGAAGCCCGGAGTGGACATCCAAGCATCTCACTTCTCTGAGCTGCCTGCAGGGGCTCCACACACCTGCCAGGCGATCAGCGTGCCGGACACGTTTTCTGGGTGGCCTGTGTCGGATGTGAAGGCATTCGGGGACACGGAGACGGCAGTCAAAGGCTCTGGTCCTGAGTGTCGAGCTGCATGGGCTGCCCTCTCTGCAAGGCACAAGGAACCCAGGAAGAGTTACTGCCCACTTCTCATTGGGTTTGTTTTCCTGAAGGGTCCAGCCGCTGCGGGCAGACTTCCTGCCGGTTGACAAGGGAAGCTTTTCATTGGGGTGTGGGGACATGCTGGCCCCCCATACATGGGCAGGGAAAGGCCAGCCTGGTTCCGGGGAAGGGTGAGCAGAGCAGGACACCCCCTCTCTTGTGGCTTTCTTTCCTCTCCAGAAATTCTGTGCACGGACTCTGTACTGAGTCCCAGCCCACCCCCAGCTCGGCTGTGTCTTTGTCACATGAAGTGGGATATTTGGGCACACTGACTGTAGTCAATTTAAAGATAAACTAGAATAGACCATTTTTCAAAACATCCCTTTTTCACTTGATTGAAATGCGTTCATTTTATGTTATCTTGGGAGCCCACAGTCACCTCATTTAAGCTGTCTGTACACTCACACTCTTTCTAGATCAAAATGCCTCTTTTTAAGAAATTGGATGCTCAGAATTCTGGGTTGTCCTCTTTCTCCCCTCTATCGCTACTGCCCATTCGGTGTTTTGTTTTTTTAAAATATATTTTATTGATTTTTTACAGAGAGGAGGAGAGAGGGATAGAGAGCTAGAAACGTCGATGAGAGAAAAAAATCAACCAGCTGCCTCTTGCACACCCCCTACCGGAGATGTGCCTGCAACCAATGTACATGCCCTTGACCGGAATCGAACCTGGGACCTTTCAGTCCGCAGACGGATGCTCTACCACTGAGCCAAACCGGTTTCGGCCTGTTCAGTTTTTTAACAAGCTCACTCAGCATGTGATAACAATAATTTTGCAAGGTCACATTCCATAGGATATGCCCAACTTTTAAAATCCTTGTTTTAAAAGTGTAGCCAGTCATAGGGTAGCATTTCTGAAAGCTCAAGAACTGCTGGTTTCTGAGGAGTTTGCAGAGATCATGTTCCTTCGTTTAATGAGAAAATGTTAGCCCTTAAATTGCCCTTTCTACTTCATTTCAATTGCTTTAATTAAGTATAGTGTTATAGGAGTTTTGTTATTCAGTTGTCCTATTCACACGTCTCACCGTTAGCATAATAATGCCCACTAGTATACCCTGACTAAACATACCTTAAAGGCTGGATATTTGCATAGTTACGATTTTATGGTCTTGCTCTGTGCCTAGTCTCAAAAGTTTCCCATACTCGTGTTTTTGTAAGGTTTTGAAAATGAGCATTTAAATTTGGGGTTAAGGCTAATAGCGTTAAAAGAATTAGACACTTTTTTCTTGGCTTTCCTTAAGTAAATCTCTGGTGTAAATGTCACACCCATTTTGCAAATGAGGTCACTGAGGCAGGGAGACGTTAAGTAATTTGTTTTAAAAGTTAGGGAATCAAGGTTCACGCCCAAGAGAACCAGGATTTCTTACAGCCTCCCTAAATAGACTCTGCTCTGGGAAGAGGGTTTGAATAGCTTGGAAAATACTGATGGCAAGGACTGCACCCCATGAGCCTTCTCTTTCCTCTCCGGCCTGAGAAACAAAGGAAACCCCTGTGACCTGGAGGACAGGTTCTCCTCACCCATTTGTGCCTCCCTCTCAGTCACTGCCCTCCCTCCCTCCACCTGTGGAATCATTCTCTTTCTCACCCCCAGGAAGAAGACGAAGTCCCGGACGACGAGACTCTGAACCAAATGATCGCTCGGCGAGAAGAAGAATTTGATCTTTTCATGGTAATATTATAGAAAATCCCGGAAACAGCTGCCGCATCCCTCCGCCCCCTTCGCTATGAGCGCCAGGTGCCCGGGGCCTGCGTGCCTGGCGGCGTTGCATTTCTGAAGCCTGTGCCCCTCCTTCAGTTCACAGCCTGCTGGCTGGCTGGGATCAGCCTGCCGGCCGTGTTTTGTTTGGCCCACGCAGCGTTTTGTAAAATGTTGAACTTGTTGCCAACATAAAAAAAAGAATCCCAATTTCTGGCTTCTCTTAAAAAAAAAAAAAATGAGAGTGGGCAATACCAGGCCCACATCTCCATAGAAACAGTGGACTGGAAGCTGACCACAGACCCTCATACCCAGGTCATTTCTAATGGGGTCTGGGAGGGGGGTGAGGGCGGTGAGGGCGGGCGGAGAGCATCCTTCCGGAAACCTGCCCTCCTCCCAGGGCAGGGTTCACAGCTCTCCCCTAGCTGTCTCCTTACAGAATCAAAACAAGCATGCCCCCTGTGGGGGTGGGAGGGCAGCAACTAGAAAACAAGGTGTGGAGCCTCTTGTTGTTGAGAGCAAATGGGACCCTCCCGGTGGGCATCAAAGTGCAGCCTTCACTTAAAGGCCAAAACTGGCTGGATTTTACTGGCACAAAGTAGATAGATGTAAAGAGCCTTGACATTTGAGGATTTAACGGCCGTGGCTTCGACCTTGATGTTTCATCTAATTTTGCCGACACCTGAGTTTGATTTATGAGTGTGGCCCGCTGCGAGATCATTGTGTGGGCCGAAACCGGTTTGGCTCAGTGGATAAAGCATCGGCCTGCGGACTGAAAGGTCCCAGGTTCGATTCTGGTCAAGGGCATGTACCTTGGTTGTGGGCACATCCCCAGTAGGGAGTGTGCAAGAGGCAGCTGATTAAAATATATATATATATAAAAAAAAAAAGAAGCAAGATTTAAAAAAAAAAAAAAGAAAGAAAAAAAAGATCAATGGGTGGGAACAAGTCCCTTGGCCATGAGAAGGGAAGCTCTCAGGAGTAAGCTTTTATTACCTTCTAAGGCATTTGCTATAGCAATCTTATTTACCTGTTTATCCTCAATGCTCAAAACATCAGGTAGTTACTCGATAAATATTTATCGAGTGCGTGGTGGCATTTGCAACACGGCAGGCCTTGTCAGGACATCAGTTGAGCTATACAAAGGACATACAAAGCTGCGAGGCTCCCCCACCAGCACCTTCCAAACTTATAACATGTAGCCTGACTGTGGAGTGAGTGAATCCATCTCAACTCTAACCCTGGCTTTTGAATGCAGCAGAGCCCCCAAAGCAGAAGTCCCGGGGGTCTCAGACAGGTAACTTGCATAAGCGAAGCAAGTGGACAGGGACCGGCGGGTGGTGTGAACCAGAGCTGCCTTGTCTAAGGGCACGGAGCCGCAAGCCTCCACGAAGCTAGGCATTCCGGATTTTCAAGAGGCGCTGGAAATCTGGGCTTTTACATGTCATCTCTGGATTTCAAAATGTTTGCAGCTAAATTCAGTTTTTTATTATTACATAACACTGCAGGCCAAACAAAACACGACCGTGGGCCAAATATGACCCACAGGGTTTGCAATCTCCGCCTTGTTAGCCTAGCCCTAGACGGTCTGAGCAGGGGACTCCAGCTGTGTGGAGGCTGAGGTTATTTCTGAGTCTGAGGTTCGTTTTCTGTCTAGGGAACAATGATTATGTCCACACATAATGATTCAGGATGAAAGACATTCCATTCTTTCTCAGGAAACGTTTAGGTAGCCATGGGAATAGCTCCGAACCTGGGATATGCACATTTCCCTTCCTTCTACATGAATCACCCTACCCAGGTCGGGCCATTTTGGAGAGAACTGACACACACACACACACACACAAAGAGACATTAACAAGCATGGTCTATATGGGATGCTCGTAAAACCTAAATGTCTTAAACTACTATTGTTGGTCACCACCCTTACAGATTGTAGCCTCTATTTAGGTAGATTGCTAGCGATACACACAGGAAATAGACATCTTTCCTCCCACAGAGGGACTTATTGAAATGTAGATTCCTGGGTGCCTGGAGGTGGGAAGCCCTTTGCTTCCCAGGCTCCTCACTGGTGGGTAGGCATTCAGCTCTGCTCCAGCCTCACCTGCTCCCGAGACCCCGAAAGGGTAAGCTGCCTGCCTTTGTACGAATCAGATTGGGCCCCAAAATAAGGAGCAAAGAGTACTTCTTTTTTCTTACTTTTGGGCTGGGTATTTGTAGAATTTGTATTTATGTTTGGAGGTGGGGACTGGAATGTCTAGCCAAGGCTTTTCATTTGGAACTATGTTACTGTGCAAAAACAGGCCTGGAACTGGTAAAGGTGGTTAAGGAACACTTTTTTTGTAGGTACTTTGATTTTGTGAATGTTCTCCTCGTTTCTTAAAAGGTTGATTTCTCATTTTTGGATTATACTTTTGAGTTTGTTTTTTGTTTTTTTGTTGTTTTCATTGAATTTATTGGAATGACATTGGTGAAAACATTATATAAGTTTAGTTTCAGGTGTCCTTTATGATACAATATCTGTATAGTCCATTAAGTGTGTTTCAGTCTTATATTCAAGCTTATATTTCAGTCTTATATTCAGCCTTTCTAACTCACCGTTCATGAACACCTCCACCAGGGGGCAGGAAATCAAATTTGAATCCTTGCTAGCTACTCTGATTAAAAAGTTTAGTGAGAAACAATGGGATGTGAGCTAGATTTGGATTTCAGTATTTAAACTCTTTACTCGTTATTATAAAAGAGTCAGTTCTCTGTAAAATGAACCCAAACTTTTTAAAACCACAGGCACTGTAGTTAAATAACAAATTAAGCAGATAGTCTCTTTAAAATAAAACATTTCTCTTGAACATTTTTCTTCTAAAAATGTGACGTGAAGAAAGTTATCTCTCATACTGACTACCTGTGAATTTTGCCTAAAAAGATTTTGACTAGTCAAGGTACATATCTGAAACATTTTGCTAATATGTAAACACTAAGCGTTTAGTTGCTATGTTCCCTACAAAGGCAAAAAGTACTTTTAAAAATACCTGTTAGCACAAGGTTTATTAGCGGGCTTTAAGACAAATATAAGCAGGTAATATCTGAACAATAAATAAGACTTATTTAAATATCAATTTTGGATTGTGTACCGGAATTCTGCAAGTAGAAACCTCGGGAAGAGATGCAGTCATCAGAACTTTTAGCTGATTAAAAATCGCATCGACCCTTCCTAAAAAGGAAAAAAAGGAAGCGTAATTTGTTTTCTTTCATATCAGCAAAGACTTATTTTATCCATTGTGGACAGTGTGTGGCAGGTCATTTTACAGATCATGGTATAGGTAACAGTAGTAGCTAACCAAAAATTGAAGTGACTATTTTGTCATCTCATTGCAGCACAGTGGTCGGCAAACTCATTAGTCAACAGAGCCAAATATCAACAGTGCGATGATTGAAATTTCTTTTGAAAGCTAAATTTTTTAAACTTAAACTTCTTCTAATGCCATTTCTTCAGAACAGACTCATCCAGGCTGTGGTATTTTGTGGAAGAGCCACACTCAGGGCCAAAGAGCTGCATTTTGCCAACTGCTGGTGTAGCCATTACCAAAAAAAAAAAAAAAGGTTTTCCTTCTCAGCTATCTAACAACTATTAAAATTACCTCAAGAGGCCCCTTGATGGGTAGATTGAGTGTTAACAAGGCATCCTCTGTGTGCTAATAACAGATTGGTGGATCCCTTTCTGATAGTAACAGCCTTTCCAGCTAACTCTAGCCCATGACAATGGCATAAATGGTATGGCCACATTTATCCCCCAGTGAGCTCTGCTGTGCTCCAAGCCCACCCATTTGGGAATACAGTGATTTCCAAATATGTTCAAGCATTGTCTAAGGGGCTTTGAACTTTAATTTTTAAATAGATTCTAGAGTTCAGTTTTGGATTTGAATAGAAATTTCACTTACATTCTGTTATCAATTTTAGCTCTTACAGAAAAATTGTATTGAACCAAAGAAAAAAAGAGGGAAAAGGTAAACCATTTAATGGTTAATGGTCTATTCAGTTATAGAAATGGCACATCAGTTGGTGATATATATATATATATATATATAATATGGTATGTTGCGATTCACTGGAGATTTTGTTTGCTTTCTTTAGCTATCAAATTGTTAATTATAGATTGAAACCATATTTGTGGCACTTATAAGTGCACAGGGCATGGGAAAATAGGCATTTTTGAAGGTTATAAAAGAATACAAAAGAGAACCATTTCCGTAATAACTTGACCAGTGGAGATGAGATTACATCTGAGGTGTGATTCTCCTGGTATAATATTTTCATAAGAGCTACACTTTAAAAGCTAAGGAATTGACGGACATTCCTCACAGAGCCCATGGCATACTGAAAACTTAATACACTCATGACCGACCGACTGATCAAACCATTTATGTGCCCTCATGTCCAAGTCCAGCTGAGGGTAGTGGCCACTCTGTTAGTGACACTTGAGTAGCTGATTTTATTTCCCAGTTGTTCAATCAAAACCCTGAGCTCTATAGATTAGGATTTTTTAAAAAAATACTTGAAAGATACTTTTATGCCAGGGCAGCAATGGATTGTATCAGCAGGGCTCATATTTGTTAAATACATCCCAGTTTGAATCTTCTCACTATTACAAGGGGAAGCTTTGCACACATATAGACTAAGAAAAGGAATTTGTAAAGATTTTTAAAAATATTTTTTAAAACATATTTTATTTATTTATTTATTTATTTATTTATTTTTAATGAGAGGAAGGGAGAGGGATAGAGAGCTAGAAACATAGATCGGCTGCCTCCTGCACACCCCCTACTGGGGATGTGCCTGCAACCAATGTACATGCCCTTGACCAGAATCGAACCTGTGACCTTTCAGTCTGCAGGCCAATGCTCTATCCACTGACCCAAACCGGTTAGGGCCATGGGTATAAAGGAAGGGAAGAGACTAGAGCCTCCAGAAGAGAGAGTCCCCATGGGCAGGACAAGCTGAGAGGGAGGCGATCGGTGAGGTCCGCTGTGCTGTCCTGTCTGTGCGGCACCGAGCGCCTCCCTCACGGATGGACCTTCTGTTCTCGCCCTCAGCGCATGGACATGGACCGGCGCAGGGAGGATGCCCGCAACCCGAAGCGCAAGCCCCGCCTCCTGGAGGAGGACGAGCTGCCCTCCTGGATCATTAAGGACGACGCCGAAGTGGAGCGGCTCACCTGTGAGGAGGAGGAGGAGAAGATATTTGGGAGGGGCTCCCGCCAGCGCCGGGACGTGGACTACAGCGACGCCCTCACCGAGAAGCAGTGGCTGCGGGTAGGTGTGGCTGGCTTACCTGGCCTTGCCCCCGGTGGCTCCTGCTGGCTGGCCGCAGCCAGGGGCCCAGTCCCCAGTAAAAGGGGGGTAGATGGCTGCTGAGCTTAAAGAAAGTCATTCTGCTGTGGCATTGGAATCGTTCTTCATTCCGTGAAATATAGTGGAGAATTTTTCTTCTTTTTGGCTAGCTGAGCTGGCCATTGGAAGCACCGGATTATTAGAGCTATGAGACCCACTAATGTTTTACGGCCAATTGCCTGGTCATGCCTCACTCTCTCCGAGTCAGAACGAAAATGTGGAAAGGGGCCTTTGGGGTCTTTTTCATCGGTCGGACCAGCTCACGTCATGGTCTTGAATCAGAGTTTTACTTTTCCGAGGCCTGTAAAGGTGGTTCAGGGGCAGGCCTCTGCTAACTGCATCCTTATTTCAGTAGAGCCAGAAGGTGCCTTTGTATTCTCTCGGTTTTGCAGACAGAGCAGTTGAGGCCCAGAGGTTAAGTGACTAAGGCAGGGTCACACAGCTGGCTAGAAATAACCGGATCCACGCCTTCACTTGAAGTAGGATCTGCGCTGTCCATGGCAAACACGGTCCGAGGCCTGGGACTTGGGTCACTTATGCTTAGAAGTGTTCTTCTTTAGTTCAGGGTGATTTCCCACCCCCCTGGTTTGGCGAATGTTGATTTCTTACTCTGAGGAATGAAATCTCGGAAGGTTCTTTGGGAAGAACAAAAGTATAAAAACGCTCCCAGGAGCCAGGTGTGTGAGTGCCAAGGCCAGTGTGAATCTTCCGGGGAAGGTTTGGCCCTCCTTCCCCTTGGTGGGAGCAGACTGAGTACCTAGACAGACAGACAGACAGCAGTCTGGGACATGCATTCCAGTCAGGGCCAGTAAATGCAGGCTGGAAATAGTAATGCAGTTGGGTAAAAACCAAACAAAATAGAGGCTGTTGTGAGTTGTTCAGAAAGGAATGGCATTCCCAAGGCTTGTAGAACAGGGATTTTAGGACCCAGGCTGTAAGTTAGGTTGGTGGGTTGAAAAAGGCCACGGGAAGTATTTCGAGATTGGATGACAGCAGCAGGCAGGTCTTGGCGCCACTTGAGATGTGACTTACTTGGCATGTTGTATGATGAGAGAGACGTGATCTAGTCTTCAAAAAGATTGAAGTCTGTGGTATTCAGGAAAGAGAGACTAGGAAAGTATCGCTCATGTTTACGGTTCAACAATAACTGTGAAATGTAACTTGTGTGTGATTGTTTTATGGTCGTATCCAAACATCCAGGCGGCCCCAGAATAAGGCTTTATGGATTTATTTTGTTTCACTTTTGTGGGGTTATCAGCTGTATAACAAAGATTCATTCTATAATGTGAAAAGATCTGTGTTTGTTTAATAATCATTTCTGAGTTCAGGAAAATGGATTCCCTTTCTCTTTTATTTGAGCAATGACTTAAGTACCTGGATTACTATTACAGGAGATGAGATATTAACATAGGCCGACATTTTAAAGTCACTCTTTTATATATGTATGATCTCCAGATATTACAAGGAAAATAACCTTGTTTATTGGGTAAGAATGTAGCTGAACTTTTTTTATTTTTTTAAGTAATCATTGGGAAAGGCTCTTAAGAAAAATAACTATGAATCTCAGATAATGTATAGGTTTATAATATCTCATTTTTTCTCTTTTTCATTCAGTTTCTATCATGAATGATTACCACAGTGTTTAGCCCCTAGTTAAGACTCAATGATTGTTTGTGAAATGAAATTATAACCTTGTAAGAGGAAAGTGGAAACTCACTAATTTACCAATGATGTTAGGTTGTCTTTCTCTTTCTGGTGCATCTTGTGGACTTCCTTTTATCTGTAACATACACATCTAGAAATGGAAAACTAGTTTGTTTTACAAAACTACACTGTGAAATGGATGTTCATCATTTTCAACCTAAGGTGCATTGTGAGATACCAAGTCATCCAAGAAGATCAAAACTGTCCTTAACCTGTTAACCAAGTGGGACCTGTAAATACGTCAAACGTAAACAATATCGGGAACGGGTAGGATGTATGAATACATCCCTGAAATATATGTTGCGCCCCGAGAAGGACGGTATATATTTTTTGTAATCTTTTTTTTTTAAATATTTTATTGATTTTTACAGAGTGGAAGGAAAGGGGAGGGATAGAGAGTTAGAAATATCATGAGATGAGAGAGAAACATTGATCAGCTGCCTCTTGCACACCCCCACTGGGGATGTGCTGGCAACCAAGGTACCTGCCCTTGACCGGAATCGAACCTGGGACCTTTCAGTCTCAGGCCGATGCTCTATCCACTGAGCCAAACCGGTTTCGGCTATTTTTTGTAATCTTTATCATTGTTTGTAAAATTTATAATTTTTCAATTTGACGTGTCCATTTTTTTTGGTAATTTTGTATTTTCCTTTGTGCTTTATATATATAAATAAACAATATATATATATTTCATTTATTTTCATTAAGTATAAATAAATAAAAATATATGAAATTACATCCTCCGGGCGTGACGTACTGACACGTCCTAGTGAAAGAGTACGCGCCCGTTACAGGTTGCGTCATTAAAAAGGGAACTCTCCGGTTAACAGGTTAATATAGCTTTATTGTAATAATTTCTTTTGAAATCCAGGCTTTCTCGAACCAGATGTCCATTTTTGGTATGAGCTGGTAACCTGCTGTTAACCAGGAACTAATGCAGAATGTCCTGTGGCCTCAGCACTCAAAATAAGAGCTTACTGCCATTTTTCTTCTTCTTCACCGGTAGCCATCTTGCATAGTATCAGCCTACCAAGCTTTACTGGTCCTACAGTGATATTCAAGGGGTTCTCAGGGGCCTGCATGTGAAGAGCTGCTCTCCATTGGCTTAAGATTGAGCACGTTGAGGAAACCCAGCCAACACAGCCTCGAAAGGGAACTTGGCAAGGACACCATGGTGTAAGAAATGCTGTAGCAGGGCTACAATGATTCCTCTTTTTCCTGGCAGTGTTCTCCAAAGCCTGCTTGGCAGAGGCGTCAGCCATACATAGACTCCAGAGCTGGAAGGCAGCTGAATGGAGCAGCTCTCCATCCTGTGCTTAAATCCCAGTGTCTGCGAGCCCGAGCCAAGAGGCTGGCCATCCCTACAGGAAACATTCCCTTCTTGTCTGCAGAGCCCCTCCCCATCTTCTTCCCTCTGCATGAGCCCTCTCCCCCTGTAGCTGCTCCTCGCTGTCCTGGATTCCAGTCCCTGGAGTGAACAGGACAATATATTTTTTTCTTTTTAGCATCACGTCCCGCTGGACAAAAATGTTTGAAGACGCATGTCTAGTCTAGAATGAACTTCCTGACCTCCTCTTTCTTCTGAACTTAGCTCATCCTTCAAGGCCCAGCTCACTTGCCAGCACTGCTGTGATGCTTCCACACGCATCACGCTTTCCGCTGTATTCTCATACGGCTTGGCTTGTCCTTCTGTCACAGCTCAAACCCGGTTTCCTAGTTTGCTTGTTAGTTGCTGACGTGCCTGGTTCTCTGACTGGTGGATGAGCTGCATCTTGTTAGAACTTAGCCCCATGTGCAAAGAGTAAGCGCCCAGTGATAGCCCAGTTGCAGTCTCACTGATTGATGATTGATGTGTAAGAGGATAACGTTCACTGCGGCAACAGATGACCCTAAGCATGCCCTATACATGGGCCTATTAAAAATAAATAAATCAGTGGAATTTTTATTTCTCACATGAAAGTCAGTCCATGGTCGGCATTCCTGGTTGGTGGGGACAGCTGTCCGCCATGTGGCCATTCAGGGATCCTGCTGACAGAGCCTCTGCCAGCTTAGACATCCCACCCCAGTGAGCTGGAGCCGGGAAGGCCCCATGGCGTGGTGGGTGTGAGCTTCTCATGGGGTGGGTCTGGTCTGGAGGCTCCATGTCATCTCTGCTCACGTTTGTTTTGTAAATTACAATCAAAAGAGGAGATGTAAGTGGGTTACGTGAAATCCATTGGTGATAGATTAGGGAGGTGGAGGAAAGCAATGGAAGGGGGAAGGCCTCTGGGATTGCATAAAAAGTAAAATGATAAGACACTTGCTTCCTATACATAGGTGTGTACAAGACAGTTAACAGTCAACAATAAAATAACAGTACCAATGAAGAAATTTTTGGTCTGTCCCTGGTGCATGGATTGTGCTCTGAGAGAAGCAAGTGGCACAATCAGAAAAGGGAAGTTACAAGTTAACCCTGACATTCCAAATGCATGTTGTCATAGATAAAAGAGGACAATAGGCTCAGTTAAGATCAAAGTTGATCTTTGTCAGGGAAGACAAAGCCTGGGACTGACTACCCACTGTAAACTGCTTTTTTTAATTTAAAAAGTTTTAATTTTAGACCAGCCCTTGTGGGTACTGTAGGCCTGTACCTTTGCAAGGCTGCCAGGCAGGCCTTATCTGAGCCAGTCAGGTTAGCATGTGGCCCCTTTTCGTCCACAGGGTGGAGTCCTTACAATTTCCCAAGGAAAATCCCAAAGTCCCATTTTTCTTAGCCCAGTCACGGAAGTTTAGCTGGGGTTTCAGCAAAACTAGAAGTGTTACGCCCAGACTTCGTGATCCCCAAGGACCACCAGGGAGCCGAGTCCGATGCAATAAACAAAAGAGCCTTTACCATGCTAGTATGGGCCCCCCCACTCATGCCGGCAGCATGGCGGAAGAGCGAGAGCTTCTTCCAGCCCAGGGGTTTTACTTCGGTCGGTGGTGATGTCACTGCCTCGGCTAACCCTGATTGGTTGGGTGAGGGCTAGGGATAACTCCGCCCTGCGGGGCGGAGTTGGGAGCTCATCCTTGCCCCGCCTTCTCAGAAGCAAGACCAGTGCCCACAGTTTCCTTTCCCTATTGGAGCTGGTCTGCTCGGCATCGGGCTAGCCGCCTTCCATTAGTCCATTGGGTGTGGGGTCCGCATGGGCGTGGGCTCTGTGGGCGAATGCAAGGGAGCCCCGGGAGCCCAGGGTCCC